GCCACACCACGCCACACCACGCCACACCACACCACACAACACAGACCCATTCATTCACATTAAATTTATTTAATTTCGGATGCACAACTTAGGTATTTTGCGAGCAGGGACTAATTTATCTAAATCTAGAAAATACTTGACACTCTTATCGGAAATAAAGTATAGATTGAAATGAGACATGTTTTTTTTGCAAATATATATGAGACAAGATATTCAGGAAATTTCAAGCGTTTTTCATTGTGTTTGTGCCCTATGAAAAAAAAAATATTTGAATAAGAATTGCCGCAAATTCAGTATCATGATACATATCATATCAAGAACAAAGTATCGCGATGTGTATTGTATCATGAGATAGTCGTATCGTGACATCCCTACTTGTCATACAAGCCAACACAACCGATGATCTGTAGTTTCAGTGTACAATGCCTGACCTGGTGTCATTGTGCCCTAAAGGTGTGGATCATGGATCCCACCCTCCTCCACTGAAATAACAGAAACTCACTCACCCACTCCCAGCACTCACTCCTCCAATAACACAAACTCACTCACCCACTCCCGGCACTCACTCCTCCAATAACAGACACTCACGAACATAACATAGACTCTCCCTCATTCCAGTAACACAGACACATACTCACCCTCCAATAACAAACTCACTCACCCACTCCCGGCACTCACTCCTCCAATAACAGACACTCACTCACCCACTCCCGGCACTCACTCCTCCAATAACACAAACTCACTCACACGCTCCCGGCACTCACTCCTCCAATAACACAAACTCACTCACCCACTCCCGTCACTCACTCCTCCAATAACAGACACTCACTAACATAACATAGACTCTCCCTCATTCCAGTAACACAGACACATACTCACCCTCCAATAACAAACTCACTCAAATAACAGACTGCTATCACACAGAGCCTAGGTACTTCTGTCATCAAAAGTATCCCCAAACAAAATCATATGGACATTTTCTAATCACTTAGTAATTGTTTTCAACTTTATATTATACTATATCCTTCAAACTTCTTAAAAGATTCATATACTAGCGGGGCGGTCAGGTAGCCTAGTGGTTAAAGCGTTCGCTCGTCACGCCGAAGACCCAGGTTCGATTCCTGACATGGGTACAATGTGTGAAGCCCATTTCTGGTGTCCCCCGCCGTGATATTGCCTGAATATTGCTAAAAGCGGCGTAAAACCAAACTCACTCACTCACTCACTCACTCATATACTAGCATTGTAATAAGTAATCTCATCAATGATAGATTGGTTTCAGCTTACAAGGACAATCATGAACTCTGTGATGGATGATTTTCAAGTTCTGTTAATTCATTTTAATGAATCTGCGTTTATGATTTGTTTAACACTTTGGATACAAAGAAAGAAAGCAATACAAGTAAAATTTGTATCTTCTCTTTTTTCAAATAATTCATCAATTATGAAATTTTGAACCTTATTCCACACACTAGGATCTACAGATTTAGACATGATGTACCCCCACAAAGCACACTGTCATGATGACAAACATGGTTTCTACAGGTGCAGACTAGTTCAGTTTCTAGGACACTGACTGAAATCCAATATATCCTAAAGTTCCTTTACAAATCCGATCATGATACAGAAGAATATCCTGTAGAAAGTTTACAAACTCATTGAAAAGTCCTCATGCTATTTGTCTCTAGCAGCATCACTGCGTAAGATCATTCATTGTTGTACATTGTATATATATGATATAAGGACTAGAAAAAGTTTACATGGGCAAAGTGAACCCTATGTTTTCGTAAGCTCGTAAAACCTATGGGGATTCTAGGTAAGAATATAGGTTCGCAGCAAACTAACAGAGGCAACTAACTGTGCAAGACGCAACTAAATGGATTGGGTAATTTGGTTAGTTGGATATCATTGTATCCCAAATGCAAGGATCGATGCTCACGAGATTAATCTGGGTTGTCTGGTCCAGACATAATTATTTACAGACTGCTATCATATAGCTGGAATAATGCTGAGAACGACATTAAACAAGAAATAAACCAATCGCACCAACTTACATAACAACACTAGCTCGAAAGGTTAGTAAATAAACTACTCAATGTCTTAAAGTATCAGACATACAATGATACCAGTACATTTTTCACAAAACAAATACCTCATCCTAAGTGTAGGGCAATGGTTTTACAACCATGTGGCTAAAATCAATTTATAGCAGCTGTGTAGTCATTGATTATTATCATTAACTAATATTTTCCGCAATTACACACCAAAGTACCTACTTTTACCATTCAATTCAAATAAACATATTATTGAAGCATGTTAAATGAAAATGTATGAAGGGTTGTGTAAAAGTGTTTATATAATCATTATATAATCATGTACAGATTCAATTATATTTCAACAGTGAAAACAAACACTTGATCTTAAATTTTCTTAAATCATTACTGACCCTTTGTATCAATCATTACATTGTTACAAGGTAACAAATCAATTGGACACCATGAAGTTTGTTTGTTTGTTGTTTAACGCCGCACTCAGCAATATTCCAGCTATATGACAGCGGTCTGTAAATAATCGAGTCTGGACCAGACAATCCAGTGATTGACATCATGAGCATCGATCCATGCAAGTGGGATACGATGACATGCATCAACCAAGTCAGCGAGTCTGACCACCCGATCACGTTAGTCACCTCTTACGGCAAGTATTGGTTGCTGAAAACCTATTCTACCCCGGATCTTCAGGACACTATGAAGGCATACAGCCACAAAAATATAAATAAGAGTTAGGACTATATTCCCATGTAAAAAGTCTCTTGCCTTATAGCAAGAAAACAATATCGTATGACACAAATAGCAATATGTCTGTCAAAAACTTACGCCAACACACATAGCCCTAAGGTTCCATATTAGTAATGTCATCCACTGGTTTTAAAAAATATATATGCCAGAGTGAAATAACTACATATTTTGGCATTCAAACAAAAATGTGATAAATAATAAATCTAGTCATGCAGAGATGTATATTCTTATGTTGTGGTATATTGTATTAATTGTTGTATCAATGAAATATGTGTGTGTGTGTGTGTGTGTGTGTGTGTGTGTGGGGGGGGGGGGGGGGGGGGGGTGTTAGAATGGTGTAACTTGGGGATAGTTCTCTTTGGCATTTAGTTCTAATCATTATCATATAACAGGAGCCATACTGAAGCAAACATATGTAATGCAGTAAATAACGTCCTTTCTAAAAAATTCACAAGTTATGCACTATACAGAAAAGGTTATCAGTTTGTTGCCAGGGATTTGACTAGAAACATTTGAAAGTTACTTCATTCCGGCATCAAAGTTAAAAAATTAAAATGCTGACGTCTCAAATTAGTCGAAATGATGTCATCATGGTTAGGTTCTATATGGCTTCATGGTATCCAATTACAAATTAAAATCAATCATGGCACATAATGATCACTACTATCTAATTTTAACCAATCATTAAAACATTTTAACCTCTGAGATCCTTCAAGACTGTTAATACAGTCCAGGCAACTAAACTTTCAAGATTACGGTGCTACGCTAATCATTGAAACATTTATTGTGTGAGCAATATGACAGCAATACCACAGCAATATAGCAATATCAAAGCAATATCAAAGCAATTTTATAGCGGGGACACCAGAAATGGACATCACACATTGTATGCATGTGGGAATGGAACCTGGGTCTTTGGTGTGACGGGTGAACACTTTAACCACTAGGCTATCTCACTGCCCTAATTGTTGAGGAACATAAACGTCATTGTCAGGAGCTAACTGGAGATCCTTTAACAATAAGAGGCCAAGTGTATATTTTGATTTAATTTGTTTCAGATAATTACAGTTAGGGATTGGTCATTTATTACATGGAACACTTTTTTCCCCACTATCCTAACCACATGCACTGTTTCCACATCAAGCCTTTATTTTTATTTGACAAAATAGAACTGTCATGGGTCACTTTTTCATAAAACACCCACTATCCCTTAATCTTTCCTCTAATGAACCATTATCATGTTTGATGTGCATGGTGTGTGTTTGAATCGTATGATTTGTATGTTTTAAATGTAAAATATAGGGACCACCATCGAATTTCAGCTTTGTTCAGATGTGGATCTTTACCTCTTGCCATGGTTGGTTGGTTGGTTGGTTTGTTGTTTAACGCAACACTCAGCAATATTCCAGCTATATGACGGCGGTCTGTAAATAATCCAGTCTGGACCAGACAATCCAGTGATTGATATCATGAGCATCGATCCACGCAATTGGGATCGATGACCATGCATCAACCAAGTCAGCGAGCCTGACCACCCGATTCCGTTAGTCGCCTTTTACGACAAGCATAGTCGCCTTTTACGGCAAGCATGGGTTGCTGAAGACCTATTCTACCCCGGATCTTCACAGGTCCTCTTGCCATGGAAACTGGACATTTTAACAAACAACCAACCCGTCTTCTAGACAGAATTTGACCACAATGTTTTAAACAGTTTGATAAGAGAACTATTGAAGATGAATTACAATTCGGTTGAATTAGGTAAGTGGTATGAAGCTATAAGTAAATCATCATGAGGTATAATCGGAAATTATTTTGTAATTAATATAATTCTACAAAATTGTCAATTTGGTTTTTCATGTTAATTGTGAGAAACAACCTTACTCTTTGACATTAAAATCTCAAAGGTTAAAGAAAAGATACAACATATACAATGTAAACAACATTTTGCCTGCCATATAGCTGGAATATTGCTGAGCGCGGTGTTAAACAACAAACAAAACAACATTATGCTTCAAATTGATCACAATACGGATTCAATTTACTTATTGATATAAAACTTGAAACATCTACGGTCATAGAGAAAGATTGAACATCTTAACAGCTTACAATCACATAAATAAATACAAACTAAATCAAAATATGACAACAATCCATCGTCAAAACCTGTGCACATAACGGAGTTGAATATCAATAATTTTATACCTATCCTACGAAGTCCCACACAACTGTCCCAGATGTCACCTGCCCGCAGTCTCCATTTTCACACCGGCATATTTCCCATATCACATACTGCCACCGACACAACAGTTGAGCACAACACAGGCCCCCGATATGCGATACAGGGCTAATACCACCTTACCCAAGTAGCCATGCATAAAAGCCATTGTATATTGGCCGTTATTGCATAGAGTAATTATGCCTCTAGTAAGGGCGCCAGTGCTGTCAAACGTGACGATTCCTCACCGACCTCGACCATGAAGGAAAAAAATTACCAGTTGCTATTCACGAGCAATACCTTTTTATCATTCTCCTCCAATTAATTCTGTTTGGGGCTGGTGGAAATTCACGCCATTCTAAGTTGCCATCGCTTGTGAATCATGTTATGAAACTCCAAAATCAGCAACGTTCATTTCCTTCCGTCGCCCATGTTTTTCGCGAGCTGATCCAAATACACGCGCGGCTGGCGCTGCGATGAGTTCCAACGAGTTATCGTTCTTGTCGCGACATTCTTTATTGATTACTATTGTTCTTAATTGTTATCGATTCAGGTTCTATATTTATCACGATCGATCATAAAACAAGCTCGGAGATCTATGCTACTGTTGCATACGTCAACCATAACAAGCAATCACATTAAATTAAAATGAAACATGGTCGCTGTCGTGTGATGAATCGTTATGCATACACTAGTATATTGATATATGATATAATAAACGTTTGTATCATAAAACGTTTTTCATTAATACAAATAAACACAAAGTTTAACATTGATTTGCATGATTGGTTACAAAGGACTATTGGTCAGTCGCACATCATTCATGTGTATCACAAGGTAATGTATCTTGTACCATAATCTTCACATGTTTGCGTGGTATGTGACATGGTTCCTTTTACAGATAATGGTAACATTGTGTAGTAATTGGGCCTTTTTTTAAACGCACATTATGTATCTAAGCGAAATAGCAGGTGACACCCTGTCACAAGAACGTTTCAAATGTCACCAGAAAAAAGTCATGCCTAATAAGGGCGATACCGCATTTGAGCAGACAGTAGCTGGATACCTGCGGTTTAGTGAGTGAGTGAGTATGGTTTTACGCCGCTTTTAGCAATATCACGGCGGGGACACCAGCAATGGGCTTCACACATTGTACCCATGCCGGGAATCGAACCCGGGTCTCCGGCGTGACGAGCAAACGCTTTAACCACTAGGCTACCCGACCGCTCCTCTGCGGTATATAAATGTATAGTATAATAATAATAATGTCTGCCTCTGAGACAATTTCTGTCACATTCAAGTCTAATTTTATCTGTGTTTTATGAGAACGGACACGGAAAATAAAAATAAAGGTAGTGTGAAGCTTAAGACTAATCTTAGAATCGGTCAGGAGGTGAAGGTCTTGGTGTATTTGCACTGGTGATTGACGTGCACAGTTCAAATCCATTCTGACCCGCCACTGGACACGAGTACACCCGTGATGGAGTGAGATGGATATGAGATGCCAAATTCGGAGTTAAGTGCATTGCTCATAAAATATGCCGAGCATTAATTTAAAAAGTGTTTTTGCGGCAGCTTTCATGTAGCTTCCATGGCTGGCTTCTTTCAGCCCTTCTTCCCGAGAGAGGGGACAAAAGTGTTTGTCTCCCAGGCTCTCCATCTCATAAGTGGTCGATTCCTTTCATCCATGTATATAGAACCATGGGCTAGACCATGTCCTTTTCACGTTGTTGGGTATGAGACCGGCCTTTTCTGCCAAAATATGCACTGAAGTGGTCAGCGAAGCACAGCAAATAACCAGAGACTCGAAGCAATTTTCAAGTGTTGATCATCTGATCTCCGCGAAACTTGCCAATTATGTTTAATGTACGCATTTGGAAATAATTTGTGTGGAGTGGTTGAGTAAGGTTTTACGCCGCTATTCGTGCAATATCACGGCGGGGGACACCAGAAATGGGCTTCACACATTGTACCTGTCCCGGGCTTGCGAACGCTTTAACCACTAGGCTACCTCAATATGCATGTACCTCCGTGTAATTTTAAGGTAATAGCCGTGATAAGAGAACAGTTGTCACAGTTGCGTTTTACAACGAGTGATCAAGAGTGAGTGAGTGAGTGAGTATGGTTTTACGCCGCTTTTAGCAATATTCCAGCAATTTCACGGCGGGGGACACCAGAAAGGGGCTTCACACATTGTACCCATGTCGGGAATCGAACCCGGGTCTTCGGCGTGACGAGCGAACGCTTTAACCACTAGGCTACCTCAATATGCATGCACCTCCGTGTATTTTTAAGGTAATAGCCATGAGAAGTGAACAGTTGTCACAGTTGCGTTTTACAGTGAGTGATCAAGAGAATCTACAGTGACGGTTACTGTGGAAATGGGCGGGAAGGAACGCCCATCCATGTACAGTGCACACGCATATGTCGAGTATCGACCCACATCGTCGCGGCTTTACGCTGCATTCAACAGTGATGAACCAATCGATGGCGGGAGCCTATGCAGTGAGCAATCTTCCTTGTTAAGTTTTGCTTATGCTGCAGTCAATTTGATTAACACATTCATCCGACTAACGATGGTTCACAAGACATATACTGAGAAGTGTTGTGGTTGGTTGGTTGGTTGGTTTGTTGTTTAACGCCGCACTCAGCAATATCCCAGCTATAAGACGGCGGTCTGTAAGTAATCGAGTCTGGACCAGACATTCTAGTGATTGACAACATGAGCATCGATCCACGCAATTGGGATCGATGACATGCATCAACCAAGTCAGCGATCCTGACCACCCGATCCTGTTAGTCGCCTTTTACGGCAAGCATAATCGCCTTTTACGGCAAGCATTGGTTGCTGAATACCTATTCTACCCCGGATCTTCACGGGCCGAGAAGTGTTGTGAGAGATGATGGACTAAGCGTTTTCCATGATTATAATCCTTGGTTTGTCATGACCATTAGCTCAAGGGTTTCAATAAGGTATATATAAAACGTCTTCAATCTGCGTGATCGTTGTTTTTGAATTTGTTAAACACCGCACTCAGCAATATTTCAGCTATATGACGGCGGTCTGTAGATAATCGAGTCTGGAACAGACAATCCAGTGATTGACTTCATGAGCAACAACCCTAGCAAGTGGGATACGATGACATGCATCAACCAAGTCAGCGAGATTGACCACTCGATCCCATTAGTCGCCTCTTACGACTAGCAGAGTCGCTTTTCACGGCAAGCATGGGTTACTGAAGACCTATTCTACCCCGGATCTTCCCGGGTACGTCAGCTTTGTCCCCTGTGAGGATTTAGCGTCAGAATCAGTTCCAGGTGCCCTTGCTTGTTGCAATTGGGAGTGTAATATACAATGGGGATCGGGTGGTCAGGTTTTGTGACCTGGCTGATTGCGCGTCATCGCCCCGGCTTATCTGGTTCTTTGCTCATGTTTTCAATCACGGTTTGTCTGGTTCCGAATCGATTATTAGCAGGACACTGTGATATATCTGAAATATAACTGAATAGGGCGTTATCAACATTCACATAGCCACTCCATTTTGCTCCCAACATAATGACACGTTGTGGTATGACTCAAATGATGTCCAACAAAGCGTTAGACTACAAATACGTAAATAGAGTTTGACCTTAGTTTCGATACTTGGCAATAACACTATATTTCAAGGTTCAGTTTATACATTGACAACACACTGACCTAGTTTCATCACGCTACACGCATTGAAAACACAGATGTCAGAAAATAGCTGACAAGATACACAGAGCTCATATCCCACCACAGCACACACGTGTATTCACGTGGACTATCGACCGAAGAAGGGTATTCTAGTTATGTATACAATCTTTGATCTAGAGGAATATCGGGTTCGGACAATAGATAGTGTTGGGTCATTGATTGAGGTTGGTGGTTGTGGGGCGGGGTTTCAACGGTTTTTGATACATTAATGTCTGAAAATAATTACCCTTCCCTAATAGTTGTTATATTTTGGGATCACCCTGCCTCCCTATGTCCTTGGAAACTTTTCTTTTCATGACCCTCCCCAAAAAGCCAAAATGCAAAAGAACTTCATATTTGATCATAAAATGTCCATATTTTTTACCCTACCCAAACACGTGCATTATGTAGAAACGGTCATATTTGTTGGTGACTCTCCACTGATTCCCTCTGACCCGATCTCATCCGTTTTAATACATGACCGGTCCCTAACTATCAACAATGCATCAATACCATACGCAGGTATTCCCAAAAGATGCATAAAAAGTTCTAGATAAGTGGAAATATAGGAGGGATGGTGCATATAGTTATATAGGCAGGATGAACTATAATACAGGCGTACAGTATTCCGATGTCTATATTTACACGTTGGTGTGTGTCTTAAAGAAAATGCTTCTTGGTATCATGCAGTGTTGAGACAACCCTTGGCAACCCGTCATGCGGGCTGCCTGGTGCTACCACTGTGTGTCGTTGCTAAAGGCACTAGATGTTATCGACCGTGGGGTGGATACCCGTTGTCGGGAGGCATAGGCGCAAAACTTGTATCTGATTCCCACCCCTCACGAAGTCATGCTCTAGGGGACATTGTAATATGTCTATCACAGCTTCATTATAACACAGGGCTATCCAGCGAAATTCATACAAATTCATGACTTGAACCACCCTTCGAGGCGGAATATGAATACCATGAATATGCATGGATTTCGCAAAAACGACCACTGCTTATATACAGTCAATGTATGTTATATTATATGATGTATTGTATGTTATAGTCAATGTGTAAAATGACTTAAATTTTCACTTAGGCAATTTACAAAACGCCAAAATATTTCAGTCAATTTACAATTATACTTTCCCCGGCAGATTGACTAAAAAGTTCAAAAGGCATTTAAAAAATCGCATTAGACTAATTATGCCAGGATTAGAAATTATACATTGACTTTCTTTTGTTTTAATCATTTTCAGTCACTGGGCGATGAAATAAAGCAAAAACATGTTTGGAATTCACTATCATAATATATGAAATGGAAAAATAATTGTAAAATTACTGAAATATTTTGGCGTATTGTAAATTGCCTGTTTCATTCATTTTACACATTGACTGTGACATACACTCAATAAGATTATGTTCCCGAAATGGTAATTTGTTATGGAGAGTGGTAGCTCGGAGATTATTCATTCATAAGGGGGCTAAAAGGAGAGCAGCGACGCTTGGATGTCGGTGGTTTAGCCCGTTCTTCTAGAATAGTTGCATCATTATCCTTTAACTGTTTGAAAATGATATCTTGAAGGTCCTATATGGGTCCTAATAAGTGAGTTAGAGGATAAACATACTGTATTTTCAATTTAAAGCTAGGTTACCTGTAATTTAATCGCGCTAAATAGTATTGGGTACTGAACGTGCAGCCATTTGTCTATGGGTCGATGTAGGCTGTCGATGCAGGCTGTCGATGCATACACAAGTTGTGTGTGAAAAAGGCTTTATTTTGTGGTATCAAATTGAAATTTGATATACCCTTTGTTAACCAATAAGCATTCTTCAGCATCATGGTAGAATGAATGTTCAAAATTGAATACTACATCACGGTGGCCTCAATAATCCAGTCTGCACCAGAAGAAACCGCTGACTGAAGCATGAGCACGGGGGATGCTGACAGCAATCAGCCAGGTCACAGAGTACGCCACCAAGATCCCTATTTCAGCTCTTGGGGAGCAGGGGACGTATGGGTTCGCTTCCTTACATGGTCATAAGGTGTGAAGCCCATTTCTAGTGTCCAATTAGGTGTGGTGTTTATGGAATATTGCTAAAAGCACTCACTTAATTCCCCTACACCCCACCCAACCTGGAGTTGCCGATCTCTCCAAATCAAGGCCAGCTGACTTAGTTTTTAATCAATCAACACGTTACCTCAACTTCCATAATCTCGTTCAATCTGAAAATAACCAGGGTGCGGTTGTACAAAACAACCCTAGCGCTACGTAAAACGACTGTCGTAAGTCTATGTTAAGGTATGGGAGTTACGATCACCTTAGCGCTAAGATCGCTCTGCACAACGGCACCCTGTAATATTAATTGACATATATAGGAACCAGAAAATTCTGTGAACCACGCCTTCAGAGTGAGTGAGTTGGTATCGCACTTTAAGCACAAATCCAGTGATGGCACAGCGTGTCAGCTTCATGTGGGTGACAAGCCCGAAGTGATACAGGTCTTAGACATTTGCCACTTTTGTGAAACCAGAGAGCACATGTATGGTGCTGACAAACCTAGAAACATAACCAGGGTGAACCAGGATTTCGAACCCATGATCATAGGACTCTGGCATGCCCAAAGGACCCAACTTTGCATAGTGGAATTGCAGTGCCTGAGCTGGCAGGGTCACCCGCGGCCCCTGGCCTTCAGAACACGTGGGACATCATCAGTTCCACAGGGTTCTCTGGGAATATGAAAGCATGAGAGCTGATGTCATTTGTCAGATCCGTTTCCTAATCTTAGTACAAAATGACGTCATTTGAAGTCTGATAGTCATAAATGAAAACAAAAGCAAATATTTCTGCAGAAATATTTAATACCAAATTCATTAGAAGCCAAATAAACTCATGCAATGTATTAAATTTAAAGAGAAATATGAAATAGTAAACAAACGGCCAGGATGATACAGAACACACGTCCTGCATGAAAAGGGCATGATTGTCACCACAACCTGAATGAAACCAACATTTCATGCTCTTAATTCTGCACTGCAGGCTATCTGATTGTCAATGGTAATTTATTCTATATCAATAATGTTTGTATGCAGACTTTAATTTTAAAAAAGGCGTAACGAAAAGATCTTGTCCAAATACAGCTGTCAGTGGATTATGTCAAGAATCTTGTATATCTTGATAAACATACAACAAATAGTTTTTCAATCACATTGTGATATTCATTTTGTAATAGTGACATAAATATCCTGAGACACTACTGGAACACACATGCAAGAAAAAAAATGCTCAGCTTTGAATTTTTTTTGCCAGCAGTACCTTAGTGTTCCTACTTTGAGCTGTCCCGTCTGTTATATAATTCAACACATTCACCATGAAGCTGGGTATCATAGGCTGCTTAGACACCAATGTATACAATGTTGTACTGCCCTAACTGTATGCACTGTTATCAATGTACATGATGTATACAATGTTGTATTGGCCTAATAACTGTATACAATGTTATCAATGTACTAGTATATAATGTTGTACTGCCCTAACTGTTTGCAATGTTATCAATGTATACAATGCTGTACTGCCCTAGCTGTATGCAATGTTATCAATGTATACAATGTTGTATTGGCCTACTAATTGTTTGCAATGTTATCAATGTATACAATGCTGTACTGCCCTAACTGTATGCAATGTTATCAATGTATACAATGTTGTATTGGCCTACTAACTGTATGCAATATCACTATGTACAATGTTGTACTGACCTAACTGTATGCAATGTTATCAATGTATACAATGTTGTACTGCCCTAACTATGCAATGTTATCAATGTATACAATATTGTATTGGCCTACTAATTGTTTGCAATGTTATCAATGTATACAATGCTGTACTGCCCTAACTGTATGCAATGTTATCAATGTATACAATGTTGTACTGACCTAACTGTATGCAATGTTATCAATGTATACAATGTTGTATTAGCCTACTAACTGTATACAATGTTATCAATGTATATAATGTTGTACTGCCCTAACTGTATGCAATGTTATCAATGTATACAATGTTGTATTAGCCTACTAACTGTATACAATGTTATCAATGTATACAATGTTGTACTGCCCTAACTATGCAATGTTATCAATGTATACAATGCTGTATTAGCCTACTAACTGTATACAATGTTATCAATGTATATAATGTTGTACTGCCCTAACTGTATGCAATGTTATCAATGTATACAATGTTGTATTGGCCTACTAACTGTATGCAATGTTATCAATGTATACAATGCTGTACTGCCCTAACTGTATGCAATGTTATCAATGTATACAATGTTGTATTAGCCTTCTAACTGTATACAATGTTATCAATGTATATAATGTTGTACTGCCCTAACTGTATGCAATGTTATCAATGTATACAATGCTGTATTGACTCACTAACTGTACACAATGTTATCAATGTATACAATGTTGTATTGGCCTACTAACTGTACACAATGTTATCAAAGTATACAATGTTGTATTGGCCTTCTAACTGTACACAATGTTATCAATGTATACAATGTTGTATTGGCCTACTAACTGTACACAATGTTATCAATGTATACAATGTTGTATTTGCCTACTAACTGTATACAATGTCATCAATGTATATAATGTTGTACTGCCCTAACTGTATGCAATGTTATCAATGTATACAATGCTGTATTGACTCACTAACTGTACACAATGTTATCAATGTATACAATGTTGTATACGCCTACTAACTGTACACAATGTTATCAAAGTATACAATGTTGTATTGGCCTTCTAACTGTACACAATGTTATCAATGTTTACAATGTTGTATTGGCCTACTAACTGTACACAATGTTATCAATGTATACAATGCTGTATTTGCCTACTAACTGTATACAATGTTATCAATGTATACAATGTTGTATTGGCCTAGTAACAGTATACAATGTTATCGTTGTATAATTGATGTATTGTGTGCATACACATGCTCATAATTTGTGCATCTAATATATATATGCAAGAATATTATTGCTCTACTTGGAAACACATGCTGATCCTGAGTACTTGATCAGTATCATGGAACTCAGAACATCACTGTATCATGTATATAAATACCATAGCTATCATAACACCTTCAGCAAGCTATGTCTTCAGCAGTTTAAGAATTTATTGCTATTTTTCACTGACACTTATTCCTTAAAAACAAACAATAATTCAGCATGACATATCCTTGTTTAATGAGAGTGCTTACCCCACCTTTTTTTCAAAACTAGAAACAAATAATTAATTATTTGTGCATCCTTTGTTCATCCTGAAAAAGGTATTTTACTTTTGAAATATTGATAATATTGGAACAATGTTCATGACAAATAATGTTGTGAGATTCATGTAAATAATAAACAAGACAGCTGCAACACGAAAATCATTTTGGGCGTAGCACTCAGATCATTTAAAAAGTTGATCTGACTTTGTTTTGTGGCTAATGTCCAGAAAGTTTGTCTGTAGAGATATTCCTGCAACTATAAACCATGAAATATCGCAGCCATCAGTGCTGGAAGACATAGACCTGTATACAGTAAATAATAACCATGTAGCGCTGATTAACTCCATAGAAACATATATATTGTTACCTCTTCTCAACACCAGGCTAAAAGCCTAGGTTGTACAGGTTTGTGGTTGTATGGGTTCCGTTGGTAGGGTTCAATTTTCTATATTATTTTTTTCATGACTTTTAGCACACACCGTTTGTTTAAAACTGAGGTTATATGTTTCTCAAACATATATATGTTGTAGGTCAAAATAAATAAAGCAACCATAATATGCAGAAACAATGATAAAAACATTTGGGTGGCAAGCGAAATAAATAGTTGGCCAGGTAACCTGAAACGCAAGTGTGTTTTGGGGATGATATACACCAAACTGACACATTGTATATCTTTAACCCAACACAACCTACATGCATGGTATACACCAGCCTGAAACACTGTATATCTTTAACCCCACACAACCTACATGCATGATATACACCACCCTGAGACACTGTATATCTTTAACCCCACACAACCTACATGCATGATATACACCAGCCTGAAACACTGTATATCTTTAACCCAACACAACCTACTTGCATGATATACACCAGCCTGAAACACTGTATATCTTTAACCCCACACAACCTACATGCATGATATACACCAGCCTGAACCAATGTATATCTTTAACCCCACACAACCTACATGCATGATATACACCAGCCTGAAACACTGTATATCTTTAACCCCACACAACCTACATGCATGATATACACCAGCCTGAAAAACACTGTATATCTTTAACCCCATATGACCTACATGCATGATATACACCAGCCTGAAACACTGTATATCGTTAACCTCACACAACCTACATGCATGATATACACCAGCCTGAAACACTGTATAACTTTAACCCCACACAACCTACATGCATGATATACACCAGCCTGAAACACTGTATATCTTTAACCCCACATGACCTACATGCATGATATACATCAGCCTGAAACACTGTATATCTTTAACCCCACACAACCTACATGCATGATATACACCAGCCTGAAACACTGTATATCTTTAACCCCACATGGCCTAAATGCATGATATACACCAGCCTGAAACACTGTATATCTTTAACCCCACACAACCTACATGCATGATATACACCAGCCTGAAACACTGTATATCTTTAACCCCACATGGCCTACATGCATGATATACACCAGCCTGAAACACTGTATATCTTTAACCTCACACAACCTATATGCATGATATACACCAGCCTGAAACACTGTATATCTTTAACCCCACATGACCTACATGCATGATATACACCAGCCTGAAACACTGTATATCTTGAACCCCACACAACCTACATGCATGATATACACCAGCCTGAAACACTGTATATCTTTAGCCCCACATGGCCTAAATGCATGATATACACCAGCCTGAAACACTGTATATCTTTAACCTCACACAACCTACATGCATGATATACACCAGCCTGAAACACTGTATATCTTTAAACCCCCCACAACCTACATGCATGATATACACTATCACAACTATCAAATATGATTCCACATTATATGACAATATCCAAGACTCATTATTGTCAAGGATGTGAAAAGAGACATGGCTTTTCTAGTCTTTAGTTTGAAAAAAATGTAAGTTTAAGGCACATGCAAGGATTTGCACTCCCCATGTTTTGTAATTGTGATAGAGGAATGTGTTATACATACTTGTGTTAGCATTACCATTTTCTGTCACAAAAATACTAAATCATACATCAAACTCACGGATTCTAATGTATGGTTGTAACAAGGGTATTATTGTAGACAAACACATCAAAGTTGATACACATTTAGAGGTAGGTATAAAATAAATAAAAGATTGCGTTGTACTTGGCAAACCATATTATCAATATTACAATCATGGAATATTTACCATATATACAAATATAGATAATTGATTCCCTGAAAGTGTTCAGGTGATAAATGACATTGGTTATTAAAACAAATTGATAGAGGTGCTTGTAAAAAAGTCAAGCTCAATTGAACATATTCCCGAACACAGCAAGCGTTTAGATTTTAAAGAGTTTTCTTAGAGAACTGTCAATCATTTTATACATATACATGCATTCAAATCTGATTGTCTTCCAAAGTATCTATCATTGTTATCCACTTACTTTAACAACATTATGTAATAAATGTTTCCCAAATCAGGGCCCTGTTCCACAAAGTGATCTTAGGGCTAAGACTGCCGTAAGTCTATGTTATAGTATGGGAGTTACGATCGTCTTGGCACTACGATCGCTTTGTGGAACAGGGCCCTGGACTTGGCCTGCTAGTATATCCTACAATAAATCCTGCCTGTATTCACACAAGTTTACCCAGCCCATGAGCACAATTTAGAGAGTCAGATATTTAATTTCATCTTATTGAAACATGTTATAATGAAGAAATAAACAATATATATTTCAGTCACATGGATGCTTCCCTAGGAACCAGCAGCTTGTCACTGTGGTCACTAATCCGAAGCGCGAGTTGAGTAAAAGTCTGTTGGGTCTGATAAACTCAGCTAATAATCGTCCCTATAATAATATTAAAATGTACTGAAAAGTAGCATAGACTAAACTGCTAATACTGACTGACCCCATCAAAGACACAGGATTTCTTCCCCCTGTGGTTCCCCCCTGTAGACAAACAAGTGCCTATAACATGTATAGCAAAACATCTTCACCAGAGGCGTGTTCAGGAGGGCGAGCGACCACACGAGAATACAGTGAGGCAATATCACGCCTTTCTGAACGGGAGGTGCATACTCGCTCTCGCGGCACAGCATCCAAAATGGCGTCGCCGGGGATCAAAACAGCCCTGTCCACAAGTGTCATAGGTTCACACATTTAATTTCATCACAAGTTTGATGGGTTCATACTTTGATGTTCATGATAACAAAGTGTTTAGTTTTATTATAAGTTACATGTCCCTGTGCAGGACCAGACAATCCAGCAATCGACATGAGCATCGGTCTGTGCAATGGTGATACATGCATCACCCAAGTCAGCGAGTCTTATCACTCGATCCTTATGGCAAACATATGGGTAGCGGAAGACCTATTGTCTTCCCTGATCATCACGGGTCAATATATTGAAAATGGAAAAATAACTTTTTGATGGTAGATCTAGTCTAAAAAATTATTGTTTTGACATTGGTTCCATTCTCGTCAAAGGCAAACATTTGTTCAATGTGCAATGCCATCTTGGATTACGAGGCGAACTACCTCTCGGGCTCGATCGGGACTACACACGTGCGCTCGTGTGGTTAGCCGTGTTCAACAGTGCACGCTCGCATAATATCGCGAGCGCCCGCCCTCCTGAAAACGCCTCAGCTGTATTGAGGTTCAGCCTTAAAAGGCATATTCAAAGGGAGATTACTCTAGAATATTACAGTTTGTTAAAATGGCTGCCTTCAGGATGATTGTAAAGATACAATTTTCAATAATAGACTTGGCCCATGTAGTAAGTGGATCATGCAATTGTTAGGGTGTAGACTAACATTAAGTCCCAGAAATAACGTGATCTTATTTAAAAATATATATCTACAAAATAATAAAATTCAAATTGACCTCAGAACATCGCTTAATTTCAGAGCTGAGGCAATCTAGGCTTGCCCAATCATTCTAGACTTGAGTTGGTCTGCTTTTTGAATTTATTCTCTAGACTCTGGGATATAGACAAGCTGGGGTGCCCATCCCCTTGAAGATGGAGAAAAGAAGTGTTTTAGGTCATAGTTTTCGAAAGTTTAAACTTATAAGTGACCAATAATGGCATTTCATTGTAATTTCAGTAAACACTAGTAGATTTCTAGCAGTGATAGAAGGATAAAAACATATAGTTAAAATTATCACAGTATAAAAATGTAGCTGAAAAGAAAAGTAACTGGCACCCAATGAACACATGTTTGCATTCACCATCAAACACTAAAAACACATGCAAAACATGAACAGGTACAAAATCATAAGTGAACACTGAATAGGCAGAGGTAAACATGGCAGACAGGTGAGGATATTCATTGTTGAGATTGTGGAGGACAGAGGTCTTGTACACCCACTACATCTTATCAAGTGGAGGAAAGACAGTATGGCTGTGGAGGACAGAGGTCCAGTACACCCACTACACCTAATCAAGTGGAGGAAAGACAGTATGGCTGTGGAGGACAGAGGTCCAGTACACCCACTACACCTTATCAAGTGGAGGAAAGACAGTATGGCTGTGGAGGACAGAGGTCTAGTACACCCACTACACCTTATCAAGTGGAGGAAAGACAGTATGGCTGTGGAGGACAGAGGTCTAGTACACCCATTACACCTTATCAAGTGGAGGAAAGACAGTATGGCTGTGGAGGACAGAGGTCTAGTACACCCACTACACCTTATCAAGTGGAGGGAAGACAGTATGGCTGTGGAGGACAGAGGTCTAGTACACCACTACACCTTATCAAGTGGAGGAAAAACAGTATGGCTGTGGAGGACAGAGGTCCAGTACACCACTACATCTTATCAAGTGGAGGGAAGACAGTATGGGAATGGCCACCATTATTGTCTTCCAATATCTGTCAGGTGCTGAAAAAATTCAACAAATACTTACTTAAATCTTATATCACTATGACTCTTTGAATTCCTATAATAAAAGGTGCAAGATGAGCCTTACAAAATTATTAATGTCTTTGACGAAAGTTCTGTTTGATTTTAGGAAACAAACGCATGTTAATGTCCAATATTACTCACTTCTCAAAGGTTAAAAACGAGGAAATCCCAACATACATGTTGATTTTTTTGATTTGTCAGAATATATAATGGAGTCCTGGTCTAAACATCATAACGGTCATGCAGCTCAAGAACAGCCAAGAACCAGTCTATCAAATAAGGTCCAACTCCAGTGCCTGATGAATTCTATACATGCTTGGGATAAAGCCCTATGTACATCTGATGACTTGCTTAGTGGCTTGCATCAATGAAAGCACAGAGTGTTTAGCACTAAATTAAACCAGCTTTACGGTTATAAGAAAATCTTCAAAAAGCTCTGTCTGTAGACAAATACTTATCCGAATATACAAAAACACAAAAGTTGTAGAAAAATATCTGCAAATTTGATCTTGTCCCTTTGGACAAATATATATGAATGCACCAGGAAGACAGTGGCCTACTTCATGGCCGATACTATTACGTTAAGTCACCCATCAAACTTGGATCTTTACACAGATAGTTGTCCGACCAATACTACTGCCAACTGACTTTGGTTATCCAGAAAACATCATTTGTTTCATGAAGGTCATCCAGGTCAATATCATCCAATATGAAGGAAGACCCTGGAAGTGACACAGGTACAATCGGACTGTCTAGAATAGACTGAATACCAGACAGAAGTTGAGGGCTATGTAGACAATTGTTGCAGTTTCTATGATGTTTATTCCTGTTTCTTGAGTTTAACCATCTCCTCACTGAGGCACCACAGTCTCTCAGCATCATCTGCATCCATCGCATGAGGCAGCAGGTCACAGATCCGACTGTCACTGCAACATGTGTATTTTTACTCAGTGGTTTAGTTTGGTTTGTTGTTTAACGCCGCACTCAGCAATATTCCAGCTATATGACGGCGGTCTGTAAATAATCGAATCTGGACCAGACAATCCAGTAATTGACATCATGAGCATCGATCCACGCAACTGGGATACGATGACGTGCATCAGACCAAGTCAGCGAGCCTGACCACCCGATCCCGTTAGACGCCTCTTTCGACAAGCATAATCGCCTTTTACGGCAAGCATGGGTTGCTGAAGACCTATTCTACCCCAGATCTTCACTGGTCGAATTCCAGATGCAACACCGATCATTGACATGTCAAAACATATGTCCTTGTTGAAACCAAGTCAGCGAGCCTGACCACCCGATCCTGTTAGTAGCCTCTTACGATAAGCATATGTTGCTGAAGACCTATTCTACCCTGGATCTTCACTCAGTGTGGAGACTGCCAATGAGATGAGCACCTTGGAGTAACAATCTCGTTAAAATCAGGACCTGTTTGTACCAAACCTTCATTTACTAAGGCTAAAAAAATGATAGTCTTGGTTCTCAGGCACTGCCCGCATCATCATAAAGTCTGCCGCACGTTTCGTTTTTCATTTTCAAAAAAATAAAAAAATCCTAATACTTAAAAAGAATGCGATCCAATATAGCAATGGAGCAATATATGAGGGGAGGCTATACCCAGGTTGATGGTACACAACTGCTTATTTGGTTACATACTAGTTAAATTAAATGAATAATTAAATAATGATACTCCAAGTGTAAGACTTCCATTATGTGCAATCAAATCAGGGCATTCCCTTCCATTTTCGAACATTTCCATTTTAGGAAACAAGCGCTTTCTCCATCCTGTCATCTGCCAAGTGGATTTACTGTAGTAGCAGTTCTCTCAACTCGAAAGTTTGGTAAGTCATAGGCTAAAAAAAATAAAAGAATTAGTTCTCATGCAATGACTTTTGAAAATACAGTGCGGGCGGGTGTTTTCTTTGGTGTTTTTGATCATTCAAACAAGTATGTAACCAAATAAACAGTTGTTTGCGATCAACCTGGGAAAGGCCTCCCTACATAAACAGCATACAAACTCATATTGCCGCTGTGACCATAATGAGAGATGCACAGTAAAGCAGTGTGCATGTGAAGGGAAGTAACTGCATGCTATATTGGATCGCATTGTTTTTAAGTACAGGGTATTAGGATTTTTTTTTTTTTATGAAAATGGAAATAAAAACGAAATGTGCAGCAGACATTACGATGATGTGGGCGGTGCCTGAGAACCAAGACTATTATTTTTTAGCCTTAATTGCCACATGCATGACTTCTGATGATCACTTTGGGATGTACTGATATATATTAACTCAATACGCTTCTTCAGTATTTACCTGATCAGGCGGCAAGAAGAAGCCCTGAAATCTCTGTGCAAAGAATAAAATGTTTTTATCAATAAAAACTTTCACATCTTTATGTTCTTCCAACTTCTAAATGCATATCAAAGAACTGAAATATCTTGTCTTACGAGAGAAACTTTCCTGAGATGTTCTCCATCTCTGGGGCCACAGCGCAGTACACAGTGGTGCGAGCTCCCTGCTTGGGTGTGTTGGCGAAGAGGTAGTACAGAGCTTCACCCACTGTGCCCAACAGGAACTTGATGAGCCAATTGAAGTCGAGCTGGGTGACGTTGCGGCCGATCTCCGTGTACACCACCCCTGGATGCAGACAGTTGACCGTCACACCACTGCCTGAAGGTAAACACAGGGGATAACAGTGGCTTACAAATATGCTGCTTATTTCATTGGATGATATTTCATGAGTGGCACTGCAACACGTTTAACAATTACCATTAATATTCTTTTATGTACATACTCACCGACAAAAGTGACTGAGTGAACATGGTTTTACGCCACTTTTTAGCAATATTCCAGCAATATCACGGCGGGGAACACCAGAAATGGGCTTCACACATCGTACCCATGTCGGGAATTGAACCCTGGTTTTCAGCGTTGAGAGCGAACGCTTTAACCACTAGGCTACCCCACCGCCCCCCACTACCAAAAGAAACACCAATACCATACATGTTGTTTAATATATGAAGAATTACTCATATTCAAGAGATATTAGATTGGTTCGATGCAAAATCGAACAAACTGGTGTGTTGTGTGAACTGACACTCATGAACACATGTGACGTCATAGATCCATGACTCGAAATGATCCTTTTGCCATGCAGGATGAGCATGTCATGTTTGGAAATCACGTACAGCATATCATGATAAGTATAAAGACACACTGTGGTAACACTTGACTGATTGTTAATTTTGTCATTAATTGGGCAACACTGGAAACATCTCTTCTCAACTTATATACTTCGCCATGTTTCTATAGTTGACGTTTGTTTTGGTGGTGAGTATAGAATTAAATCTGTCTTTGCAAATCTTCCAAGTATTAAAACTAAAAACTGTTCACACACAAGATAGAAACTTTTGACAACCTCCATTAATGTTCATTTATATTATAATTCAAGCTGTTTATTGCATGAACTATCTTCTCAACAAATCAAGTACTTGCCTAAACACTCTGATCTACATTCAACAGGATTCACATACCAGATAGAAAACAGTTGTAACTTTAGAGACTTAACATATTAAAAAGGAGAATTATCTGATACAAACAAATTGACCCAAAAGCAGGATGAAACAGTATTTCATGTATTAAAAAAATGGAACAATTACAATGCACAACAGCTGAACAGCATTGGTATACTTCATGCCCTGTACTGTAATCAGAACAGCCACAAACTGGTCATCTGCTTGTGAGTGAGTATGGTTTTACGCCGTTTTTAGCAATATTCCAGCGATATCATGGCGAGGAACACCAGAAATGGGCTTCACACACTGTACCCATGTGGGACATCAAACTTGGTTCTTCAGTGCGAATGAATGCTTTAACCACAAGGCTACCATGATCAGCTGTAATAGCTTACCTCTAAGTCTGCTGCTTAGTTCCCTGGTGAACAGCACATTGGCTAACTTGGATTTGGCATACACATCAAACGCTTTGTATTCCTTTTTACTGTTGATGTCATCAAAATTCATTTTTCCCACTGGAAATACAAAAGAGTGGAGTTTCTTTTATGTTGCATGTTTTCTGCACCACATAAGAAAGCTAGCATGAAACTTAATGAGGTCATGACTCACTGGCACAGTCAACAGTCAAGGGGAGATAATCTGACACAATGTGTGACAAATAGTGAAAGGTGAGGTGAACGTTGCATTCAAGATTATTTTACTGATGTGCATGCAGTTGTGTGCATACACATGTGTTACACACAGACCACTAATTTCCCCCACCCCCCCACCCCTCCCACAGCCAAAACACACAGTCAAATCCCCCTAAACATTCCCAATCAGTTAGAGCAGGCGTATAACATAAGTCTAATATGTACATACCAATGTTTAATGTCTAGTTTTCCTTGTATATTGTGGTAACAGTGGCACCTCTAAACTTAACACACAGTGATGTGGCATTGATTGATATTTAGAGATTAATTAATAGTCAAAGTCACAGAATACATATACATTTCATGAGAGTCAAACATTCACCAAGTTCACAGACAGGACCTTTTTTTAAGAGTGAGTGAGTGAGTATGGTTTTACACCGCTTTTAGCAATATTCCAGCAATATCACGGCGGGGGACACCAGAAATGGGCTTCGCACATTGTACCCATGTCAGGAATCGAACCCGGGTCTTCGGTGTGACGAGCGAACGCTTTAACCACTAGGCTACCCGGCCGCCCCTCCTTTTTTTAAGAACAGAAAGAGGGATTCTTCAACTGGTTTGTCCATCCGTTACAAATGTTGTTCAACGTGGTCTCAATGTAAAGTTCCTTGCACCACTGACTTACTTGCATAGCCTTTAGATGAAACGTTGATGATCCTGCTGGGTGCGGACTTCTTCATCACATCCAGCAGCAGGTTGGTGAGGAGGAAGTGGCCGAGATGGTTCACTGCAAACTGCATCTCATAGCCGTCCCTGGACTCCAGTCTCGGGCCTATAGCCACCGCTAGACAACAGGAACACTGATGAATTGTTTGATAGGCATAACTTAGAAGTTGACAGATGACAAAGTAGATACAATGTATGGATAACAACTTTGCCTTGACAGTATTAAGAAGTTGTTGTCCATAAATTGTGTCTACTTTGTCAGGAAAACTGATATGTTCATATCTCAAAGAATTATATTTCAACCAATTTTACAAATTAACTTTATAATTATTGTTACTTGTAAGTCAAAGCAGTGTTTGGTGTGTGTGTATATAATGAATTTATATCCACTGTAGGACTGTGGCAAGTTTTACAATCAGCTGCGTATTTCATTCTCGTGCACTACCACCATCATAAATGTGACTGTAGATGGGCTCACTATAACAGCAATAATAAAGTATCGACTGTACTACATCTTCAAGGGTGGTGCACCCAGGATGTTAGACAGAGCTTTGGTTTGAACCTGCATTGTTAATGAGCACATCCAGCTTCTTCTCCTCCTGCAGGAAGTTGTCCACAAACGACCGGATGGACTGGAAGGAGGCGAGGTCCAGTAGCTTGCAGGCGCCCTGGTTCTGACTGTTAGCCACATGGATGTCCTTCAGAGCTGCAGCTCCCTTCACCACATCACGACATGCAATGATCACTCTGGCCCCTAGGGAGCAAGACATATACTCAGTTACTACTCAGTGTGTGCTCCCAGCAGTGTAATAAAACACTCTGATGGTGCAGCTAATGGTATCAAGCTTCTCTAGAGAATCATATGTCTGTATGGGGTGACACAGGGCTGGTGGGAGTACTATGGGGTGTTGTGACACAAGACTGGTGGAAGTACTGTTGGGTGTTGTGACATGGCTGGTGGGAGTACTATGGGGTGACACAAGGCTGGTGGGAGTACTACCGGGGTGTTGTGACAGGGCTGGTGGGAGTACTACGGGGTGTTGTGACACAAGGCTGGTGGGAGTACTATGGGGTGTTGTGACACAAGGCTGGTGGGTGTACTGTTGGGTGTTGTGAAACAGGGCTGGGGGGAGTACTATGGGGTGACACAAGGCTGGTGGGAGTACTACGGGGTGTTGTGACACAAGGCTGGTGGGAGTACTATGGGGTGTTGTGACACAAGGCTGGTGGGTGTACTGTTGGGTGTTGTGACAGGGCTGGTGGGAGTACTATGGGGTGTTGTGAAACAGGACTGGTGGGAGTACTATTGGGTGACACAAGGCTGGTGGGAGTACTATGGGGTGTTGTGAAACAGGACTGGTGGGAGTACTATGGGGTGACACAAGGCTGGTGGGAGTACTATGGGGTGTTGTGAAACAGGACTGGTGGGAGTACTATTGGGTGACACAAGGCTGGTGGGAGTACTATGGGGTGTTGTGAAACAGGACTGGTGGGAGTACTATGGGGTGACACAAGGCTGGTGGTAGTACTATGGGGTGTTGTGAAACAGGACTGGTGGGAGTACTATGGGGTGTTGTGAAACAGGACTGGTGGGAGTACTATTGGGTGACACAAGGCTGGTGGGAGTACTATGGGGTGTTGTGAAACAGGACTGGTGGGAGTACTATGGGGTGACACAAGGCTGGTGGGAGTACTATGGGGTGTTGTGAAACAGGACTGGTGGGAGTACTATTGGGTGACACAAGGCTGGTGGGAGTACTATGGGGTGTTGTGAAACAGGACTGGTGGGAGTACTATGGGGTGACACAAGGCTGGTGGGAGTACTATGGGGTGTTGTGAAACAGGACTGGTGGGAGTACTATGGGGTGTTGTGAAACAGGACTGGTGGGAGTACTATTGGGTGACACAAGGCTGGTGGGAGTACTATGGGGTGTTGTGAAACAGGACTGGTGGGAGTACTATTGGGTGACACAAGGCTGGTGGGAGTACTATGGGGTGTTGTGACAGGGCTGGTTGGAGTACTATGGGGTGTTGTGAAACAGGGTTGGTGGGAGTACTATGGGGTGTTGTGACACAGGGCTGGTGGGAGTACTACGGGGTGTTGTGAAACAGGGTTGGTGGGTGTACTATGGGGTGTTGTGACAGGGCTGGTTGGAGTACTATGGGGTGTTGTGACACAAGGCTGGTGGGAGTACTATGGGGTGTTGTGAAACAGGGCTGGTTGGAGTACTATGGTGTGTTGTGACACAGGGCTGGTGGGAGTACTATGGGGTGTTGTGAAACAGAGCTGGTGGGAGTACTATTGGGTGTTGCAACACAAGACTGGTGGGAGTACTATGGGGTGTTGTGACAGGGCTGGTGGGAGTACTATGTGGTGTTGTGACACAAGGCTGGTGGGAGTACTATTGGGTGTTGTGACACAGGGCTGGTGGGAGTACTATGGGGTGTTGTGACACAGGGCTGGTGGGAGTACTACGGGGTGTTGTGACACAAGGCTGGTGGGAGTACTGTGGGGTGTTGTGACAGGGCTGGTGGGAGTACTATTGGGTGTTGCAACACAAGACTGGTGGGAGTACTATGGGGTGTTGTGACAGGGCTGGTGGGAGTACTATGTGGTGTTGTGACACAAGGCTGGTGGGAGTACTATTGGGTGTTGTGAAACAGAGCTGGTGGGAGTACTATTGGGTGTTGCAACACAAGACTGGTGGGAGTACTATGGGGTGTTGTGACAGGGCTGGTGGGAGTACTATGTGGTGTTGTGACACAAGGCTGGTGGGAGTACTATTGGGTGTTGCAACACAAGACTGGTGGGAGTACTATGGGGTGTTGTGACAGGGCTGGTGGGAGCACTATGTGGTGTTGTGACACAGGGCTGGTGGGAGTACTATGGGGTGTTGTGACACAGGGCTGGTGGGAGTACTACGGGGTGTTGTGACACAAGGCTGGTGGGAGTACTGTGGGGTGTTGTGACAGGGCTGGTGGGAGTACTATTGGGTGTTGCAACACAAGACTGGTGGGAGTACTATGGGGTGTTGTGACAGGGCTGGTGGGAGCACTATGTGGTGTTGTGACACAAGGCTGGTGGGAGTACTATTGGGTGTTGTGAAACAGAGCTGGTGGGAGTACTATTGGGTGTTGCAACACAAGACTGGTGGGAGTACTATGGGGTGTTGTGACAGGGCTGGTGGGAGTACTATGTGGTGTTGTGACACAAGGCTGGTGGGAGTACTATTGGGTGTTGTGACACAGGGCTGGTGGGAGTACTATGGGGTGTTGTGACACAGGGCTGGTGGGAGTACTACGGGGTGTTGTGACACAAGGCTGGTGGGAGTACTGTGGGGTGTTGTGACAGGGCTGGTGGGAGTACTATTGGGTGTTGCAACACAAGACTGGTGGGAGTACTATGGGGTGTTGTGACAGGGCTGGTGGGAGCACTATGTGGTGTTGTGACACAAGGCTGGTGGGAGTACTATTGGGTGTTGTGAAACAGAGCTGGTGGGAGTACTATTGGGTGTTGCAACACAAGACTGGTGGGAGTACTATGGGGTGTTGTGACAGGGCTGGTGGGAGTACTATGTGGTGTTGTGACACAAGGCTGGTGGGAGTACTATTGGGTGTTGTGACAGGGCTGGTGGGAGTACTATGGGGTGTTGTGACACAGGGCTGGTGGGAGTACTACGGGGTGTTGTGACACAAGGCTGGTGGGAGTACTGTGGGGTGTTGTGACAGGGCTGGTGGGAGTACTACGGGGTGTTGTGACACAAGGCTGGTGGGAGTACTGTGGGGTGTTGTGACACAAGACTGGTGGGAGTACTATGGGGTGTTGTGACACAAGACTGGTGGGAGTACTATGTGGTGTTGTGACACAGGGCTGGTGGGAGTACTATGGGGTGTTGTGACAGGGCTGGTGGGAGTACTGTGGGGTGTTGTGACACAAGGCTGGTGGGAGTACTATGGGGTGTTGTGAAACAGGGCTGGTTGGAGTACTATGGTGTGTTGTGACACAGGGCTGGTGGGAGTACTATGGGGTGTTGTGAAACAGAGCTGGTGGGAGTACTATTGGGTGTTGCAACACAAGACTGGTGGGAGTACTATGGGGTGTTGTGACAGGGCTGGTGGGAGTACTATGTGGTGTTGTGACACAAGGCTGGTGGGAGTACTATTGGGTGTTGTGACACAGGGCTGGTGGGAGTACTATGGGGTGTTGTGACACAGGGCTGGTGGGAGTACTACGGGGTGTTGTGACACAAGGCTGGTGGGAGTACTGTGGGGTGTTGTGACAGGGCTGGTGGGAGTACTATTGGGTGTTGCAACACAAGACTGGTGGGAGTACTATGGGGTGTTGTGACAGGGCTGGTGGGAGTACTATGTGGTGTTGTGACACAAGGCTGGTGGGAGTACTATTGGGTGTTGTGAAACAGAGCTGGTGGGAGTACTATTGGGTGTTGCAACACAAGACTGGTGGGAGTACTATGGGGTGTTGTGACAGGGCTGGTGGGAGTACTATGTGGTGTTGTGACACAAGGCTGGTGGGAGTACTATTGGGTGTTGTGACAGGGCTGGTGGGAGTACTATGGGGTGTTGTGACACAGGGCTGGTGGGAGTACTACGGGGTGTTGTGACACAAGGCTGGTGGGAGTACTGTGGGGTGTTGTGACAGGGCTGGTGGGAGTACTACGGGGTGTTGTGACACAAGGCTGGTGGGAGTACTATGGGGTGTTGTGACAGGGCTGGTGGGAGTACTATGTGGTGTTGTGACACAAGGCTGGTGGGAGTACTATTGGGTGTTGTGAAACAGAGCTGGTGGGAGTACTATCGGGTGTTGCAACACAAGACTGGTGGGAGTACTATGGGGTGTTGTGACAGGGCTGGTGGGAGTACTATGTGGTGTTGTGACACAAGGCTGGTGGGAGTACTATTGGGTGTTGTGACAGGGCTGGTGGGAGTACTATGGGGTGTTGTGACACAGGGCTGGTGGGAGTACTACGGGGTGTTGTGACACAAGGCTGGTGGGAGTACTGTGGGGTGTTGTGACAGGGCTGGTGGGAGTACTACGGGGTGTTGTGACACAAGGCTGGTGGGAGTACTGTGGGGTGTTGTGACACAAGACTGGTGGGAGTACTATGGGGTGTTGTGACACAAGACTGGTGGGAGTACTATGTGGTGTTGTGACACAGGGCTGGTGGGAGTACTATGGGGTGTTGTGACAGGGCTGGTGGGAGTACTGTGGGGTGTTGTGACACAAGGCTGGTGGGAGTACTGTAGGGTGTTGTGACAGGGGTGGTGGAAGTACTACGGGGTGTTGTGACGCAAGGCTGGTGGGTGTACTATGGGGTGACACAAGGCTGGTGGGAGTACTACAGGGTGTTGTGACACAAGGCTGGTGGGAGTACTATAGGGGTGTTGTGACAGGGCTGGTGGGAGTACTACGGGGTGTTGTGACAGGGCTGGTGGGAGTACTACGGGGTGTTGTGACACAAGGCTGGTGGGAGTACTGTGGGGTGTTGTGACAGGGCTGGTGAGAGTACTATGGGGTGTTGTGACAGGGCTGGTGGGAGTACTACGGGGTGTTGTGAAATGGGGCTGGTGGGAATACTACGGGGTGTTGTGACAGGGCTGGTGGGAGTACTGTAGGGTGTTGTGACAGGGGTGGTGGAAGTACTACGGGGTGTTGTGACACAAGGCTGGGTGTACTGTGGGGTGTTGTGACAGGGCTGGTGGGAGTACTACAGGGTGTTGTGACACAAGGCTGGTGGGAGTACTGTGGGGTGTTGTGACAGGGCTGGTGGGAGTACTACGGGGTGTTCTGACACAAGGCTCGTGTGAGTACTATGGGTTGTTGTGAAATGGGGCTGGTGGGAGTACTATGTGGTGTTGTGACACCAGGCTGGTGGGAGTACTATGGTTTGTTGTGACAGGGCTGGTGGGAGTACTATGGGGTGTTGTGACACAGGGCTGGTGAGAGTACTATGGGGTGTTGTGACAGGGCTGGTGGGAGTACTATGGGGTGTTGTGACAGGGCTGATGGGAGTACTATGGGGCATGTTGTGCACACTTTTACCTCTCTTCATCAGCTCCTGGGCTGTAGCTTTGCCGATGCCTGTGTTTCCCCCAGTGATCAGCACTGTCTTGCCATCCATCCGTGCTTGGCTCCGCACTGGGCTGCCCACTAGCCACTGACGCAGCAAGATGTACCCAAATCCTGCAGACAAGACAAAACTGGTATCTCGAGGAATACAGATTTTACACAAACAGACACAAAAGAAACTTCATAAACATTAATTGGGGCCAGTACAGGTTATTAATGATTTGCAGAATCTCAATAAATATGTTAAGAAATATGTCTGTTCTCCTAATTATCAGCTCTTCTTACTCTTGATTTTAATAATCATCACAAGTATTTCTAACCACAAGCAACCCATAAATGGGCTTCATACATGGCAAATCAAACCCTTTTCTTTGTTTTGAGCAAATGTGTCACCACTAGGCAATGCCACTTATAGATGATAAAATAAATGACAAAAAAACAAGTAAAGGGTATGTGGATCTTACATTCGCATACCGTAAACATGATGATCTCTCCATCACTGATGAAGGCAGCACTCACCGACTCCGAGCACGGAGGACATTAGAATGTGATGGCTGTGGGTCAGCCCGACCAGGGATCTCCACATCTCCTCCAAAGACTCCATCTCCGGGAACTCTCACCTGTAAATTAGCAGTGTCACAAAGTTCTCTAACTCAACATGCTCAACTGGCTGACAGACAGACAGATATTTTATTTTCGTCTCACTGTTGTACATCATAAAAAAAAAGGCATAAAAAAGACGTTTATACATAGAAATAATAATACAGGGCGACTCATATAAAGTTATGAGAGAAGATACATCGAACTCGATGATATATACAGATAAAAAATGTTTTACCCATATAACAATATCTTTCTGCGTTGTAATAGTAAAAAGCAGGTTTTGGCAGTGACATATATACCTCATGTTTAAAAAGGACACACAATTTCTCATTGTTTGATAGGTGTAAAGTTGGACATTTTAGCCGCTATACACGTGAATAAAGTGGATCTTAGATCATCGTATAGTGGGCATTCGAATAAAACATGTTTTTCATCTTCAAGATGATCATTACAATTAAAGCACTCTCTGTCTTCAACCTTTAAATTAAAATGTTTTGATCCAATACCACATCTAAATTTTGTAAATGCAGATCTGTAATTCCGGGGCATAAAGCTCTTGACATAGTCTTTACAGCAATAACAATCTTTAAAAATCCTATACATACGGAGTTTGCTTGTACCAGTAGGCCTATAAACATTAACAGGAACAACTGGTTTGGGGCTAAATCCAAGTATCCATCCTGCTATGAACCGTGCATGTACTTGGCTCTCTGGTTTATGTCAAAGCATTAAATGTAGTGAGCGAAAATAGCTGTTAGAATAGGTCTTCAGCAACCCATGCTTGCCGTAAAAGGCAAATATGCTTGTCGGAAGATTCGACTAACGGGATCGAGTGGTCAGACTTGCTGACTTGGTTGATGCATGTCATTGTATCCCAATTGCATAGATCGATGATCATGATGTCAGTTACTGCATTGTCTGGTCCAGACTTGATTATTTACAGACCGCCGGCATATAGCTGCTGGAATATTGCTGAGTGCGGCGTTAAACAACAAACAAACAAACAAACAAAGCCTGCCCGCTGTCTCATGGCTGGTAACATTCCTATAGGGCCAGGTGAAATATTTTCCTGCCTGGCAGACTGTCCAGTAGAAAATTTCATTGCTACACCTACACTGACAATTTTGAATTGGACATTGATGTGTGACTCACCTGAGATCAAAAGCTAACTTAATGATTACAAAGCTGTAAATGTTAAAGGCAAAAAGTAAAGTGAATCTGAGAAAAATACTGATTATAAACTCCACTGTTTCCAGCATGTATTTACAAACGAGGGCCCACAGGTCTGCAACGATCAAGACCGCCTAGCAATAGTACGAGTCACTAGCCCGCCTGGCTATTGTGGGTAAAGATTATTTCAGCCACTGCGTCTGAGATCTGTCATTTTGGAGCTTTCCTACAAAAAGTTTATGACAGTCAGGCCGAACAGGAGTCCGAACACCTTGTGTGAGAAACAACTAACATGTTTTTCAAGTTTTTCTTATGAGGTCTGAGGAATTTTCCTGTTCTTGAATTGCACTATAGTTCACAACTGTGTTCATAAAAGTACCTTGTACACAGTGACTGTTGCTGGTATAACGGTAATTTGTATTATTCGCTGAACTCACAGTCAATAATTCAAACATGGTGTTTACTTCAAGGGGAGGTAATTCTTGTTTCACTGAATGATATATAAGTACACTGCAAAGCAACTCACCGAATACAGGTACAACGAATGTTCAATGTTCTTGATGTTTCCAATCGTTGCACCTAGAAATAACTCAGCACTTTGCAGACACCCTTTTCAGACGGCCGCAGTTGAAACCATGTTATCATCCACTGTGTGTGACTAATTATTCAGTATTTTTCATTCCGATAATCGTACCAGGTTGGGCTATCTAATGAATGGCTGGCTGTCAGAATTGTTCGCGGCGAACCTGACCATGTCATGACAAACTCAGCTTCTTCCTATCAATAGTGTGTCGAGCTCAAAGTCCGTGCGATTGAGGTATTTTATCATCAGCGGGGAGGACCACCGCCTGTACTCGTATAAAGGGAAGTAACTCTTTAATAGAGGGATTTTACTCTATAAACACACTTCATTCAATTAATACATTTAAAATACCCGATTTCCATATTCAACGTATTTCCAAATTCCATTAACAGTGGCTCTCGTTCCTGATTTCTTCATTTGTGTGTGAAGGATACTTTATAAAGAAATAACTATTATTGGAATATAATTGTACCACAATAATTAACAGCACTTTGGCAAAAATACACTCATTCTCTATGGCCTCCATTAGCCAGTTTATCATATCTCCATTCTATTTTGATAATCATCATTTATCATGATAGAATGAAGACATGTACGCGGTGAAAGTTCCCACCGTGACCACTCTATATTGTAATATTGCCACTGTGACCACTCATCGTTAATTGCGATTTTTAATTTAAAAAAATGAAACACAACAAAGTATTCATATTATACATTTATTTACCGTTTGCATTGAAAAAGCAGTTTTTTCTCTCTTGTTTTTCATTCTGGGGTATAAAGTACTGTCGGAAATGTTAGAAACATGCTTTTCTGGCTTCATTTAATAAATAGGGTCACAGGGCTATGAACATAGCATATATCAAAGTAACGCAAATTGACCTAATCTAGCCTATCCTAACGGACACTGTGATTACCCTTAAACGTACTTTTAAAGGTTAAATGATGATAAACTTAAAATATTCGTGTGTTGTTATGCATGTATGAAACGGCCTATAACCTGAGGTAATTACCTAACACCTGTCCTGAGGTGATGACCTCACACCGCCCCGTGCATTCTCACAGGTGCAAAGGTCACCCGAGTTGGGGGTGGTCTCTCAATATTGCTGTTGTTGTACTTAACTGACATGTGCGTTGATGGGGTAGCAATGTAGGATATGTACTGGATTATACTTTCTTGGATAAATGATGGAATAGTTAAAAGCTATGAAACGGGATGTGTAGTGGAAGGTTGTGGTTTTGGAATCAAGAAGTATTTGTTTTTCCATGGATGACTTCTGAGGTAGCATCTATCTCGGCTGATGACGTATATGAATCTGTACTATCACCCAAAGGTATGATAACTGGTTTATCGAGGCTGATAGCTAGCAAAGACTGCGTTGATCCTCCCCCCCCCCCCCCCCTTTGACATGCGTGAGTTTGAATGTTGTGTTATGTCTTGCCTAGACCTCTGTACACTCAGCCAAGATAGGCTCAATGCCTGACTGGCGTACGTAAGACAACGAGACCGTGTTGTGCCGCTAGCACTCGTCTTGTACTTTACTTGTTTCTTATTCAGCCGAATTTTCTCCATGAACTTTCCTTTCAGATGGTCTGAAGTCGACAATGTCATATATTCCTGTATGGTCGCCTTCAGACAACTCATGGTTGGCGCGACTGTATCTGGTTCCCGGACGTTGTAATAACTGGCGTTATCCATGACTATGACACTAATTTTTTTTTTAAAATGGGCAATAGCTGATGTTCCATCCAGTCTATGAACATATCACCTCCTATACTTTCCTTATGGCAAGCACCAGTTTTCTTCTTCACCTCGAAAACTAGCACACATCCATCAATGCGCCCCAGATCACGGGTTGCGGCGTGCAAAACAATGACCCCATTACCTTTACCTGATGGTGCTTTTTGTCCATCTGCCGATAGCCACATGTAGTCAGTGGAATAATTCATCAAGGTAAATTATCTGGAAGCCCTGACTGTGATAGTTATGAATGGTGCGGAGATAATGTGACCTCATAGACGGGATGGAATATTTCCCCCTGAAAACACAAATTGACCTGATCATCGAGGATACCTTCTGCCCATAAAGCTTGTACACTATACACCTAGTCACCCTGTATCAAATATCCTTTTACGGCCCGATTTTGTTTATTTCGATTTGTGCGTTTTATTGGATTACACCCCGCAACTGCAACAACTTGGCAAATGCTATGCTTCTTTGTTTTGTTGTTGTTTGTTCGTTTGTTTAACATCGCACTCGGCTATGCCGGCGGTCTGTATATAATCGAGTATGGACCAGACACTCCAGTGACTATCATGTGCATCAATCCACACAATTGGGGTACTGTGACAAGCATTAACCAAGTCAATATATATATATATAACCAAGTGATGTTGCAACATTGTGGGATTCGAAACATCACTTAGTTCAACCAGGGCGTACACGCACACACTCGGTCATCAACGTTGTGACACGGTATAGCTGCGTGGCACTCTCACGATACAGACGTTGTGCCACATGTTATGTTGACATTGATGCCGCTATTCACTTCTCAGTACCCATGCAAAGACACGTGGCTGTTTGTGCGGATATCCAGAAAATCACACAAAAGTAAAGTTTTCCACTCTGGTGAAACCCATCAACAAGTGCATATGTGTTGCCATGCCTATGATCGGTGTTGCATCTGGGATTCGACCAGTGAAGATCCGGGGTAGAATAGGTCTTCAGCAACCCATGCTTGCAGTAAAAGGCGTTTATGCTTGTAAAAAGAGGCGTCTAACGGGATCGGGTGGCCAGGCTCGCTGACTTGGTTTGATGCACGTCATCGTATCCCAATTGCGTGTATCGATGCTGGTGATGTCAGTCACTGGATTGTCAGGACCAGATTCGATTATTTACAGGAATTTACTGGAATATTGCTGAGTGCGACGTTAAACAACAAACAAAGAAACAAAGCATCTGGGATTCAAATAAAAAAACAGTTGAACTGGCAACACAAAAGGGAGCAACTTGCCATTGCCGTTAGACCCCCTGGTCATCAGAGATATGTGGAAGAGTAACCCAAATTACGGGGCACGGACAATTCTCGCCGAGCATTATCATTTTGCGTCATGCTAATTACCTTGTTCACGGCTGGCTACCTAATCGCATTATCAGGACATAAGTGCGGTCTCTAAACAACCCACAAATCACAACTTACTCAATATACGACCCCCATGAAAATGTAACAAAACTACCAAGAATAAAACATTTATTTCGTAAAAAATAATTTGTTCAAAACATCAATGTTTACATACATGTCATAGACATCAAAAGACAGTGGTCCTTGTTATGCTTATATAACAAATAAATAACAGCAGCAGGTTTGTTTCTATGTTGTGATTTTACCGGTATAGCAGTTGGGAAACACCTTGGAACCTATAGATCGCCGAGAATATCAGAGGTGTATGAACCAAGTAAATATCACGTCGGGGGGCACCAGATATGGGCTTCACACATTGTTTCCAGGTCTTCGGCGTGACGAGCGAACGCTTTAACCACTAGGCTACCCCACCGCCCCCTATGAACCAATTTTTTAGTTACCGAACCTGACCACCCTATCCCGTTGGTCGTCTTTTAAGAGTCATGGGTTGCTGAAGACATATTCATAGGTTTACCACTTTTGTAAAACCTACTCAGTGGCCACGGGTATGGTGCTGGCAGATCAAGTACCACACTCGGGGCTAATCTGGAACTTGAACACGAGACCTACCATCCTAAGGACGCCGAGGGACACGTATTCAGGTTTTCCAGACATAATGGTCATCCGTTTAATCCATGTCAACTAAATATATCTTCCTTAAATAGTAATATCATCTCGTAAATATTTGTTGTATCTAATCTTGTGGAGGTTACACACATGATTATATAAGTTATATTACCTTTCACGCATGCATAAATCATAACTCATTTAAGCCATCAATGTGGGTGAATCTTTTTTTAGAATGAAATCCTGACATATCCACATGTTCACTAAAACATCCCCAGCAGCCGAACTATGTATTAACACATTCAAACAGTCGTCTGTTTCGAGCCAGACTTGGTCACAGTTTCCTGTCTCTCAGTTTTCTTGTCCTCAGAATTCGATTCCACACGGTCGGACTTCGTTTTGCTACTTTTCCCGGAGTTATCTGCTCCTGTTACGAGGCCGGTCATTTCCTCACTCAACCTCCACAATCTCCTGGCAGCGTCCTCGTCGGTGGCGTGAGGCAGCAACTTCGTCTGTGTACAGTCGCTGAAAGTGAGAAATGACAATGTAATGCAATATCGAATCTTTTTTATTATTACTTTTTCATTTATGTTTAAGACAATACACATGGAATACTTTGAATTGAGGGGGTAAATGTTAGTGTCACTGTGTTCCGTGTGGCTAGTCTAGGTGAGGTGAAATGGGGTTTAACGTCGCGTCCAAGATTATTGCACTTATATAGCGACGTGCATGCACGTGTATGTGTGTGTGTGTGTGTGTGTGTGTGTGGCTGCTTGTACTAGTCCGACTGATGCCGATCTATAGTGCTAGCACACTGAGATAGCATCCCCCAGTTTAACATGAATAAACCACTCAGACACAGTATACTGACTCCGAGTCGACCAGTCCTTGTTTTAGCCCCTTAATGCCGAGCGCCAGACAGGGTAACAAGTACCATCGTTTAACGTCTTTTGGTATGACGCGGCTGGGGATCGAACCCCGGACCTTCCGCTCTCCGGGCGGACGCTCTACCATTAGACCACGGAGGCGGTCTGTGGCTAGTCTAGGCCTAGTACAAGTCCGGACTTACGTGGCTTAATAGTGCTAGCCTCGATCATGCCGTGGCTTAACATGGATACCCAATCAGACTCTAAGCCGACCAGTCCTTGTTTTATCCCTTTAACGACAAGCGCCAGGCAGGGAAACTACAAGCACCATCTTTTAACCTATTTTGGTATTACACTGACTGGGATTGAACCCCGACATTTCCCTTTCCGTGCAGACCCTCTATCTACTAGGCCACGATGATGATCATGTATAGGAAAACTGCCCGAACCGAATAATGGATATCACACAGTGATTTAACAAGGTTGAACCAAGATCATGGAACACGTTGTGCAAGTGAGCCCTGACAGAACCCATCGATCTTAAACACAGAACAAATATGAACATTATGCTAAAGTATCGTTGTAACAATTTTATTGATCGAAAGCCTGGTTAGTCTACATAAACCAATGGACTATCTCACCGCGTCCTTACCTGAAGTACTTCCCAGTCACTCCCTCCAGCTCCTCCGCCACAGCGCAGCAGATAGAAGTCTGGGCGCCCTGCTTCACTGTCTTGAAGGCGAGCACCTGCACCAAGAGGTAGAGGGGCTTGATGAGGAACCGCAGGACGCCGGGGACCCTGTCCTCGACGTGCCTGGTCAGGTCACTCGCGATCACGCCAGGGTGTAGAGAGTTTACCGTCACACCTGTCCCTGGAAGACAATAGCCAGTGAACATGGTTAACGTCGCATTAAAACCTCTAGTGACGTCATCCTATTGTTTTCGTAAAGTAACTTAGCATGCAGGGACATCCTGAAGAACATTTCTCTTTGGCGGGGTATTTTCTGTAGAAAGTCCCAGTGTCTGCCAATGGGTAACGCCTGTAAAGTGGGTTTGACCTGTTTTGAATGTCCCAGTTAGAGATTCGACATGGCACTGACAGACCAATGATCATACTCGGGGCGAATCTGGGATTCGAACCTACGACCTGGGCCCCGTTCCACAAAGGGATCATAGCGCTAAGGTGATCATAACTTCCATACTTTAACATAGACTTACGACAGGTAGTAATTTGCCGCGCTCTAGACCGCTTGAACTCCAGTGGCTGCTGCTGGATAAGAATGTCTTGCTATTCTTCATCCCTAACCATATACTGTTTTACTTACAATTTACATGTACATAGTTTTATTGTGAGTCGTCAACCAGTCCATCGGTTGACATGGGCTGATGTACCCTCCATGTTAATTTATGTTCCCCGAGGCCTTCATTTGGGCCCCCCGGTCAGGCTCGCTGACATGGTTGATGCATGTCATCGATCCCAATTGCGTGGATCGATGCTCATGATGTCAATCACTGGATTGTCTGGTCCAGATTCGATTATTTACAGACCGCCGGCATATAGCTGGAATATTGCTGAGTGTGGCGTAAAGCAACAAACCAACCAATCGTTTTGGCCCCATGAACATACACTTAGACCGATGGACAATGAAGTCATCTTAATGCACACCTAATTATATTGCAGATACGCCTCATCCACGCATGTTTTGGTCCGAATAGGTAAGAATTCCACAGTTTATCCACCATACTCATTTTCCACATTCATCGGAAAATAGCAGAATACAGAAAACAAATTTTCCCCTCTGATCTATTTCATTCGGAAAATATCGTAAATATCGGGAGAATGGCATAGTGCGGTTGGTATGTTGCAAATGTAATGCCAAAGTCGGCAATTGCATCGATGAACATAGAAAATGTACCGAATATATCTGCGGGGTATATAGAAAATAATAGAATGGGTCTCGAATTCGACGTTCATGTGTAAGGTAAGATAATGAATAACGCTACAACATTGCTACAACATTACAAAACGTGTTTACTGACCTTTAAGTTTCTTGGCAAGCTCATTTGAAAAGAGAATATTTGCTACTTTACTCTGAGCGTAGGCAGCGTAAGGATTGTACTCCTTCTCACTGTTGATGTCGTCAAAGTTGATGTCGCCCCCTGAAAACAACGCATTAATTATATAGATTTTCACTTAAAATGAATTATATAGAATTTCACTTAAAATGAATTATATAGAATTTCACCTAAAATGCATTAATAAAGTTAATTTGATACAAAATATAATGCTTATTTAAACTCAGTATCACGGTTTATCAATGTCCTTTCCTTCTAGCAACGTGCCTTTTCATTAGAACACAGAACCGCCTTCTGTCCATGCATTGAGGCGCACACATGTAAACTATCACCTCTAATTTGAGGAGTCATCTTCCCGAGGCAAGAGAGTTAACGGACTACAAAAGTCCAGTTTCCACTGATCCATCTGATCAGAAACAGGCATTAGCGCTTGACATCTTTCATGTCCGATTCGCAGTTTTACAGTGAGCCTAATGTGTTTATTATCTCGAACTACTATGATATCTGGCGTCTACGCATTCACATTAGGGCTCCTCATTGGGACCCGTGAAGATCCGGGGTAGAATAGGTCTTCAGCAACCCATGCTTGCCACGAAAGGCTTGTCGTATGACTGAAAGTGTGAGCAACGCTTCCCTCATTCAAACGACCCGTGAAGATCCGGGGTAGAATAGGTCTTCAGCAACCCATGCTTGCCGTAAAAGGAGACTATGCTTGTCGTAAGAGGTGACCAACGGGATCGGGTGGTCAGGCTCGCTGACTTTGTTGATGCATGTCATCGTATCCCAATTGCGTGGAGGGGCGAGGGAGTAGCCTAGAGGTTAAGGCGTTCGATTCCCCACATGGGCACAATGTCTGAAGCCCATTTCTGGTGTCCCCCGCCGTGATATTGCTGGAATATTGCTAAAACGGCGTAAAACCATACTCACTCACTCAGTTGTGTGGATCGATGCTCATGATGTCAATCACTGGATTGTCTGGTCCAGACTCGGTTATTTACAGACCGCCGTCATTTAGCTGGATTATTGCTGAGTGCGGCGTTAAACAACAAATATACAAACAAGCTCCCCATTGGCTCTTAAATATCTATAAACTCACATCTTTCGAAATTTGAAAGCATAAAGAAATTGAAAATTAGTGCATTTTATTCCGCCTACAAGAAATAAATAAAAAGTAAAATTAAATTTATGTGGCCATCATTGTAGATAAATTATTTAAAGTATCATTAGAACCCGAATTATGACGAATCCACATTCCTCCCGTCTCCACTTTTTGTTTCTTTTTTGCGCAACCTATTTTTTTCCAACTGGAATAATATTATATTTATTTTTTTGACCTACAGACCCGCATTTTTGGTAAAAAAAACCCGTAAACACCCATAAGAACATCTGGCCTAAGCTTTCATCTAAGCGCTCTTCAATGGCTCCAAAAGAACTATTTCGCAAGTTCAGATTTGACATCTTACTGTCGCGACTAACTAACCATTCTAAAATAACTGAACATCATGTATGGTGAAGACATTGACTCTTTCGATCCCGTCAGTCCAAATGGTTGTTCTAAACAAACCAGTAATCCAACTGACGGCATCGTCACGTCCCAAGGATGTGTTTTGTGGTAAAATTGAAGTCCAGAGTCGGATTGCACCAATGCCCGTGAGGGTGATGTGAAATTTGGTATAACGTCGCGTCCAAAATTATTGGACGTATATAGCGACGTGCATGCACGTGTGTGTGTGACTGCTTGTACTAGTCCGGACTAATGTCGATTTATAGTGCTAGCCCACTCAGACACAGTACACTGACTCCGAGCCGACCAGTCCTTGTTTTAGCCCCTTAATGCCAAGCGCCAGACAGGGTAACAACAAGTACCATCTTTTAGCGTCTTTTGGTATGACGCGGCTGGGGATCGAACCCCGGACCTTCCGCTCTCCGGGCGGACGCTCCACCTCTAGATCACGGAGGCGGTCTATGCCCGTGAGGTAGTCTGTAATTTAAGGATGAGCAAGGTACTCACTTTTATATATACCCGAGGACACGACGACGATGCGACTGGGTGCGGACCTCTGGATGAGCCCAAGCAGGAGGTTGGTGAGGAGGAAGTGACCCAGGTGGTTGGTAGCAAACTGAAGTTCATAGCCCTGCTTGGACAGCATCTTTGGGCACATCATCACACCTGTAGGGAGAACAGCGTGGCCAACTCTTTACAACAGATACATGTATGAAGTAGAAGACATGACGCCCATACCTCGTCTGATTAATGATTTCTTAAAAAACCGAATTTGTTGTTTTAGATGCTTACATGCTTAGCTGGTACGAAGAGCACCTTCCGGCACATCATTACACCTGTAGGGAGATCAGCGTAGCCAACTCTTTACAAGTGAGTGAGTGAGCATGGTTTTACGCCGCTTTTAGCAATATTCCAGCAATAGCACGACGGGGGACACCAGAAATGGGCTTCACACATTATACCCATGTCGGGAATCGAACCCGGGTCTTCGGCGTGACGAGCGAACGCTTTAACCACTAGGCTACCCCACCGCCCCCTATACAAATGAAGTTAGTAGAAGAAGTAACGCGTCCCATTAATGCTTCGTTAACTAATTTGTTGATTGAAATCTTTTAAACGATGTAAAAAACATGCTGAGATGATATGAAGAGGATCTTGGGGCACATCATTACACGTGTAGGGAGATCAGCGTAGCCAACCATTTATACAACTTGTACATATATAAAGTAGAAGTGTTATTGCTATAAGACGTATCGCCCATAACTCCTCTGGATATTGATTCGTTAACTTAACTGATGTTTTAAACCTTTTTTGACGACGTCAAAAACATGCTGAGATTGTACAAGTGTGATGTGCACACTGGGGCACATCGTTACACATGTAGGGAGGCATTTTACAACCTCGAGGTTTAATTCCCAGGAAAGGAACAAGTATATTATAAGGGTTTGGACCTGGGAAAGAAAGTGCTGCAATTGATCATTATTTTTTATGAATAGGCAAGGTAAAAAAAACAATGTCTGAAAACCAGTTTATAGATTCCACTGCCATGGTAGAGCAGGGTTATTGTGAAAAACACAGACCAACTCACTCACTGATGGTTACTAAATTCGTGACATGTTTAGCAACCACTGGAACATTCTTGACCGAGTGAGTTGGTCTTAACACGACTTTGAACAGTATTTCACTTGACAGCGTGACAGCTTGGTGTTGGAGCCAAACACGCGGTAGATCGTTATGTGAAGGTTCACCTTGGGAGTAAGGTGAGGTGAAATGGGGTTTAACGTCGTGTCCAAGATTATTGCACTTATATAGCGACGTGCATGTACGTGTGTGTTTGTGTGGCTGCTTCTACTAGTCCGGACTGATGCCGATTTATAGTGCTAGCTCACTGAGATACCATGCCGAAGTTTAACATGAATACCCCACTCAGACACAGTATACTGACTCCGAGCCTTGTTTTAGCCCCTTAATGCCGAGCGCCTGACAGGGTAACAACAAGTACCATCTTTTGGTATGACGCGGCCGGGGATCGAACCCCGGACCTTCCGCTCTCCGGGCGGACGCTCTACCACTAGACCACGGAGGCGGTCCACCTTAGGAGTAACCATCACCACCCAATACATATGTTTGTGTAACGGTACCTGCATTGTTGACGAGTATATCAAGCTTCGGCTCCTCATCGTTGATATCCTTCGCGAACTGTCTGACCGAGTCTAAATTCGCCAAATCCAATGTCTTTACCATCAACCTTTGTCCAGTCGTCCTGAATATATCATCTGCAGCAGCCGCACCTTTCAGGGGGTCTCGACACGCCAGCAACACACGGGCACCTGGCAACAGTCACTGTCAGCAACATGGACTTCGCCAACGTTAGATTGGGATGTGTACTGTGTGTATCGTGATTAGCTGAACATGTACAAAGCAAATTCGAATATCACCTTGTGGACTCAAGCACGTTTGGGAGAGTTTTATTTGGTTGTTTGTTGTTTAACGCCGCACTCAGCAATATTCCAGCTATATGACGGCGGTCTGTAAATAATCGAGTCTGGACCAGACAATCCAGTGACACCATGAGCATCGATCCACGCAATTGGGATCGATGGCATGCATCAACCTAGTCATCGAGCCTGACCACCCGATCCCGTTAGTCGCCTCTTACGACAAGCATAGTCGCCTTTTAGGTTAAGCATGGGTTGCTGCCAACCTATTCTACCCTGGATCTTCACGGGCGTTTGAGAGAGTGGGTAAACTGGATCTTTCGACGCTTTTGAACATGTATGCAGTTATATATTACGGCGAAAAGCCCGAAGTGATTTAGATTCTCAACGTTTACATGGTTATGGCACGCAGAAGGGACGTAACTCTGCGCGGCGTCTTTGACGACGGGGCCACCCGTACCCACTTTTTCAAAGTGAATACCAACAAGAACTCATTCTCAAAATGGTTGAAAGTACATGTATAGAGAGACAAAATTACATATTTAGGGATCATTATCGAAACTGTGAAATCATTTTAAAACGAAAGACGGGTTTCTGAGACAACAAAATCACTAACATCATGACTGATTACATTCGGCTTTAATTTGTGGAACTACGTTGAATATTCGCAACTTGGACAGCAAAGGGGACCCCTACCTCTCACAGCCAGGTCCTTCGCCGTCTCCTTCCCAATGCCGGTGTTGGCGCCGGTGACGATGGCGAACTTGCCCTTGAGACGGACGTTGCTGCGACATACTCCCCCACTGACAAGTTGTCGTAACAACGCTATCCCAATGCCTGGGAGACATGAAGGAAACAGACGATTTCACATTAGTAAATTAACAGCAGTGACGTACTAAAGAAGTATTACAGTGGTCTGCATTCCATGGGATTCCATGGCGTTTACTGACCCCCCTGCTCCCCTGGCTGGCTACGGCACTGAACACACTCAACCATGTCAATCATCCTGTCCACCAATTTAGTTTTTTCAAGAAAAGATAGCTGTTCTAACTCCGAGTCCCCATGGGCATCCCAGAGCTATGTTATTTGGGTATTTTACCCAGGGGTTTGATTTTGATTGGGTATCCACAAGTTTTAGAGGGTATTCAATTTTTACCCACCTGTTTTGTCACATTTGGGTATTCAACTTAAAACCTGTTTCGTAAAAATCCCAGTAAATCATTTAAAACAACGTGAATAGTAGCATACCCGTCTGAGCCTGCTTGCGGCTCCCTCTCTGGGAAGCCATTTTTGTTGTTAATTTGTTTATTTATTTAATCACCAATCAGCGACTAATTAAGATACAACATATACATTGATTAGGCACGATGTGCTTTCCAATTGGCATCTAAAAGTATGTTTGTTTCAGAAGGGTTTTTTTCCGAATGTAACTTACGGTCAGTGAATTTCGCGATCGGCTGATACACAATCATTTTATCTAACAGTTGTAATATATACGCAATCGTTTTATCTAACAGTTGTAATATACGCATTTTATCTAATAGTCGTAATATACGCATGAATTTTATTTCAATAGCGTAATCATAGTTTTTGTTGTGTATTTGATACGCTAGGATTTGATTTGTCTGCGTATTTCAGTTATTTTATGCGTATTTTACGCAAATACGCAGCTTATCTCGAGCTCTGGGGTACAATTAATGAGGATCGAGCTGGTACAAGGTGTGACTTGGTTGAGTGAATGTCACCGTGCATGGACAGTGTGGAATGTTGGTCATGCTATGAACCACTGGTTTGTCGGAATACTACTTGCTGAGGTATGCAGGTAGTCGGTTCTACACGAAGCAGTGATCGATAGTCTGAGCACCGAACATAGCCGCCACATAGATCACACGTCCGTTAACACCCGAGATGTAGGCATCCATTGTGACCGTCCACCCTATGGCTATGCTTATCCAGGGGGGCCATTGTTATCATCCGATCCCCCCGGAGCAGAGTCCATTCGGGATTACCATGGGATTACATTCTCCAAGTAATTTGTTTTAAGGTGTTTCAAAATGTATGTCAAAAGCATAGAGTGTCATCATTCTCTCGTGAATCCGTCCAGCCTTGTTCCATAATCTTTTCATTGTCAGATAACAGTTGTTGGAAAATAGAGGTGAAGAGATGTGAAATGGAGTTTAACATAGCATTCAAGATTATTGCACTTATACAGTGACCTGCATACATATGTGTGTGCGTGCGTGCGCGCGAGGTCTTGTGCGTGTCCGGACTAATACCGCTGAGATAGCATGCCGCAGTTTTATGTGGATATCCCACACAGTAACAGTACACTGACGCCGAGCCAGCCACTGCTTGTTTATCACCTTTATAATGCCCACTAGCACCAGGCAGAGTAACAAGAAGTAGCATAGTATAATTTGGGTATTTTATATTATATGACGTCGCCCGTGATTGAACCACCGACCTTCCGCTCTCCTGCATGTTTGACGAACAGGAAATCGGAAGCATCTAACAAAGGCAACACTAATATCCCAACAATGTATGTGAACAACTACTCTAACTGGAAATTGCAGACCGAGCGCATAAGTGAGTGAGTGAGTTGGGGTTAACGCCGCTTTAACAGTATTCCAGTTATATCACGGCGTGTCAGCTTAATGTGGGAGGACCCCGAAGTGATGCAGGTTTCAGACGTTTACCACTTCGGTGAAACCCACGAGCACGGGTATGGTGCTGACAAACCTAGAAACATAATCGGGGCGAACCGGGATTCGAACCCAGAATCATAGGTTTCTGGCGTGCCCAAGGGACGCAACTCTGCACAGCGAATCGCGGCGCCTAAGACGACTGGGCCACCTGTGCCCCCACCGAGCGCATGATTTCATGCAACGTCTGGCCACAGTGGTAGAAAACGATTGTATTCCAGACGGGTCTGTGCACCTGCTCTAGTATTGACTGACCTGCTGCCGCGCGCCCACTCATGTCGATAAGTGGGTCGATACTTATATCAAACTTATTTGTGAGTAATAATGGGACGCAATGCCAGATTTCTGAATAGGAGTCAAGTCGCTTACAACCCAGTCAGTAAACTCACATGACTATCGTCTGTCTGTGTAGATCAGGCGCTGGTGCTATGAGTTTATTAATGTGTTCTGCATACCCGACCTGTGCATAAAATCTGACCTGCTTTCCTAAACAATCTGTGAGACTGCAAGCTTGGCTGGTCGGGCTGAATACCACACAATAACCAGGGCATAATGTGCTTAAGGTGGCCGACTTGGAACTGTGTATTCATAGGAGATTTGTATTATGAATCCACAATAGGAATGCGTGTTACCTAAAGTTTAGTTTTAATCGAAAATTCAGCAGGTAGTAGTGCTCTAGCCACGCAACACCATAGGAATAAGCATAGTTACTACTTAGCTTAATATTAATTTCATCGTCGTTGTTCGCCTTATTCAACACCCAACAACATAGATGAAACAGACAAATATACAAATGATTACAGATTCACAGCATAGCGAAACTCGCCTGACAAGGTACAGGCGTTGCACAGCGAGTGTATGTGTATATATAATGAAGACACGTGATGCTTTCTCTACGCATGTACGTTTTATATCTTCCACACACAGCCTCTTTCTCGCCTCACCCATACTCACCCACGCTGACGACCCCGGCTAACGCGATGTAGTTCCCACGGGCGGTGTCAAACACTCTTGTCAGGAAGCTTGCACCCCCGTCAGCTGTAGCCATGGCGGGGTCTCCTCAGTGATCAATGTCCACAACTCTCGTCAGGGCGATAACTCGTCGCTACCACTTCAACACAGGTCACACTTCGCTGACCCCAAGTCGACTGATCCAATCCGAGGAAGTCATTATATGTAAAGCTAATATAAGCTCGCCTTGCTTGTTAATAGCAGAGACAACGAGTCGGTTAAACAACGGCAGTGGTTGTGATACTATATTGTGGTTGTGCAGTTGTGGGTATATACTGGTGGACACGTGGTAACCACGTGGATGTGACCGCCTGTTATTGTACGATCAACGCCTAGAGTGGATGTTGTGGCGGTGTGTGTGTTTGTGTGTCTTACAGTGATCTTTGTGAGCAAGTAGGGACGTTTCGTGGGAAATGCTCACGTTTCACGAGAACGGCATCCTGTGTTGGGTTGTTTAACATTATATAACCATGGCATACCATGGGGATTCCGGGGTTAGAATGTAGGCCCCCAGCAACCTGTGCATATCATTGTGTCCCAAATGTTTGTGTGTGCTACATATGATTGTATTGGTCTAGATGTCATCGATCCCAATTGCGTGAATTGAGGCTCGTGAAATCAATCACTGGTGTCTGGTCCAGACGCGATTATTTACAGACCGCCGTCATATAGCTGGAATATTGCGTTGAACAACAAACCAACCAAACCAACCAATCATTTGGGCCCCGTGGCCAACTAACCAACTTACAGTAAGTTACAGTAAGTGCTACATTTATGAAACTGGTTGTTTGACGCCGCACTCAGCAATATTCCAGCTATATGACGTCGGTCTGTAAATAATTGAGTCTGGACCAGACAATCCAGTGATTTATAACATGAGCATTGATCCACGCAATCTGGATCGATGACATGCATCAACCAAGTCAGCGAACCTGACCACAAAATCCCGATAGTCACCTCTTACGACAAGCTTAGTCGCCTTTTACGGCAGGCATGGATTGATGAAGACCTATTCTACCCCGGATCTTTACGGGTCTGTTTCCCAAATATGTGGACAGAAGCCGATATCAGACACAGCAATGTCTGGTCCAGATTCAAATATACACAGACCGCTTGAATATTGCTGAGTGACAAATCGATAACCCAACGCTGACTGCGGTTGAACACAGCAAGAGTTAGTGTGTGTGTGCGTGCGTGTGTGTATGTTTGTGTGCGTGCGGGCGGGCAGGTGTGTGTGTGTGTGTGCTATATATGATCTGTTGTAAAGTTTTTGTATTAGTCTTGATGGTTTATATATACAGTAAGTGCTACGTCTATTAAACTGTTTGTTTGTTGTTTAACGCCGCACTTAGCAATATTCCAGCTATAGATATGACGGCGGTCTGTAAATACTCCAGTGTGGAACAGGCAATCAAGTGATTGACATCATGAGCATTGATCCACGCAATTGGGATACGATGACAGGCATCAACCAAGTCAGCGAGCCTGACCACTCGATCCCGTTAGTCGCCTCTTACGACAAGCATAATCGCCTTTTACGGCAAGCATGGGTTGCTGAAGACCTATTCTAACAGCTATTTCGCTCACTACATTTAATGCTTTGACATAAACCAGAGAGCCAAGTACATGCACGGTTCATAGCAGGATGGATACGCGGATTTAGCCCCCAACCAGTTGTTCCAGTCAATGTTTATACTGGTACAAGCAAACACCATATGTATAGGATTTTTAAAGATTGTTACTGCTGTGAAGACTATGTCAAGGACTTTATGCCCCGGCGTTACAGATCTACCTTTACATAATTTAGATGTGGTATTGCACCTTTAAGGATAGAAACAGGCAGATGTATTAATTTAAAGGTTGAAGACAGAGTGTGCTTTAATTGTAATGATCATCTTGAAGATGAAAAACGTGTTTTATTCGAATGTCCAAGCATGGGTTGCTGAAGACCTATTCTACTCCGGATCTTCACGGGTCTTATGAAACTGAGACAATGTTCCTTTGACAGCCGTGCCCTGGCTTCATCACTCCGACCTGAAAACAAAAGTGGGTCTGGACCTGGTGAACCGGTGACTGAAAGTGTGTACGCTTCCCTCCTTCAAACGACCCGTGAAGATCCGGGGTAGAATAGGTCTTCAGCAACCCATGCTTGCCGTAAAAGGAGACTATGCTTGTCGTAAGAGGCGACTAAAGGGATCGGGTGGTCAGGCTCGATGACTTGGTTGATGCATGTCATCGATCCCAATTGCGTGGATCGATGCTCATTATATTAATCACTGGATTGTCTGGTCCAGACTCGAATATTACAGACCGCCGTCATATAGCTGGAATATTGCTGAGTGCGGCGTTAACAACAAACCAAACCCTCCTTCAAATAAACCACAGTCTGAACACCGTGTCTGTTATAACCGGCTAGTTCGACCGGGGGAAATTCCGACCCAGCGTTGGTACAAGGCGGGAGTACCACCTACCCTTTTATCCCCTGCCCTGACATGGCTGGCATATTGATGAAAACTACACTTGTGTAAGAGGACACTAAATTGAATTCATCAAATTTTCGAAACCTTATGTTACTCATACAATTTCTTATCCTTTGCTCAAATAGTCAAACAAGGAGATTTACTGTTAAAATAGCTTGTCAACATTTAACAGAGATTTATCACATATTGGGTAGGTTTCTCGGCAGGATAAAGCCAACGGATAAAAACGATATCCGTTGGGGTCATATGCGGATAGAAATGCAAATATCAAAGGTCAAGTAGGGACTACTTTCACTGTTTATAAACAAACATGGCGTCGCCCTCGTCATTCGGCGATCGAGTCAGAATTAACAATCGGGAAACTGGATAAACTACAGGGATAATTGCTATCATTATCAAAAGAACAGTCTAATATACTGAAAATCAGTGTCTAACTGTGACGTAGCTAAGGCATTTTATAAGTTTTGGCAACTTTGGAGACATAAATTTCGAAACATTTTTTGCGAGGGCACGAGGCCTAGCCGAGCGTGATCAGTAGCCATATCTGTGCTTGTAGACCTCTGCGGCTTTAAACCATCTCCAAAAATTAAAATAGTTGGATTTGGCCGAAATATGTTTGAATTGTTACCTTGTTTCGTTTTGTCGATGTGTGTACATCTGACTACACTTCTTAACGTTATGACAAGACAGACTGTCAACAGCGTCTTACCGTGGCCGTGATGTCTCATAGACTAGGGTTAGAGTAGCTTCCCCTTGACAAAGGACAGTTACTCTAGCGTACAGACCGATGGATTGCCGCGAGAGGCAATTAAAAAACAATTGTTGTTTTGCGTACATGTTGCTTCCCCACTGTATAAGAAACAGATTTCAGTTGGAACTATATTGGCTGCTGTCACTGACACATCACTTACCCTGTAACGTAATACATATTAATGCGCGCATTCTAGGAAAACTCGCAATGTTTCGGTAATGTCTGTGAGAGAGGGAAAGCCATTTTGAAGCACAGAATTAAAGAATGACATTATATGATAAAGAGGTTATCACGCTTGTGTGTTTGGGGATGGTAAATACAATGTTTATTCCTAATGCAGGATATTTACCATCCCCAAACACACTCGCGTGATTACCTCTATATATTATTCCACCACACACCAAACAAAGTAGTTACATGCACAACATGCACAAAATATGAAAAATGTCATCATAGGGGCACGGATAGGGGAAACCTTTACTCACTCCTGAAACGATCACCCGTTTATTAACAAAACACCTTTATTAAACAGTGTTTAATAACGTGACGTAGGCGGTGCTATTTTTTGGCATCAGTGGGTCATTCGAATTCGTTAGAAGCATTGTGGAAGTGTAATCTGCGACGTTTTTTCTTCTCCTAGACGATAATCCCCTTCCGATAGACAGCCTATAAGTTACTTTCACCAAAAACCAGTGATGCAGCGACACGTAGGCATGCTCAAGTTAGGGACTGGTCATTTAATAATGGAAAGGGTGTGGGGGTGGGGGTGAGGTTCTAGTAAATGACAAGTCCCTCATTGACATATTTTACTTAAATATGTCAAGTCTGTGAGTTTCTGCAATTGCCTATGACTCGCAGGATTCGGGAACAATTATACGTTGGAATACATATTCTCACTTTTGTATTGTTCTATTGCAAGCATCGTGGCATTATTAAGGTTCAGAGCGTCACTTATAAACCAAACATTATGTGGAGAGAGCATCAACAGTCATCTTACGACATAACTTTGTGTTGTAAACAAGAGTAGCGCCCCCTTTAACCACATGGAGAATTGCTAAAAATGCCGTCCTCGTGTCAACTTACCAATCTAATCTCGGCAATATTCCAGCTATCGAGTCTGGACAAGACAATCCAGTGATTGGCATCAAGATCAACGCAATTGGGATACGATAACATGCATCAACCAAGTCAGCGAGCCCGAACACCCGATCCCGTTAGTCGCCCTTTACGGAAAGCATAGTCGCCCTTTACGGCAAGCATGGGTTGCTGAAGACCTATTCTACCCCGGGTCTTCACGGGTCGAGGGTATGAGGTGAGTGTGGAATGATATCATGGTAACGCTTATAAACAGTGGAATGTAAAACTTGGAAAACTGATGTCTTCTTGGATTTTATGGATTCTATATAAACCGCTTGAACACGTTTTCACAAACATTTTTATTTTACGTAAACTGCATAAACAAAATAATACATGCAAACAATGGTATACTGAAATTCACGTGTATTGTTTAGTACTGTGACCATGTCGAACGATCAGCTGAGCGCTCTCCAGGCTTACAAATTCCGCCAAAATTGATCAAATTTTCTCACAGATAAGTATGAAAGTTGACATAAACACATTTATAGAACCCCGAACATTTTAACTGAAACATTGTTGCTTGCTGTCATGAATTGAATTTGGAAAGTTCAATTCTCGGAAAATTCAAGCGGGCGCTTCTCGCCTCGGCGATACGTCTCGCTGTCGCCAGTTGTGCCTAATGTCTGGCGAAGCATGTCCGATGCAAGAAAGTTATTAACGTTGCCATAGATGTTATTTTCAGATATCAGACTCGCCAAAACGTCCCTGTGGTCAGTTGAAGAGAAGTTATGCACCTGCGGTTGAGACTGAGTACAGTCGGCATCTGACGTAAACAAAGGGGGATAACTCTTTAATGTTTTGATTCAGGAGAAAGTTGTTCCGGCACCTTGTTTATATCAGTCACTAGTGACTGATATTACTTTTTTTATATAAGTCACTAGTGACTGATAACTTGATCTATCGTCACTGATAAATTCCAGTATTTCATTCATATGTATATAATAAATGCTGACCTTTATGTGTAATCTTGAGACACGGTGTTGTTAAGGGAGTTGGTTGAATTATAAAAGAAAGCCTTAAGGAGAACATACACGCAACTGCCTGTTCGTGAATGAGAATCGCCGAGCACCGTCGGGGAGATGTGATTTTTATCACGTGCCGACTTTTAAGAGTAAGTTCTCAAACTTAAAAAAACAACCACATTCCTTTACTTTTACACAATACTTTTAGAGGAAAAACTTGTATTACTTATTTATATTGTATGTGCTGCCTTTGCACGATGAACGTGACATATGTGTTCTCCGCGACTGATGCGCACGTGCCAAGTTCCTTCCCCTTTTGAACTTGAGTGAGTGAGTATGGTTTTACGCCGCTTTTAGCAATATTCCAGCAATATCACGGCGGGGGACACCAGAAATGGGCTTCACACATTGTACCCATGTCGGGAATCGAACCCGGGTCTTCGGCGTGACGAGCGAACGCTTTAACCACTAGGCTACCCGACCGCCCCTTTTGAACTTGAAATGCATCGATGATACAAGGTTCTATACAATTTCATATTTTATCAATTGGTAGCACGTTAATAAGACGGACTTCTCCGACATTGACGAGGTCAGATTCTATTCAGGGAGTCATCATTATTAAAATTAAAGATACTATTTTTAAAGGTTGCACATTTTATCAACATCCTTAAAGAGGCTGTACATGGTGTTGTTATCTCATATAAGAAATAAACAACGAGTGGGAGATGTTTATCGTACAATAAGAATATTCTCCCTGCAGTATTTTATTTACGATAAACATCTCCCACTCGTCGTTTATTTCTTAAATACTACTATATAGTCCACATATTGGAAACGAGTAATAAAACTGAAAATAAAATGACTTGATTATAATTATTAATTTTCTGGAATGAATCGTATGACATCCCGTAATGTTGACGACGCCGAGTCGATGGTGAACAGAATGACGGAGAAATGTCTCTTGACACGTTCCCAGCGTGCATCAACATCCGGGGCCTTCTCTATCTCAAACAGCAGGTCAACCAGGCCAGGGAAACTACTACTGGCGTAGGAATCTGTGCTGCTCTCAGCCAGAAGGAGGTGCCTGAAACACACATTGTATACGTTAATAGCGTCAATACTGAACACTTAGGGATAGGGATATTAATACATGACGGTAAGTAGACGATTGGAAATTGTACAATCAACTGTTGTTTTTGTTGTTTTATTACGTTTGGTTTGGTCAGATTAGATTATTTACAGGCAGTCATTATATAGCTGAAATAATGAGTGCGGCGTAAACAAGACTCATTTAGAAATAATATTTTACAGGAAAATCCCTATTTTGACATTTCTTATACTTAGAATTGGCATCAGAATATATGCACACTCAGGATTATGGCTAGGGAAAAATATTTATATATCTCAACAAAAAACGAACGTTTTATTTAATCGTTCAAGCACTACTGAGAATTAGTATAATGTTATTATTGATTAACCGTGACCCATCAGCTTTGGCATGAGAAACAAGAGTGCCCCGGTAATCTTAGGCGCCTGTATTCGCTGTGCAGAGTTGCGTCCCTTAGGTGTGTCAGAAACATGTGACGAATGCCAGATTCGCCCTGATTTGTTTCCAGGTGTGTCGATGCTCGTGCTCGTGGGTTTCCCCAAAGTGGGTATGGTATAAGACCTTCATCACTTCGGGCTTTCCTTCCACAGCAAAATGAAACACCGTGATATGACTGAAATACTGTTCAAAGCGGCGTTAGGTCAAATCATTCACTTAATCACTCTCTAACTCATTGTAACCATAATTACGCAGTATCTTCAAACGGACAACAGGGTCATATGTAGCTGGTGGAGTGTGGCATTTTCTTACTTTTTCTGTGATCTATCTGGCAGACCCTCATTGTCCAGGAACGCCTTCTCGAGTAGCGACAGTTGATCATTCACAGCCCGGATGGCCATAGGACTGAAACACACGTAGCTTCATTTTACACTGAACTAAATGCGGGACCATCTCGCCCCATTTGGGCGATCCGAATACAAGTAGCTTCTTTGCACAGTGTCAGTGCAGACACCCGCAAGTCACGGTGGAGAACCAAATATGCTGAGGCTTTATAATGAGTGAATTTAAAATTAGCATGACCTTTTGAACAATTACAACTTATAGACTTAGTTCGTGGTACAGACATACTTTGAGATAACTTCCCATTGTTTACATACATGCATTGCATGTGGTAGCTATTCAGCTATTTTGTTCGCTTGTTTGTCTGTTGTTCAGCAATTGACGTACATGTATCTGTATACATGAGATTTAACCTTATTTGGAATCCTTTTATAGTTCTTTGCGAACATTGGCAAAATAACCACCAAATACCAAATGACATCATGTTTTACAACTGTTTCTGTGACCGAGTTCGATACTTCTAAAGCTTTTACGATTTTGACGAAATCAGTTTTGTATGACAGAAGAACAGGTCTTCAGCAACCCATGCTTGCTATAAAAGGCGACTATGCTTGTCGACTAACGGGATCGAGTGGTCAGGCTCGCTGACTTGGATGATACATGACATCGTATCCCAATTGCGTGGATAGATTGCTTATGATATCAATAACTGGATTGTCTGGCCCAGACTCGATTATTTTCAGACCGCCGTCATATAGCTGGAATATTGCTGAACAACAAACAAACATTATACAAGTCACTCAAAGGCGTGTTTGTCCATGGTGGAGGTTTATATTTATACTTATATCCTTCAACGTTTCTAGCCCATTCTGACTATGGATGTTCTAGGATTCTAGTTTTGTCAAACGTATAATTTGAATGTTTGCTCAAACTCGTCCTCCGCCATGTTTACTCACTCATTCCTGTTCATCTTGGCCACTCTGTCGTTGAAGGCCTCCACCTCCGTACTGAAGTTCGCGATGACCTCCCGAAGATCATCTGGAGATATAACACAGGAGTTAGTGGGATGCCAAGCGTTAATATAAGCGTGTATGCTCTTTACCCAAGGTACAGCTATGACAGTACAATCCAATACACAAACCCCCAAATACTTGATTTCGATGGAGTTTCTTCTGCATGTTTGTATACGCATATACATTTGTATTTTATACACGTGTTTTGAATTTAATGTGTCGTGATAAAATACATCTACATTTAAGTCCTCTTTTACCGAGTGATGAGTAATTGATCATATCGATCGTAGCAGTGTTTTGGTGGAATTACTTGATTCAGTACATGTACGGGGCGGTGGGGTAGCCTTGTGGTTAAAGCGTTCTCTCGTCACGCCGAAGGCCCGAGTTCGATTCCCCAGATGTGTCCAATGTGTGAAGCCCATTTATGGTTTCCTCCAATCTCATTCAAATCAGATCTTAGTTCTCGCTATCGCTAAACAAAGATCTGAGGACATCCCATTACGGGTCACGTCAGAACGACCTTTCATCCAACCTATCAGAGCGTCGCTTACCAGATCATGAAAGTGATGGACGGAATGTGTTTTCTAATCATGCAACCTCAAAAAATTTACAGAGGGTATTCCGAACGACATTAACAGTTTTTTTTATTATAGCCATACAATCTAGGCCATCTATAAGCCATTCCAGAGTGTTCTTTTTATAAGTTTTACATTTTTTAATCGAGAATACGTCAAAATATGTTTCGAAGCGTAGTCGCCAGTTTGAAACTTGTGTCGTAAAGCTCGAGAAAGCTGCCTTCTGATTGGCTAATGTTGATTTCTTGTCAGTCATTTCATTGGTCGGTTAAAGTTCGCGAAAGGTCGTTCTGACGTGACCCGTTATGGGATGTCCTCAGATCTTTGTTTAGCGGTAGCGAAAACTAAGATCTGATTTTAATGAGATTGGGTTTCCTCCGCCGTGATATTGCTGGTATATTGCTAAACGCGGCGTAAAACCATACTCACTCACACACACATGTACATTAGTACAGTTCACGCTACCTACCATAATTAGGTAGTTTCGTTTTCAGCGTGTCGCCGTAGTCCTTGTCGAGAGCTTTCCTGTAGGTTTCGAGGGCCCAGCTGTAGTCGCTGACGTTGAAGGGAATGATGAGGGAGTCGGCCAGAGAACGTGCAAGCTCTGCAGCCATCCGGGAGATAGCGCGATGATACTGGGGGTAGTGGGTGAGGGCTGACATGAGTTCCAACGCAGCATACATTCGTCGCATGTTAGGGACCCACCATTTGATAGTCTTCTGGGGGATTTCTTATGATTATGGAAAGGATTTTGCAGCTATGTTTCAAGCAGGAAAGTAGATTCAATTAAAATCTGTCTCATCTCGGAACTATGCTCAGCCACACTGATATAACAGACAATATTAGCAGGTAGAGTAGGGATCGATTAACAGATAATGCTTTAAGTGTGCCAGTGGTTTGTTTTCAATTCCATAAAGTAATACATTTATCATTTATAATATGAAGTTGGGTTTTCGTCAGGTAAATGTTGGCAGGGGCTCAAGGATATTGTCATTTCAAATGGCTCACTTCAAATTCCTTGTCAATAATGTTTTTGACTGCATAGAACGTCTCGTACACAGAATGGTAGAGCGGGTAGGACGCCACCTTGTATTTGTTCTGGCAGAAGGAAACAAAATGATTAATTTGCATGTTGTAAGCTAAATTAGAAAGGATTCCACGTTAATTTGCATACATGTAAGATGCTACAGTTAAAACGTTTCGAATTCGTGTTTCAAGAGATTGTCGGCGAAAAGTGACCAGGCATTTGAACAAATCATTCCAGTCGAATATAGGTATTTTGAGGAATTATTATTTTACGTTCTTTTTCTTGATATGACAAAGAATAATCCAATCCAACTGTGCAAAGAACCTACATTATCATGAGTCTCATAATGATATCGATGAAATTAATAATACGCGTATCGTAATATGATATGATTCCGTCTTTGACAAAAAGTTGTGTGTGTTACATACAGTGTCGTAGGTGTATCTGAAGTCTACAGCCGTCACGCCCGCCTTGTGTAGCAGTGGGGCGTAGTCGCTGCCGGAGCCGAGAGAGCCTATCCTGTAGATGTGACCAGAACATCAGTTAACCTTATGCATGAACTACAGGTGGCATTGGCCTGCATATAAAACCTCTAGCATAACATGAACATGTCATACAAGGTTCAAAGATATTAATGTGTACTTATTTGCACTCAAAGCAAATTATGTCCAACAAGAATAAGCCAAATGAAAGGACAGTCTATATAAAACGGCCAAAAATAAGGGAACTAATGATTTGAATAATGCTATGGTTGAGGTGTACATTTATAATACCATGGCGTTGCATCTGTGGGACAAGTACCGTCTAACGGGTGGGGTTGCAATAAGACCTAGGCGTGGCAGGCCTAACAAACAAGACACCAAGAGAAAATCGTGTCATTACATTAACTTCCCTAGGCAACAGATTTACACCTGCTTCTGTTATCAATAGAGAATTCCGTACAATAACAGGAAATCGAATTTCAACCTCAACCGTTGAAACCCGGTTCGATGAAGCCCGCATGAAAGCTGGGCGTCCTGTGAAGGTTATGACAGCTTACCATTTGCGGCAATGGTTGGGGTGGGCTTGGCTAAACTTAGCGCCGAGGAGTATGCAAGGACAACCATTCTGGACCATGAGCGGTGTCATGGTGTGGGGCGGTATCCCACATCAGAGGCGAACTGATTTGTAAATGGACATTTGGCTGGCCAGCGTTATGTTGACACAACTTTGCGTCCTGTTGTTGTTAAATTCACTATAATTATCGGCAAAAGTTTTAAGCGTACGCAAGAGACCCAGCACCCGCCAACGAGGATCAGCTTGGGGTAGCTCTTCAGGTGGAATGGCGGGCAGGGTAACAACAAGTACCATCTTCGGGCAATACCAAGGACAACCATACGCACGTTAATCAAGGGGTCGTGCATGTATCCTCCAACATGCATGGTGGACACACCAGCTATTGATCTACAAGCCCGAAATTTATTTTACACACAATTATCGTCATTACGCCTTCACTGTCATTTCAGCAGTTCCCTTACTTTTTGTTAGTAGTATATATACGCCAAGAAAAAGAAAACATCATATCTGTGTTAACTTTCAATTCTTTCCTTGAATAATAATAAATATATATAATATAATATAATTATTTCAATTAGAAATGTCATTCTATGATTTGTTTGTTTGTTTGTTTGTTTGTTTGTTGTTTAACGCCGCACTCAGCAATTTTCAAGCTATATGTCTGTAAATAATCGAGTCTGGACCATACAATCCAGTGATTGACATCATGAGCATCGATCTACGCAATTGGGATACGATGACATGCATCAACCAAGTCAGCGAGTCTGACCACCAGATCCGGTTAGTCCCCTCTTAGGACAAGCAGAGTCGCCTTTTACCTGTTCTACCCCGGATCTTCACGGGTCTGTCATTCTATGAAGCTGTGATCTCCAATAACGAGAATGATTTTGATTGATTGTTAAGGCCAGACCTAAACATACGATTATGATGAGGATGACAGATGGCGGACTCTTCCATATTCTTATCGCTGGAGTTGTCGGATACATGGACAGAGTAACACAGAAGCCTAGCCATGGCATCGTTCCGCAAAACAAGCTTAGCGCGAAGTGTTATGTTACAGTACGGGGGTTAAAATCATCCCAACGTTACGAAAACGCTGTGGAACGACCCTGAGCCGTTATACGCAACCGATCGTGAACTGCAACTCCATCTTCCATTCAGCAATTTCAGTTTACGTACACATACCATATCTGTCAAGGACCTTCTCAGGGTAAATTTCAATGACCATTGTATGCGGTAGCATGTCTTACACAGGTATGTTCCTGGAGTTGCCGTCTTCATCCTTCCAGGGGTAGGTGTGCAGCCAGGTGTCGTAGGCCGTCGTCCTCCCAGCTGCCCTCTCGGCAGGGTTAGGGTTTGGGACCTGTATGTACAGTCTGGATTAGACTCGGTACTGTGAGTGAGTGAGTGAGTGAGTGAATTTAAAGCCGCTTTGAACCGTTTTACCACATTGGTAAAACTCTCAACGGTGCCTGACAAACAAGGGATCTTGAATTCAAACCCGCGATTAGCGGATCCTGACACAACTAAGGGACGCAACACTGAACAGAACAACGCGGCGCCTGAGACCACCGAGTAATGCAATGTGATTCGTGTATGTCTACATGTGATAAAAAGCACCTTCCGGACACTGATTTTTTTCCCTATTTACCCCCTTACCTTTGTCAGCGACGATTTCGGCTTTATCCAGAATAATTTCACTCACAGCTGTCTATTGTAAGTTGGACAGAACTCGATGTGCAGATTTACACACGTCCGTCTGTCAGTCGTGCAAGTTTCGTTTGTCGTGGGTTCGAATCCAAGAAACGTGCTGTGCCAACACCAAACCCGGGTTTCACCAAACACGGGTTTCACCAAAACAGTTAATCTCGACAAACGGCCTTGACTTCCTGCCACACTGGTTAAGTCGCTTAGAATGCTCTTGGCTTTAAACCAATTTCATTCAATCAAATCACCCTTGGCAATGTTAATAATGGTCACTTTTCTTCCTCAGTATCAGAATGATTGAGTAGGGGTTAACGCCCCTTTAAACAGATATGCCACAGGCTGTCAGCCTTTTGAGGGAGGAAAATTCCTAAGTAATGCAGGTCTAAGACATTAACCACTAAGGTGAAACCCACGAGCACGTGTATGGCGCTGACAAACCTTGGAACATAATCAGTGGAATCTGCGATTCGAACCTAGGACCACAGATTTCCAGAACGCATAAGGGACGCAACTCTGTACAACGCATTGCGGCGCCTTTGACGACAGGGGCACCTTTGTTCCTATACCATCATCAGTGCACTCCACGGAATTAGGCGAGCACCTGGCTATTTGGTTGATTTAACGTGTCAAGGTCATCTCATCAAACAGTTCGATACTCATACTATCAACCACACTATTTCTGTGTTCACCTTCTTTGCCGCCTCATACGTAGCACGGTACAGGAGCGGCGTTCCCAGGGCACGGATCGTGTCGTTCCCTAGCCGGAACATGTAATGAGAAAGGGGATATTAAATACATTCACAGATATTAATCATACAACTCGCGAATACAATGATAGCACACATGGGCATGTAATAACATATTTCTGTTTTACATATGCACAAAGTGATATGTGAAATAAAAGTGTATTCAATGTTCACCTTGCATTGAAATGTCTACGTTGAGATAGGCGACCGCTCTTTCCCTTAGGTTTTTCCGGTATTGCTGAAGATGAAATATTCATATGTTACAATGTCAAGGAAGAGTATTAATGATATTGGTACGAATCACAGCCAGCGTTCCTATCACGTAAGTTACACTAGGTAAGCTGGGTGTTTATATATCATGTGTTCCCTCTGTTTATTCTTAGCGCTAAAGATCCACTTCATGATCGGATCTCTCCATCAGGACAACTATTTGCTTGTTTTTGCCCCGGTAAAATCTCCTGCGATAGTTGGTTGGTTGGTTTGTTGTTGACGCCGCACTCAGTAATATTCAAGCTATATGACGGCGGTCTGTAAATAATCGAGTCCGGTGATTAATATCATGAGCATCGAACCACGCATTTGGGATACGATGACATGAATAAGCCATGTCAGCGAGCCTGACCACCCGATCCCGTCAGTCGCCTCTTACGACAAGCATAGTCACCTTTTACGGCATGCATGGGTTACTGCAGACCTATTCTACCCCAGATCTTCACGGGCCCTGCTGCGGGAGTAACAGTTTCAGTGCTGCAGAGCATCAACTGTTCGCCGCGATATAATGTAATGTGCAGAGGAAGGAAGTGTAAGGTATGGGAGGAGAGAATTGGTGTAAAGTACAAATTGGTTGTTATAAATGTAGTTATCTTTGGAAATCACATTTAAAGAAACAGTGTCTTTAAATGGTCAGCACAAGGAAAACCCAGGCAAGAAAACTGGGTCTGTCAGGCAGAACTTGATATATACCCACTATTAGTACCAATAATATAAAACATAATTGATTACAAGTCCTATATAGATAACACAACAAATGTATGATTCTTAAACATGCTTTGGCAGCAAATATTAATATTTCTGGTCAAAATGTTGGTTGGGTTAAATAAAACAATCTTTTTAAACAGTAAGCCAAAAAATGTAATGAATCCACTGTAAATAAACTTCAGTTCAAATGTAAAAAATCACGCATTCATTTAGGGATTTCCATTCATCTAACAGCACGTTAAGGACATACAGATTGGTCAAGTCATCTACAAATATTGAGAATTATCTTACATATTTTAAAAACAAAGGCCATAGGTCACATTTCTCAAAACCTCGTTTAAGTAATCACAAACTATAACTTGAAACTGGTAGATATACAAAAACAGCATCCCCATTGGAACAAGTGAAACATGTGATGTCTCCGAAGATGAGCAACATCACGCACAAGAATCAATATTTGGTTCTAGAAGCGACAGTAAAATATCGTAATCATTACCTTTCTCCCTGATCTCATAGGACAGCACTCAACTCAAACCCCAGTTTATTCACTTCAACCAGTCCTTACAGCAACCAAACAGACCGCACTCCCTTAAACCCTGTGTTACTCACCCCCTCCCACTCTCACTGGACCCCAGCGGACTGTACTCCTCTACCCGCGTGTTACTTACCTCCACCCACTCAGTGGACCCCAGCAAACCGTACCCCCTACTTCCTGTGTCACTCACCCCCTCCCACTCTCACTGGACCCCAGCGGACTGTACTCCTCTACCCACGTGTTACTCACCTCCACCCACTCAGTGGACCCCAGAAGTCCGTATTCCTCTGCCCCCCAGCTGCAGAACATGATGGACCGACGGGGGCGCCACTTGCCTGGAAGAGTCATTATGATAGACTGACAAACATTTAGTGTCCACAACATGCATATGGATTGTCTGTTTGCGTCCTGCGATAGATATGGGCAGGTTATAATACGAGCGTAGAGGTCGGAGTGGAGTATGAGTGAGTGAGTGAGTGAGTGAGTGAGTGCGTGTGTGGGTGTGTGGGTTTGGCTACTAAGACACCTGATGGTTTAACCCCGCTTTTAGCAATTTCAAGCAATAGAACGACGGACTTCACTGACAAAATGGACCATCATTGATAACTCGATGGCAAAAGAGACATCCTTTATGAATTCTAAAATTCAATCAGTGGCTAAGAACCAAATCCATTAGAAGCCATGAGTAATACAATACCAATACGTCTGTAATATATCATGGCTTGCAATATATGAGTTTGTTTCAATGAGTCTTATCAGATTCAAACAGCGTGATAATTATAGTGTGTTTATCCTTCAGCTAACTGACCACTCTTGACCAACTGCCCGGTGACCCTGGCTGTCTCCATCATGACGGCTGTCCCACTGGACGGGTCAATAGCCCCGTACACCCAGGCGTCTCTGTGGTTCCCCATCAATACATAACGATCTGTGGACATAATAGTGTATGTAGAAAGATGTTTGTCATTACTTCATGGGGTTGTATACACTGTGTTCCTCCATCAATACATAACGATCTGTGGACATAATAGTGTATGTAGAAAGATGTTTGTCATTACTTCATGGGGTTGTATACAGTGTTTTCCTCCATCAATACATAACGATCTGTGGACATAATAGTGTATGTAGAAAGACAGCCATCGTCATTACTTCTTGGGGTTGTATACAGTGTTTTCCTCCATCAATACATAACGATCTGTGGACATAATAGTGTATGTAGAAAGACAGCCATCGTCATTACTTCATGGGGTTGTATACAGTGTGTTCCTCCATCAATACATAACGATCTGTGGACATAATAGTGTATGTAGAAAGATGGCCATCGTCATTACTTCATGGGGTTGTACACAGTATGTTCCTCCATCAAAACATAACGATCTGTGGACATAACATAACGAATCAAACAAAGGCGTGTTCCATAGTCTCACCCATTCAGAATCAGTTGTTCGGACATCCGCTTTCGTAGTGTGCGATTGGATGCAGATTGAGAAATTTGTCAGCTGTGACTGGATTATGTTGTGTAAGAGCTTTATGGGTTTTTTTAATGTACATCTATCCAGAAATTATAACTGACGATGTTTTTTTCTATTTTTAATGCTGTCCTTTTAAACTTTTTCGAGTAGGTGTCATTTGGTGCGGTACTGGGGTTGCCGTGTTCAGATTCCACAGCAAAGGAACTGGCTGAGCTAGAAAAAATGTGACTGTGGATACATGTACATATACAGACTGTAGAAGGCCTAGTTGTTTTCAAACATATATAACGTCACTACAGAAGTCTATGGGAAAATATTTGGTTTCGTATAAGGCTATCCGTATTTGTTTCTGTGTGTTCCTCTCTCCCGCTGGCCCTGAATATTCATTCCGACGTGAAATAATTCAAATAATCTTATCATAATTTTCCCCGCGGCTGTGACAATTTATTCCCCGATGTTATAACAAAATATTCCCACAATTATACATTCATAAAATACCCAGGTCAGCTCGATCTTTCTTCAGCTATATTTGTTAAAAAAAACGATTTCGGTCTACGTCATAAACTAATTTAAAGACTGGTAACAAGTATTCTAAACTTTAAAATGTCAGAAATTAGTGAAAAACAGTTTTGTATTTTCTTATCTTTTAAATCCCACCCCACTTTACTCTTGTATTCGGTGCTGGATTTCAATATGACAACCTGGTGAGGTGACATGGGGTTTAACGTCGCGTTCATGATTATTGCATATACACAGTATACTGACTCTGAGCCGACCAGCACTTGTTTTAGCCCCTTAATGCCGAGCGCCAGGCAAGTTAACAACAAGTACCATCTTTAAAGGTCTATTGGTATGACGCGCCGGGGATCGAACAACCGAACTTCAGCTCTCCAGGCAGACGCTCTATCCACTAGACCACAAGGCGGACTATAACAACTGCATTGAGTAGGTTATGTTTAGACATGTTGTCTTACCGGGTTCGATTTGCCCTCGTATAACGCCGATCACGTTGTATGCAGTCTTTATTTGATTTCTTGTTGAAATGTTCATTTGGATTTTCCTGTAAAAAAAAAAAAAGTGCATGATGTTTCCTAGAATTAATGAAACACAAATAATATATGCCATACATGTAATAGTTTAGAAGAATATATGTTAGTACGTACAATAGATAATGACTTTGATTATATGCGGGCTGTGTCATGCCATGTCCGTTTGGTGTTCTGGTATTCCCAGTTGGTCACGTGGTGATTGCAGGGTACAAAATAGGTCACAGGTTAAGTCTTTTGTTTTTAGGCATTTAGAAGTGAATTCACATAAGAGAAAGACTATATGGATGTCAACTTCTTTATTTATGAGGAACACAACGTTTTGGATATATGCTTACTGATTGATGGGGTGAATGAAGGAATCCACCTGATGAAGGAGGTGAGATGTCATGGGGTTCAACGTCGCGTTCAAGATTATTGCACTTACATAGCGATGTGCATGCACGTGTGTGTGTGTGTGTGTGTGTGTGTGTGTGCGTGTGTGTGCGTGCGTGCGTGTCGGTGTGTGTGTGTGTGTGCGTGCGCGTGTGTGCGTGTGTGTCGGTGTGTGTGTGTGTGTGTGTGTGTGCGTGCGCGTGTGTGCGTGTGCGTGCGTGCGTGCGTGCGTGCGTGTCGGTGTGTGTGTGTGTGTGTGTGTGTGTGTGCGTGCGCGTGTGTGCGTGTGCGTGCGTGTGTGTGTGCGTGTGTGTGTGTGTGTGTGTGTGTGTGTGTGTGTGTGTGTGTGTGTCTACTAATCCTCCTGATGACATATAGTGTTGGCCCACTGAGACATCATGGTGCAGGTTAACATGAAAACCCCACTGAGACGCAGTATACCGACTCGGAGCCTACCTGTCCTTGTTTAAGACCCTTAATGCAGAGCGTCAGGCAGGGTAACAACAAGTACCATCTTTTAACGTCATTTGGAATGACGCGGCCGGAGATCGAGCCGTCGACCTTCCGCTCTCCGGGCAGCAAGAAAGTCTGGTAACCATAGGTGGCCATTAGTGCCCTGGCTGATTGCACCCACTGAGCCCCTGTGCGTGGAACGTTGTTCTTGCTATCAACCACACGTTTGCACGTTTCAGAGTCCATGAGGTATATGACACCGTGGTATTCAGCCACCTACCCACTCACTAACCAAATCATCCAATCACTCATCCATCCACTCACTCACTCATCCTCCCACTCACCAACCCTCTGTCACTCACTCACTCACTCACTCACTCAGAACCATCTCAATGTTTGTTTGAACCCTGTTGGTACACTTGATAAATTCCGTTGTTGCCAACCAATCACAACCAGCCAGAACCCATTATGTACTAGGTTGATATTCCAGTGTCAAACTCTAAAGTATTCATACCACTACGGCAACAAATACAATATTTGCAATGCATCAGCGGACCCCGGTCCGCCCCGATTATGTTCCTAGGTCTGACAGCACCCTAGCCGTGCACCATTACCAAAGCGGTAAAGGTCTAAGACCAGCACTACATCAATCTGGCACGCCGTGGTATACCGGTAACTAAACCAAACTCACTCACAGAACTATCATAGCACATATGCAAACACGCACGTTGAACCACTGGCAAGAACAATAACACTTCTACTGTTATAAAACCTATGTGAATGTAGGTTTACTTTTATACAACGACCAGTTTATTTCTCCTCTATTCCTGTTTATGACACAGATATTTGCTAGGCGCCGACTCAACACGGCTGTGTACATACGTCAGACTGTAAGGTCAGGCCGCGTGTTTACGTTCGGCATCCACCCGACTCCTTCAAACACACAGCCATGAAGCTATTCAATTTCGATTTATCATAAAGCAATGTGTCTGGAATGCCCGTCTTAGACTTTGCTAGCGAGTATATGCAACAGGTAACCCGGCCGATCTGGTGGTGTAACATGAGCCAGTCGACTAAATACGCCCCCTTTGCTGCGCACTGTCGTATTAACGCGAGGCAGCCTGATGATCCCGCCGTATCGGCACTATGGTCTAATATCGACTCTAAGTTCTAATATCAACGCTATGGTCCAATATCGACTCTATGGTCTAATACCGACTCTATGGTCTAATACCGACTCTATGGTGCAATATCGACTCTATGGTCCAATATCGACTCTATGGTCTAATATCGACGCTTTGGCCCAGTATCAACTTTATGGTCTAATATCAACTCTATGATCTTATACTGACGCTATGGTCAAATATCGACTCTATGGTCAAATATCGACTCCATGGTCTAATATCGACTCTGTGGTCAAATAGGGCGGTGAGGTAGCCTAGTGGTTAAAGCGTTCGCTCGTCACGTCGAAGGCCGGTGTTCGATTCCCCACACGAGTACAATGTGTGAAGCCCATTTCTGGTGTCTCCCGTCGTGATATTGCTGGAACATTGCTGAAAACGGCGTAAAGCCAAACACACTCCCTAGCTGTGGTCCAATATCGACTCTATGGCCTAACACCGACACTCTGTTCTAATATCGAAGCACTGGCCGAATATGAACGCTCTGACCTAATGTTAACACAGGCCTAATATCGACATTTTGGTCTAATTTCGACTCTCTGGCCTAAAACCTGCCAAATACCGACACTCTGGCCTAATATCGACCCTCAGGTCTAATATCGAATCTCGAGCTCTGGCCTAATATCGACGCTCTGGCCTAACATCGACACTCTGTTCTTATTCCGGCACACTGGTCTAACATCGACGCTGTAATCTAATATCGACGCTCTTGTCTAACATCGATACTCTGGCCTAATATCAACGGCTTGGCCAAAAGGGCGGTCGGGTAGCTTAGTGGTTAAAGCGTTCGCTCGTCACGCCGAAGACCCGGGTTCGAATCCCGACATGGGTACAATGTGTGGTGCCAATTTCTGGTGTCCCCAGGCCGTTATATTGCTGGAATATTGCTAAAAGCGGCGTAAAAACTATGCTCACTCACTCACTCACTGTGGACTAAAACCAGCACTCTGGTCTAATATCGAAACTCTGGCCGAACATCGTCACTGGTCTAATTCCGACACACTGGTCTAACATTGACGCTCTGGCCTAAACCCATGACTCTGGTCTAATATCGACCCTCTGGCCTAATATCGACTCTCTGGCCTAATATCAATGCTCTGGTCTAAAATAGGCACTCTGTTCGCCTCGAACTACGGGTAACTCGGTGTGACATGGATGCACTGTTTTAACTGTATTGCATTAACTTTGAATCTCCCCAGAAAACAAAATGGACGCTCATGTGTCAGATTATCGGAATGAGAGAGTAAATGTTGTTACACAGTTAGATGACGTCAGCCAGTAAGTTATCGCAACAAGCAAACCAGTTGTTGATAGCATCAATCCATGCAAGAACGATGACACATATCATGAACACCCGACTAAATCTCTTGCCATTTCCTCAAACATTGGCTGACTACTGAGTATGCACGGGTGAGTTTGCCAATATGGCTGCTGAAACATTCACATCATTTAAGTATTGGAGTCTTTAACAGTGACTCCCAAGAAAGAATATACACATCCATGGTGTAGAGACGGTTATTGGAGAATCATACCCACCACCCTGTCTTCTCCAGAGCTGGCCCCAGTCTATAGGTGATGTTGAGACCCCCTCTCCAGTCAAGCGGGGCCTCCTCTCCGCCCATCTCTCTGTGGGTCGAACAAATTGAAAACATATGAATATGTATGCACCTCAACTAACTTCATTTTGCTTCCTTGGATTAACAGAATTGATGTTTCGAGATATCTAAATGACCAAGAAGATTTCTGATTGAAAAGCAACAAGAATTTACCTGAGTATTTTTTCGGCAATGTCATATCCGATAGGATGTGCTGGTATTTCAGGGAGTACAACTTCAGAAGCATTCTCAGGATACCGATATGCAGTTTCTGAAATAATGACAGGTTTACAATAAGCAATTAACAACAAATCAATACGAAGCACACACATAATAATGATGTCCTGCGCCCAACCACAGAAATGACGTGTTACCATTTGTAACGTCATATGTAATGACGTCACAATGTTCAAAGCTGTCAGATCCCCACTTCTCCTTTTCAGGTTATACTCCAGCATTGAAAACAAAGAAATGATTACATTGTAGGAATGTGAATCATACTGATTTCAAGAACTTTATTGTGCGTGTTTGGTGTCAAACCTACTGATTGCTGGATAGTCTGGTGTTAGCGGGTCGCCATCTCCAAGGAAGATTGTCCCCCTTTGTGACCCTGACCCTGGCAGCCACCATGTTTCCGGGTAGACACGTGGGTCGCCCTTCCACGTGTAGTCAGCTGGGTCTGAGAAGATGATGACACCAGTCGCGCCGTGGTCCGCAGCTATCTGAACCTACAGTTCCACACGATGCCATGCATTAATATCTTGGCACTCTGACGTATACAATATCTGTCAAACACGAAGCTTGACGCAGACTTAATCATACTGAATTTATATACTTTAAATCATTGTCTTTTAGCTGTGAGAGCATCTTATATTGCTGAGTGTGGTGTTAAACAACAAATTAACCCCCCCCCCCCCCCCCCCCCCCCTCTAATCGTGTGACAAAGATTTCACGCGCACTGAATCATTGTCGAAACAATGTAGACTCCATTGACATAAGACATTTATCATTGTTGTCGTGTTATATAACAACTTCACTCTCTTATAATTGTTGACGTCCTGCATACATGTATGTTGACTGTGTTCAGTTATATACTGAATCGCATGGTGACAACCCAATGGGCACATCGAGGATGTGATATGAGGAGTGAGTGTTAAAAACGACTGCGACCTTCGCGGACCCGAGCAACTGCCTGACATCGTCTTGGCATCCTCTGGATGAGGGTATCCATGATAGCCTTTCAAAGTTGGCACTCTGTTTGTCAGGCGCCATATAACTATGCGGCGCACACGACCTTAACAGAGATTTTCCAAAGGGGTTAAGATCAGGCTCGTTGGCTGGCCAGGGTAGTAGACGGGTATTCCTATTTCAAAATAGATTGAAAAACGAGCTGCTTTGGGTCGGGCGGCACCCCCTGTTGGAATTCAAACCGACGACCAATTCAACGCGCAAGGTGACTGCGACTGGCCACAAAACCTCATGTCAAACCTCTGTGAGTCGACCATCAGCACGCCTCAGACGATGCCAGCCAACACCATAACCGAGCCACCACAATACCAGTTGTGCTGTGCTATGGTACAATGCTGGTGTAACGCTCATGACAACGTCTCCAAACACGATTCGGCCATCTCTAAACCTCGAATCTTCACTGCACGTTGTAAGACGTCAATGACAAAACTGTCTGACGCTGTGACGCCGAGTCCATCTTGATGAAATCACTGGTCGACGACATTTTAATCCTGGAGCTTTGAACGGATTGAGTACATTTCATTGACTTAATCTCATGTGGTTAATGACTCTACCATAACGAGTGTATGTCAGATAATAATCCGAATCTACTTCTTTACGGTCGCCGTGGGTGTTGTCTGACGGTCATCGCGGTCTGTCGTCTACAATGATCATGACGCATTTTGACATTACCGGCTTGCCAATACATAATTTATTCAAATCTCTTGAAATAACAATACTTTACTTGTTGAAAACACCCGCAGACTGTCGGAATGAATTCCCCGTCAAAAGCTTTCCAAATGCTTGCCATTTTTACGCTCCTGTCATCAATAGTCTCGACATTATGGTGAGGAGAAAAGGGGTTTAACGTCTCAGTGTCTGAGTTTTATCCCCTTAAAGCCGAACACCAGGCAGGGTAACAACAAGTACCATCTTGTTGAATTTTGGTTTGACGCGGCGGGGATCGACCTTCCCTCCTCCGGGAAGACACCCTATCCATAGACCACGGAGATAATCTCTCGACTGGATGACTACTTTCACAAAGGCATCAATTTCCTGTCATACTCTTACCTTAAACCGTGATGCATAGGTGATACACGTGGGGATGCATAGGCGATGCAATGGTGATGATGCAATGGTAGTGCAATGGTGATGCAATGGTGATGCATTGTTGGTGCAATGGTGATGCATTGGTGATGCAATGGTGGCGCGAGCATGTTTATCGGATGCATTGCGTTTGGGTAATTTAACCTGTTTACTCTTCACGAGATCCCTTTTTATACGACCTCCCAACCTAATCATGATAAAGCACATGTAACAAACAGCTCCTGATGTAAATGTACAATGTATTCATGACACACATTTCGTAAAGTCAGTGTGACACACACCGTCATGTAACACTCTCTGTGTATTCAGGTTATAGGTAGGTATCTTACTCTATCAATACTGACCTTACTTCCCCTGAAGATCTTCCCGTATCTGACGATTACGATCTTCCCCGTGACGTTCATGCTGGCGTTCTTCTCCAGCCAATCATAGTCCTCCACTCGCCCGTAGTTTACAAACACCATGTCACCCTGGCAACAAAAACATCGTCTTCTGATCTATTGTACTTATCATCGTCCAAACTATTCATTGTCAGTGTGAAGGACATTTCTTCAGTATGTGATTGAGTTGGGTTTACTGTAGCTTTGAACAAACTGTCAGTTTCTGGCGAGCCTAATGGGCTGAGCTCTACATTGCGGGTGGGTAAGAGATTTCTACAGGAAGAGGGGATTGATTACATTGATTACATAACAACAGACCATCTTTGTGGTCAGGATGACTAAATGTCCGTTTAGCTCACCTTCACTAAGCCTGCAGGGGAGTAAGCGTTGTACGGCGGCAGCGCATCAGGGTCATCCTCGCCAGTCAGGTTAGCTTCCTTCAAAGGCGACTCGTACACAATCCCCCCGGTTTCGTTCAGGACGCGCACCACGTTGGGGTTGTTGGCGTCGGGGAAGGACAGAAGGACGTCATACGGCGTTAGCTTGACGTCATCAAACCCCCATTCCATCCATTTATCCTTGATCCAGTTACCAAGGTCAAGGTTATTTTGAGACCCTGCGACGTGTGGCTTCAGAGTTAGAAGTCTGGAAAATATATGTCTGTGTGTGAGATGTCTGGAAAATATATGTCTGTGTGTGAGAAGTCTGGAACATATATGTCTGTGTGTGAGATGTCTGGAACATATATGTCTGTGTGTGAGAAGTCTGGAACATATATGTCTATATGTAAGATGTCTGGAACATGTATGTCTGTGTGTGAGAAGTCTGGAACATGTATGTCTGTGTGTGAGATGTCTTGAACATATATGTCTGTGTGTGAGAAGTCTTGAACATATATGTCTATATGTAAGATGTCTGGAAAATATATGTCTGTGTGTGAGAAGTCTGGAATATGTATGTCTGTGTGTGAGAAGTCTGGAACATATATGTCTGTATGTGAGATGTCTGGAACATATATGTCTGTGTGTGAGATGCCTGGAACATATATGTCTGTGTGTGAGATGTCTGGAACATATATGTCTGTGTGTGAGAAGTCTGGAACATATATGTCTGTGTGTGAGAAGTCTGGAACATATATGTCTGTGTGTGAGATGTCTGGAACATATGTGTCTGTGTGTGAGATGTCTGGAACATATATGTCTGTGTGTGAGATGTCTGGAACATATATGTCTGTGTGTGAGAAGCCTGGAACATATATGTCTGTCTGTGAGAAGTCTGGAACATATATGTCTGTGTGTGAGAAGTCTGGAACATATATGTCTGTGTGTGAGATGTCCGGAACATATATGTCTGTGTGTGAGATGTCTGGAACATATATGTCTGTGTGTGAGATGTCTGGAACATATATGTCTGTGTGTGAGAAGTCTGGAACATGTATGTCTGTGTGTGAGAAGTCTGGAACATATATGTCTGTATGTGAGAAGTCTGGAACATATATGTCTGTGTGTGAGATGTCTGGAACATATATGTCTGTGTGTGAGATGTCTGGAATACATATTTATTGCCCTGCTTAATATAGTTATTCGTTTGCACACACTCATACCGATAATTAAATATAAAAGGGAAAGAAACAATCATTTGTATGTGATTCCAATATTAAATTATAGCATTGTATAATAAACATGTAATCACACTGAAACATGCGACAGAATGAATATAGTTTTACGCTCTAGGTTTCATCATAGTCGGCTCTTATAGAAGGCCAGACAGGGAACAGTTACACCTCACCATACATGATACTGTGTGCACCAACCATTCTCCTTGTTTCAAATTGTTGACTAATGTTTTCGGGTTTTTGGGGTGTGTTTTTTTCATTTGTTGCCACCAGATAAGATATAGAGAGGGAATAACAACAAGAATCATAAACGGGTTTTTATCTAACAGAATTGACACTTTTATAACTAATCCTCTCAAAAAAGGGACGCCATGTACACGGTCAAAATGTAAACAGACTCAAGCATTTCCATGGGCGCTTAATAGCTTCGACAACATACTATTAAAAATCACCAACCTTGAGATATCGAAATGGACCATCCTACTTGTTATCAAGATATTTATTTTCATATATGTTGCCACGTTGACCCGTGTCATAACGTCTTTAGCGGTTTACGTGCATCGACTCATGTCAGAATGGACAGTCTTAATTGATTGTAAGATAACAGAAATACATTTCCGACAGTGCCTTCAATACCGCCCAAATCAACTGCAACATCAAAATATGATTAAGCATTGTATGAAAAAGGTTTGAAAAACAAAAACAAACCAGTCACGCGAAAATATGCTTGGAAACACACGTACGCAAGCATTAACTAGCACACTTACACATACGTTTCCGCGCGCGCACACACAGACGCACGTACATAATCAAACTTTAAGATTACTAGTTGATCTATCTTTTCAATTCCAATTTTGTTTCAATTTTGCTTGTTAAAAAGATATCAGTTAATGTATCGCCTTGGTGACCTCCTGCAGATGTCTATGTAAGTTTATTGCTAGCACCACGTTGACGGATATATCTTGTGACAATCCTGTTGTATGTTTGCATCTATAAATAGCAACCAGAGTAGAACCACCAATTAGAACAATGGCTGTTGTATCAATCAGCCAAAACAAACACACACTGTCCATGCAAATAAGAGCTCCTAGGAAAATACAAGACAATAATATTTACAAACATATTTTCTTTGACATTTACCTTAGGTATTCCTCAATTTTCGTGTTATCCACTGCATCTATGAGTTGTTTGCCAATTTCCGGGTCGCCATCTTTGATGATTGCTTCTGGGATACCGGGAAGGAAGACTCCATCTTTCTCAGGTGTGGACTCGGGGTCTGATTGGCCAGGACATATTCCATAACGACCAATGAGAATACCAACACACAATCCGACCAAAACAGCACATAGTCCACCGAGGATTAGGTTGCGTTTTCTGTTAGAATGGTATTTGCCTGCATTAGAACCGTCCATCATGTCAAATTTTGGCATGTTGGTGTGTGTACTGAACCAATGAATACAATAAGTCCTTTCTTTGAAGAATGGCTGACGAATAGGACTTGCTGATCATGTGTTTGGAGGAGTACACATAGATGGTCGTCTTGCTCTAGAAATTAAAGAAACGACAAAAATGATGAAACTATCTCATTCCGTAAATTTAATCTCGAGCATTTCTTTTAATTTTTCTGGTACTCAAGGTTAGCGAGTCAATATATACTCTTTACGTATGGGATCATAAAGTATAAATGTTAATATCAAGTATTAGAAGGATAATTGTTGATAATATCCTTTGCAAAAACGTTTGTCAGTAAAACTTTTCCATAAAACATATCATTAGTGTGCACGTGCCGCACACAGTATCGCCTCAGATATGCGTAGGGTGCCATTCCTGAGTTTGACACTTTCAAGGAAGGTCGATTAATCTGTGGGGCATATTTTTGTCAATCTTATTGATTCTGCTAATCATACAGTTGTTATTTACTGGATCTTATTCACTGTTTATGTATTTCTTTCATTGCTTGTGTATGGAGCGGTTGCAACGCGTGGAGCGTCCACTGCATGCTGGCAGAATTATGCTTTCAGTTGCCAATACGTTCCAAGTTACACAGTCTGTTATTAGCAGAGTATGGAACAGATACCAACAAACTCAAAATGTTGACGTTCGGCCCGCTCAGGGCGTCCCATATCAACGACAGAGGACAGGGTCGATCGAAACCAGGCTCTACGAAATTGAGCTCAAACGGCGAATCAAATTGTACGAGTTACGATTGGAACTCGATTAGAAATCGTCTGCGCGTTTATCTCCTTGCTTCGACGGCCACGTGTTGTGCCACCCCTTACAAATCGTCATATTGTCAACAGACTTCAATGGTGTACGCAACGTCGAAACTGTGGCAATCGTCGCTGGTCATGTGTCATGTATTCAGATGAGTCCCGATTCACTTTGCACTTAGGTGTGGTCGTGTCTGACGACGTCGAAAAGGACGTCAAGCAAGCAATGTCAGCCTGAGACGTCATGACAGATTTGGCGGTGGATCGGTTATGGTGTGGGGTGGCATCACTATGAATGTTGCCGAACCCCGGTCCATATTGTGCAAGGAAGGGTCACTGGACAGTACTATCGGGACAAGATACTGAAATCCTTTGTTGTTCGGTTTGCAAGGCGTGTGGGTCGACGTTTTGTCTTTCAGGACGACAACGCCCATGCTCACCGTGCATGAATCGTCAATTTTAAACTCCAGCAGCACCACACCCATAGAATGGCATGGCCAGCAATGGGCGGAGACCAAACCCCGATTGAACAGGTCTGGAACATGATAGGGAAACCGTCATAGGCCGCCGATCACGTTGGCCGAACCTGGCCAGGCGCTGCAAGAGGAATGGGATAAACCTCCTGAAATCGCCATTGGGACATTCACACGCAGTATGTCTTGTCGAATGAATAAATGTTTGACAAATTATGGCGGATTTACGCACTAATGTTACAAACACGTCAATTTATAATCCCCATCTTATCCCTATCGGGGCGGCCGGGTAGCCTACTGGTTAAAGCGTTCGCTCGTCACCCCGAATACCCGGGTTCGATTCCCCATATGGGTACAATGCGTGAAGCCCATTTTCCGCCGTGATATTGCTGGAATATTGCTGAATGGGGCGTAAAACCATTCCGTATGCAGACAGTACTGTTGACGTAATGAAGTCATCATTGTAGATGTAAGGCAAGCAGAAGTGTTGACGTAATACAGACATCATTGTTGACGTAATATAGACAGCACTGTTGACGTAATACAGACATCATTGTTGACGTAATGCATGCATCATTGTTGACGTAATGCTAATGGCCTAACACTAGTATTAACTTCAGCTTCTCGACAATGCCTATTTCTTCACTTCGTATGGTAACATTGTTGAATCGCAAGCAGGTATTCGACCTGGGTATTCGCCAGTTGATCACAAAAGGGTAAACATTATATACTGAGTTAAGTGTGTGAAATTGTGGCAAGTCCAAAAAGAAAGGGGTGTATCTAAAAAAAATGCTGAGATGTGTTCAATCAGTCTATAAGTTAGTAAAATCATGTGTAAGACGTGCTAACTCATTTTCTGAAACGTTTCAATGTCCACATGGAGTCCGCCAGGGTTGTTTATGAATGAGCAATCAAAACTGTGGAAAGCAGCCAACCTCGAATCCATTTGCACCCTTATCTGACACCAAATGTTTCTTTTGCTATTCGCAAACGGTATTATCCTAATTTCAGATACTATATAAGGGTTTGCAGAAACGAACTGATGTTTTGGAGAATATTGCATTGATTATGAATTAGATGTTAATTTGGATAAAACTAAAGTGATGTTATTCAAGAGGGGCGTCTATTAAGAATTGGAAAATGGTTTTACAAGGTACTATACTTAAGTGTGTATCTATTTACAAATACTTAAGTATTATGATTTCAAGAAATCTCTCGTGGTCAAAACGCTTCGAAAAATCACTTTTGCAAGGGAGAAAAGCTCTAAATTGCATTTTGAAACAATTATGTAGAGTAGATAATCTTGGTCATGAACTGTTTTTTACAATAAAAAATAATACCCGAAATATTGCTTTATGGATCAGAGGTATGGAGGAAATAGAAAATGTACAGGTAGGCGTGTAAGCGCCTTCTTCGTGTTAAGATATCTACCCCTTACCACATTGTGCGTGGAGAATGCGGCCAATATCCTTTATCTATTTATGCATACAAAAGACGTATTAGATACCGGACGAACCTTATTTCTATGTCTGAATCCCGTTATAAACCCCCCAACCCCCAAGGAAAGATTGTTCCAGTATGATGTTACAGGCATCAAATAAAGGCAAGCTGAATCGGGTTTCGAAACGTTAATATATCCTGTTAAGCTTTGGATTCGGATATACATGGGAACAGCAATATATTCGCAAATCAAAATATTTTTATCTGAATTCATGTCACGCATGAAGTATACCTAGTAATCGAATTGGCCTAGTATGCCTCAAAACGGTACCAAAACATCATCACATTCAATGTTTATAATTACTTTTGGAAAACAGCTATACCTCAGTTGTATACCGCAAAGTGTCGATTATGTCAATGTCGTAATTATAGATGAGGATGCATATCACTTCCGATAAGTTAACTCTGCGTACAAACTTTTACGTACAAAACATATACAAGAAACTTATACCCTTCATCCTTAGAAAAATAAAGTTTATTTTGTAATGGCCACAAGAAGTGATACTTGTTTTCAGAATCTGTACCTTTATCATGCTATGCTAATAAGTAAAACAATTCTGAAGATATAATGTCATAAATCCTGATAAAGCCTTGTCAACTCTTTTTTCAGAACTATGTTTATGTATTCTGCACGTCATGTAATCAAATGTAAACATGGGCGGTTGGCCTACATTTGGCCGAAATATAGAAAATATAGAACATAATGCAGACATCATTGTTGACGTAATGTTGATGTCGTAATAATACCACATGTATTAACGTAAGCTTGTCGGCACGATTTTCAAAAAAGAGGACACTACCTATTTCTTCACTAGTGTTGATAATGATCAGGTTATAACATTCGAGTGTTTGTCCTACAGAGTTTGCAAAAGTCGTGTCAGAATTCACGATCTCATGTAATAAAAAAATCGTTTCGTAAAATCAGTACAACAAAGTCGTATAAAATTATCCATTTCTCCGGTACATGTGGTTAGAATGCGTGGATATAAACATCTTCGAAGTTTTTGTTGGAGCATGAAAATCATTCACATTTAACTGTGTAAAACGATCATTTTGGATGTGATAAAGATACGAAATTGCTGATATACACACAACACCATAAGATACATTCATACAATGTTTCTACAGTGTAATATCCACAAAAGTGAGAACTGTTTTATTGTGCGCATAAACATTACATTTTCTCTTAATACGATGCTATAAGATATCTATCTTGAAAAGGTTATGTCCCTTCATAACTATCGCGTGTTTCATGCACAGAAGATTATGTCTGTCAGCACAATGCAGATAAGTGGTCGTGAGTTTCATCAATACGTCACTGAAATCCCAATACAATCTAATTAATCTGGCGCGAGCAGCAGCAGTAAAGCGTTCACTTTTTATGCCGAACACCCGGGTTCGATTCCCCCTTGGGCACAACGTGTGAAACCCATTTCTGAAGTCGTGATATTGCTAGAATATTGCTAAAATCGGCGTAAAACTAAACTCACTCACTAGTTATTCTGTTTATTTGATCGGTATTATACCGTAATATGAACTTATACATGAAAGCGACAAAAACCTTTCCAAACACACCAATACGTCACAAACAACACCATACAACACATTGACGTACAGTCATGCTGTCGCGTTATCCTTTTCACGGAAATAAAATACGTTTTCTTCGTCGCGGGAAAACTGTATGTTCTCATGTCTCTCCTCCCTGTTTCTATGTGCCATCACGTCCCTGTCTCAGTGGACATAATCTGATCTAGGCCCGTGTCGACGTGTACAGTAGCCACACAGCGGCCATACGTACACCACTCGTGGCAAACGTCCTGTTTTGATGTTGTCACGTTCACATTCTAAACATTTTGTAAAACATATTTTTTAGAATGCACTTTTGGTGACTTTGATGAACTGTTTTAAACTCACTTTCCCTCCACCACATCAACTTGTTGATCATGATTGTCAAATCCTCCATGTGGCATTACACACCTGCACATTTGTCAGATCTGTTGTCATCAATGGGCATCGCTTACTTTTTGAAATAATATATTTATTTTATCAAACGGTAGGTTGAATTGAGAACATAGAAGTAACATGCTAACAAAATGAGTCCACATTTAAAACAAAGAAGGGTCATATCTATGTTAAGTGTGATCAGATCATCCTAATATCTGTCTTACCATGAAGTCTACTAAGTCTCATTTAAATACCTTTAATACGTTTGTTGCTAAGCATGTTGAACCCTACAGCACAATTTCCTATATGAACAATGCATTTCAAGTGTAAGGTTTGATTTCGCAATAGCCCAGGTACATGTGACTGGTGACATTATGATTGCTCATTGTCATAAGGATTGTTTGTTGTATACAGTTTAGGTCAATAGTCAGACTATATTGATCGTGGCAAATTGTGGCAAGGAATCCGTTCTGCACAGGTACATCACGACTGACAACATTATCATTGCTCACTGCTATTGTTTATGCCTGTGTACATGATATCCTGAATGCACTATATGCTCATCAGCACAACCGGGTGATTGTGTTAAGAATGTTCTTGTTACATTGTCAGTTTACATGTCAATAACGATCACGGTGTTAACATTCACAGAAGAACATATTTTAAAAACAATAAATATTGAAATGCTAAGAAATTAATAAAAAAGTACACTGCAGCGTTACGAATGACATGTCAAGATATAAACAAACAAGGCGCATCTACGTGCACACCTACCTTGCACCTGTCACGCCCACGGCGCACTGAGACTTGAGCAGCCTAACCTCATCTCCCCATGACATTGCCTGTCTGTCTTAACGCTTCATCCGCCTCATGACCTACTCGTCTGTAGGGGGACCATTTCAAAACACACAGTGTCGGATATGGACTGCTTGACTATTTTGATCTCGTAGTATTGGTTGTCTCAACAGCCCAAATGTACATGACACATTCAATTAATGTTTTCTGTCTAGAATCTATTGATCCTTTTACCTTCAAGATTACGGTTGTAGCCTGTGTGTTTCGTGTTGGTTACGTGTTCTGTGGTGAGCCAAGGATGAGTTAAACCTCAGTCAATGTTCCAGCTAAATCTGTTACTAATTGCGTCTTTGCCAGGCGGATCAGCGATTGTTGGCATGATCCCCAGTGTACGAGGCCACACAATTGGCTTAGCTTGACTGACATGACATAACAACATGTAGGAGCGGGATAAAGACATCGTGATGTTTTGTAGCCAAACAGAAGAATAGAATCCACTTTATAACATACCCCTCACAACATTTACCTGTTCAGATGGCCATCTTATATCAGTGTTTAACGGTGCTAAATGAAACCTTCAAGGAAGTAACAGAAAGGTGTGTGCATGAGGACGTCTTGATAAATATCTGTACCATCGTATTGGGCACACGTGTAGCGTGATTTTAGAATGCACCCTTTGTGACTTTGTTTTAATATTTTAGACTCACTTTCTCATCCTGGCATGAACTTGTTGATCACGATTGTCAAATCCTTCATTTGTCATTACACATCTACATAATTGTCAGATCAGGGGGGTACGGGTGGCCCAGTCGTCTAAGGCGCCGCGATTCGCTGTGCAGAGTTGCGTCCCTTGGGCATGCCAGAAACCTATGATTGTGGGTTCCAATCCCGGTTCGCCCCGATTATGTTTCTAGGTTTGTCAGCACCATACCCGTGCTCGTGGGTTTCACCGAAGTGGTAAACGTCTGAGACCTGCATCACTTCGGGCTTTCCTCCCACATTAAACTGACACGCCGCGATATAACTGTAATACTGTTAAAAGCGACGTTAAACCCAACTCACTCACTCACTTTATACGACATCGCCTGCCTTTTGAAAAAGATATATTATCTTATCAAAAAGGTAGAGAATGAATTTATCAACATAGACACGCAAAAATGAGTCATGGCTATTTTAATATGTTATCAGATCATTCACATGAAGACTGTCTGCTAAGTCTCATTTAAATACATTTTTATACGTTTCTTGCTAACCATTTATCCGACGGATGGACAGCACAGATTCCTAGATCATCTCACTGAGGGCGATACTAGTACCGGTGTCTCAATATACCCCGACTCTATCACTTCTCCATGTATGAATAAACTGGTCACAATTTGCAGATACATAAAACGCGTGTGTTTGCTCAATATGTTTGTGATACGGTTTAGCACTACACCCCCCATACATAGTGACCCTTTCGTGTATCATTGCTCTGACAGAACACGGTTGTGAACGCGAGATACACATTTACGAGTCTGAACACAATGGTGCTCAATTTCACACTTAATGTTTGCAGAACGAAACCTAACAAATGTCCGTAGCTGTAACCCCTTTTGTGTTTCGCTATGTTTTGAATGTGGAATGGCTAATGACGTTGAAGAGCTACAGGTTAACCCCGTCTTGATTGATGTTACAGTTTGTAAACCGCTTAAAAATATAATCTTGCTTCGCAGAAGGAATAGCATATATACATAAATATACTCATTGTATTTGTTGTTGACAACAATATATTCCTGACAGTGTGCACGTTCTATATGCAGTTTCACGAATTGTGAATCTTTTCTTTAATTTATGTATCCATGTATTTCTGTTGTTAATCTGTTGTTACGACTTATTCGTAGATTTGATGATGACGTGATCGAACCACCACGATACTAACCAACATACAAGCGACAAAAACCTTTCCACAATAATAAAAAAATATCCGTTTATACTATAAGCAGGTGCTTATGTTGCGAAACAGAATCAAATAGTGATGATAAAAGGTGCGACACACGTCAATAACACATGCAAAGGCAAGTCAAGAGAGAACAGACGAATGCATGACAGAAAACCGACGAGGGTTGAAGCTAATATGATCATCTTAGATGTGTGAAGAACATGCAAGTGTTTATTGCCCTTTCCCTGTATATCGTTGGAAAATACTAAACTTTCGTCGTAACTAATATATACTTCGTCAATACTCTGCAGGACAATAGATATTTGTGTTCCAATTTTTATTTTACAATGAAATACACTGTCTTCAAGATAACCAATTTGGTTGATTCCTGAAAGAGGTTGCTTTAAACACTAATAACTGATGGTTTCTGGATGCTTAAAACTTGTCAATAATGAATATTGAGATAATCCTGTTCCTTGGTCGATAACCACGCGTGGTTTGGCGTCGAGATGGGTCGCCATATTGGGTAGACATGGTGGCACCTCAGTGATAAAGAGAAATGAACATTTTGCGGTCACAGACGACTCAAGGGTCGTGTACTTTCGAGGGGTGTCTGAAATGTCTATCTATGCTGGACTGCTTTCATGGAATTGGTGGCTAATTATTTTTCAACACAATCCCCTTCAAGGTTCAACGATGCTGAAAGGCCAGGATCCTACTGGCATAGAAGGCGTCCTCCTGCTGCTATATAAAGTCCGCCACAACAGAAATGACATCATCATATTTGCATACTGCTTGCCCCGAGTTGTTTGGATCTTTCCCTCTCCGCTTCCCACATCTTAACAGTGACAAACACAAGAGCATCGTCCCTCAAGCTGACAACATGCCCGCAAGGATGACTTTTGGAGTAGTCTTTCCAGTTTGTCCTAACATGATGGATCACTGTGCAGTAGGTGCAAGTAAGTGAGTGAGTATTGTTTTACGCCGCTTTTAGCAATATTTTAGCAATATCACGGCGGGGGACACCGGAAATGGGCTTCACACATTGTACCTATGTCGGGAATCGGCGTGACGCGCGAACGCTTTAACCACTAGGCTACCCGACCGCCCCTTGCAAGTAAGCGAGTGGCTCTGGTATAGCGCATGTATTGTATTGTTTGACGCCACGAGTGAAAACTGATGCTTCAGGCGTATGTGTAGGTGCATGCATGCATATTCGAGTTTGTACAAATACTGATACGCAATCCCAACAAACTGGAAGTGAAAATATATTCCAATACCTGCACTTACAAATTAGTATGCAAACTGACGGTAAAGGATGTTCGCAAAACATGCATGGATCAACGCGGTTTTCGACAATATTTCAGTTATATCACGGCTTGTCATCTTAATGTGGGAGAAAGGCACAACATGATGAGACGGGTATGAGGGATTGGATCCGTCATCTTTGAGGAAATTAATTCTGCCGATAAAATATAACGTGTGTGTGTGTGTGTGTGTGTGTGTGTGTGTGTGTGTGTGTGTGTGTGTGTGTGTGTGTGTGTGTGTGTGTGTGTGTGTGTGTGTGTGTGTGTGTGTGTGTGTGTGTGTGTGTGTGTGTGTGTGTGTGTGTGTGTGTGCTTGAACTAGTCCGGACTGACGCCGATTTATATTGATAGCCCACTACTGAGATGTCATGTCATGCCGCAGTTTAACATGAATACCCCACTCAGACACAGTATACTGACACCGAGCCGACCAGTTCTTGTTTTAGCCCCTTAATGCCGAGCGCCAGACAAGGGAACAACAAGTACCATCATTTAACGTTGTTTGGTATGACGGGGCCGGGGATCGAACCCAGCACCTTCCACTATCCTGGCGGACATACGCAGAGATTAACAATGAAACAAACAAACAAACAAGGGTGACATAGTGATGATTGTGATGAAGCCAATACGTTTAATGTGTATATTTAAGAATTTTAAAAAACAGTACCAGAGGGGTATTTTATGTGCGCTTTGCATAAATGAAAATGGACGGTATGGGTCAACAGACACGTCACAGCCAGTTGCAAATTCGCACAGATCACAGGCAGTGGAACCTCACACACATAGCACAGACAGAGGCGCCTTACACACAAATCACAGGCACTGACACCTTACACACATATCACATGCAATGGCGCCTTACACACACATCACAGGTAGTGGCACCTTACACACATAGCACAGACAGTGGAGCTTTACACACAATCACAGACGGTGGCGCCTTACACACACATCACAGACATTCGCGCATTACACACATTTCACAGACAGTAGCGCTTTGCACACATATCACAGACAGAGGCGCCTTACACACATATCACAGGCACTGACACCTTACACACATTTCACATGCAGTGACGCCTCACACACATATGACAGGCAGTCGCACCTTACACACATATCACAGGCAGTGGCACCTCACACACATAGCACAGGTAGTGGCGCCTTACAAACATATCACAGGTAGTGGCGCATTCCACACATATCACATGCAGTGGCACCTTACACACACATCACAGGTGGTGGCACCTTACACACAGAGCACAGACAGTGGTGCCTTACACACATAGCACAGACAGTGGTGCCTTACACACAGAGCACAGACAGTGGCACCTTACACACACATCACAGACAGTGGCTCCTTACACACATATCACAGACAGTGGCACCTTACACACATATCACAGACAGAGGCACCCTACACAGATAACAGGCAGTGGCGCCTTACACACATATCACATGCAGTGGCACCTTACACACATATCACATGCAGTGGCACCTTACACACATATCACATGCAGTGGCACCTTTCACACATATCACAGACAGTGGTACCTTACACACATATCACGGACAGTGGCACCTTACACACATATCACGGACAGTGGCACCTTACACACATATCACAGACAGTGGCACCTTACACACATATCACAGACAGAGGCACCCTACACATATCACAGGCAGTGGCGCCTTACACACATATCACATGCAGTGGTACCTTACACACATATCACATGCAGTGGCACCTTACACACATATCACATGCAGTGGCACCTTTCACACATATCACAGACAGTGGCACCTTACACACATATCACGGACAGTGGCACCTTACACACATATCACAGGCAGTAGCGCATTCCACACATATCACAGGTAGTGGCAACTTACACACATAGCACAGGCAGTAGCGCATTCCACACATATCACAGGTAGTGGCAACTTACACACATAGCACAGGCAGTGGCGCATTCCACACATATCACAGGTAGTGGCAACTTACACACATAGCACAGGCAGTAGCGCATTCCACACATATCACAGGTAGTGGCAACTTACACACATAGCACAGGCAGTAGCGCATTCCACACATATCACAGGTAGTGGCAACTTACACACATAGCACAGGCAGTAGCGCATTCCACACATATCACAGGTAGTGGCAACTTACACACATAGCACAGGCAGTGGCGCATTCCACACATATCACAGACAGTGGAATGTATAACCCACTTCGATTGCAGGCACACACCGTGTGTGAAGCTAAGTGAGACACTTTGGAGTAAGGACAAGGAACAAACGCGATGACTTCCTTATGAACCACTCCTTATTATCGGGACTTCACGTTATTAAGCACTGAGCTTAATTACAGATTATGCCTATTTTTGTCGAGTGACACTTTATTAAAATTAAAGCCCAGGACCTAAAACGAAAAAGAAGGAAAATATGTCAGGAAGAATGAATCTTCCAGGTTCCCTGCACATCACGCTTGCTGAACCCCAAGCTCACGACTTCGTTCAAGACGTGGTATATGGGTGGGACATTCACCATCGTGTGTCACCTCTTTGTACCACTTTATTTTCCACGTGCGTTTGTGACCCCACCATCACACAGGTTCCACTCGTTCTCGTGTTGAAACTGATGTGGAAAATGATTGATTTTTATGCAGGTGACGACCCGTGAAGATCCTGGTAGAATAGGTCTTCAGCAACCCCTGCTTACCATAAAAGGCGTCCGTGCTTGTCGTAAGAGGCGACTAACGGGATCGGGGGGTCAGGCTCGCTGACTTGGTTGATGCATGTCATCGTGTCCCAGTTGCATGGATCGATGCTTATGATGTCAATTACTGGAATGTCGGGTTCACATGCGATTATTTACAGACCGCCGTCATATAGCTGGAATATTGTTGAGTGTGGTTTCAAACAGCAAACAAACAAACAAATTATGTAGCTACAGTTATTTTATTAACATTTTATTTAGATGAAAATATTGATATCTTCTAACATTATTTGAAAACAGGCCTTTTTAAGGTCTACACGAGGGCTGGATGACAGGTTCTAAGCCTAACCACAAAGGATGTATAGTAAGTACACCCCAACAGTTATACATGTAACTTAACAATACTTCCCATCCTTAAAACTGCATTTGAACTAAATACACTACTTGACAGCAAGTACTGTCATCAATTATGCCCACCTGAAAAGAGCCAATTTCAACAGCCATCCACGCATGCATGGTTACTTTAGGTGGCGCTCCTTCCCTTACTATTGTTAAGAGGTGGGCAGCAAGATTCATCAGGGGAAGAATGAGTGAGTGAGTGAGTAAGGTTTTACGCCGCTTTTAGCAATATTCCAGCAATATCACGGCGGGGGACACCAGAAATGGGCTTCACACATTGTACCCATGTCGGGAATCGAACCCGGGTCTTCGGCGTGACGAGCGAACATCAGGGGAAGAGAGATCCAAGTTCTAGAAGACCATCAAATGATACCACTAATGGAAATGATTGATAAAATACATATGCTTATGAATGATTAATGACACGCCACACGTCACGTAACCTATACATAGAGCATATTCCACGTGTTGAGTGAAATATCATGTTATTCTCACCGAGTGACGAGGGGAAAGGAGATATTTTCCGACGCCACTCGTGAAAACATCTCCCATACCCCGTAGCCTCTCGTGAAAAATATTTCCTTTCCCCCGTCACTCGATGAGAGAAACATGATATTTCACGCGACACATGAAAAATCCTATTTATTATATACTTTTTGTGTAGTTGTCTACCGGAAAATTGAATTATTTCATTACAAATGTAATTACCTTTAAACGTAATTTCTCCTCTGACACGCAGTGACGTTGTAAGTGCGACTTAAAAAGGAGTTCCGTGTTTGCAAAAAATAAATAGACAAAGGTAACCAAAAATATTTGATGTCAATAAAATTCTTTAACATACATTTGGATATGATTATAAACAAATCAAATTCATAAAAAATATACTTGAAATATACGAGACCGTTGTTGAAGCGAAAGATTACACGCCGGTCAAGTAACACAAATGGCGTTTTGACGACTTTAAAAATTTACAGTTTATAATGAAAATTTTCTGGAGAATAACAAACGGCAAGAAGTGATATTAACTCCATAAATGACCATCTGTCAATGAGGAACTAACGTTAGGCGGAAGTCAACAGTTTGTGTACGGGCCAGACACTTACGATATAGGGAGATATTTGGCGGAGAGGAATGTCATCCTTGAGGTGTCCCGCTGTAGGACACGGAGATCGGTTCTTCCGGCTCCACAGATCCAAACCCAAATCATGATTTAGCCCATTGTGGCCATGTTTGGCTGTGAAGACTAGATAGTAAACTCGATTTATCAGAGAAAAGCACTGGAGCCAAATCCTGGTCTGCCTAACTGACGTGATCTTCAGCGCAATCCAAACGTGTCTGCTTGTGATGACGGGCCAGTGGGATGCGAGTGAAGGCCCTCCGTGATCGGAGACCAGCTCATGGAGACGATTACGCGAGAGACCTGTCTTCCTGCTGTGAGGTGGAACGCTGTCGACCTCCTGCATGTCGCTGGGTAGCTGATCTAAACGTCTGGTGCCCTGCTGATCACATTTTGGATGACATCAAAGACGTTTGCAACGTGACGTCGTGTTGACCCAGTTTCAAGCATGCCTATGCATCTGCCAATCTCATTAAAATCGGATCTAAGCTCTCGCTGCCGCTAAACAAAGATCTGAGGACATCCCATTAGGGGTTACGTCAGAACGACCTTTCGCGAACTTTGACCGACCACTGAAATGAAGTCGACATCATCCAATCAGAAAGCAGCTTTCTCGAGCTTTACGGCACTTGTTTCAACCTGGCGACCTCCATTTCAGACTACACTTGAAAAATATGTTGACACAGTTCTCGATTAAAATTTTGAAAACTGAACAAACGAACATTCCGGGATGTCTAATATATGGTTGAGATTGTACGGTAGTGCTTCCCACGTACAGTGCAATGCCTCCTCGGTTTAAATGTTTATCCCACGGAAACGAGAGATAGACGATAATTTTGACGGAATCAGTCGTACGAGCCGTAACTGTCGTTCGGAATACACCGTGTTTACTTTTTCGAGGTTGCATGATTAGAAAACACATTCCGACTGTCACTTTCATGATCTGGTAAGCGACGCTTTGATTGGTCGGATGAAAGGTCGTTCTGACGTGACCCGTAATGGGATGTCCTCAGATTTTAGTTTAGCCATAGCGAGAACTAAGATCTGATTTTAATGAGATTGATGCATCTGCCTAATTTTTCATGATGAATCATGATACAGTTTACGTGGTTTCTGTACGTACGTTGGGTTTCTTTCTGTCCAGTTTGTGAGTGTAACGATTAAAACCTATATTTACTTATGGAAAAAAACTAACTAGAAAGTTCAATGAAAAGAAATTGATTCTGAAATTAATGCATCTTTCAATACATATTTATGAAGACATATCGTCGACTTTAAGGTCGTGATACACCGTTCGCCACGGTCCGGTCGTCCACGTGTGACGTCATGTCAAACAAGATAACCATACTCGGTTGGAGCATCTATGCAATCGATACCAAACTGCTACATTAACAACACGGACAATTCCTGGGTGTGATCAATTAGTGGCAGGACTGAGGGAGCATAACATCGGCCCCCGACGTTCAGCGATACGCCCAATTTTGCTTCAACGTCTAGCTTGGTGTAGGCAGGCATCTGAGGTTCAGAAGACACGCCTGGGACAGTATACATTATTCTGCAGGCGTCCATGTGTCTAGGAGAACGTTTTAGCAACGCTTGCGTCATCAGTTTGGGAGAAGACATGTAATGGTAAGGGGTGGCATCTCACAACTCATGGGAGAACACAACTCATCACTGTAAATGTCAATTTGAATGGTGTACGCTATCAGTCGAAGCCATGTTCTACCGCTTCTACAAATGCAAGGACGTAACGTAACGTCGCGTCGCGGGAAAATGGGGTCTTCAATGAACCGCTACTGCCACGCCTGTATCAACGTAAATGGTGATCACACCCGATATCAACATTGTTAATTGAGGTTTAACATCATCCCTCCTTCAGGGCGTATCGCTGCGTCTCCTGTGAACAGGTATGGGTTTTGTCAACGAATTTGTTAGGATAAGACATTGATAAGATGAATGACCAACCATTATGTTATTTTCATTTCTTAATTCTTAATCCACACACCCACACACTTAGTGTGTCGGCCAGTTTCGTCGAGTTAACATTTATTTGACATTTTCCGTCACATGTGAGGAAAGCCCGAAGTGATCAACTGCATAAACACATTTTCACAAACATTTTTTGATTATTCTACTTTACTGCTTAAAAAAAAAAGTATAGTTACAAATAAGTCATGTAAACAATGGACACAATCGCAATCAGAATCTTACTTGATTTTTAACATAGGTGAAATGAATGTTGGACTGCAAAGCATGGATTTCCAACAAGACGTGAAATATGTGTGGTTAAGGGATGTGGGTGAATTATAAAAGAAGGCCTTTAAGTTATTACTCTGTAAAGGAGCAAATATGAGCAACTGTCGGTTCGCAAATAGGAATCACCGAGCTCCGAAGGGATGAAATGTTTTCTTTGCACGTGCCGACTGTTAACAGTATATTCTCTAACATAAAACACTTTCCTACTTTTAGAAGAAACATATTCGAAAAATAAACCACAAATTTGTAATCAGTATTTATGCTGAGAGAGTTTCCTTTTCGAAATGCACGTGAATGTTCTGCTACTGATGCACATGCGCCAAATTCCGTCGCGACTTGATCTTGACAATGCATGTCTGACACAAGGCTCATACAACTGCGTATCAAATTATCAACATTTTATCACGATTTGGGAGAATGCTGACAAGGATTATGGGAAATATATAGCATTGAACACTGATGTATTTATTTCTCTTTTAGTTTTTCTCATCAAAGGATGATCTAATTACTTTAACACGAGCATCGTTACATGTAACATAATATACCACAACATTATGCATATTCTTTCTAAGATTTTAAGGATTATACACAATTTGTAAAATAATATTAAATAGTTAATTTCACACAGTTCTCTAATGTCGCCGTAGCCGAGATCGATTATTACATGTCCTCAATTCGTACTAAGATGTGAGACACATGTTTTCGGACAATAATTGAAATAATTCACTTGAGTTTCAAAGACAAAATATTTCCTTCAATTCTAAGTGCACATTAATTAGATCTATGTTCAACATAACGTAGGCATGAGTAATTGACAACCAACTGTCCATTCGTGAAACATAAGAGTTCATTTGATTTTAAATTCTAATAAATAAATTGCAACCGATTCCGTGGCATTTGATTGGCTAACCAAGTAATATTTTCTTGTGTTTATGTTTCCATGAACCGAGAAAAATAGGCCACGTCCAATTAAAGCCAAACACATACCACGGAATCGCTTGCAATTCATTAATATCATAATATGAAGATAATTATCAATATTCTGGAATGAATTTTATGACATCCCGTAGTGTTGACGCTGCTGAGTCGATGGTGAACAGAATGACGGAGAAATGTCTCTTGACACGTTCCCAGCGTGCCTCCACATCCGGGGCCTTCTCTATCTCAAACAGCAGGTCAACCAGGCCAGGGAAACTACTTCCGGCGTAGGAATCTGTGCTGCTCTCAGCCAGAAGGAGGTGCCTGAAACACACATTGTACAGGTTAATAGCTTCAATACTGAACACTTAGGGATAGGGATATTAATACATGACGGTAAGTAGACGATTGGATATTGTACAATCAACTGTTGTTTTTGTTGTTATAGTTTAAAGTTTTAATACGTTTGATTGGGTCATTATATAGGTGAAATAATAATGATTGCGGCGTAAAACAAGACTAATTCAGAAATATTTTAACACAGGAATCCTTGCTTATACTGAAAACTATTGCGGGCATCGGCATGAGGGACAAGAGTGCCCCGGTTGTCGAAGGCGCCGTTATTCGCTGTGCAGAGTTGCGTCCCTTAGGTGTGTCAGAAACATGTGACTAATCCCAGATTCGCCCTGATTTGTTTCCGGGTGTGTCGGTGCTCGTTGGTTTCACCAAAGTGGGTAAGATATAAGACCTGCATCACTTCGGGCTTTCCTCCCACAGCAAACTGAAACGCCGTGATATGACTGAAATACTGTTCAAAGCGGCGTTGGGCCAAATTCATTCACTTATTCACTCACTAACTCACCAACAGGGGTATATGTATCTGTGGAGTGTGGTATTTTCTTACTTTTTCTGTGATCTATCGGGCAGACCCTCATTGTCCAGGAACGCCTTCTCGAGTAGCGTCAGTTGGTCATTCACAGCCCGGATAGCCATAGGACTGAAACACAAGTAGCTTTAATTTACACTGACCTCATTTGGGCGACCCGAATACTAGTAGCTTCTTTGCACAGTGTCAGTGCAGACATCCGCAAGTCATGGTGGACAACCAGTTATGCTGAGAATATTTAAAATTAGCAATTGCAATGTGACCTTTAGAACGATTTCAACTTTTCGTGAAACAAACGTACTTTAAGATAACTTTGGGTTGTCTGCATACATGCACTGCGTGTGGCAGCCATAAGAGTACACTATTCAGCAACGGAGCCTGTTGTTCAGCCGTGGACGTACATGTGTCTGTATGCATGAGATTTAACTTTATTTGGAATCCTTTTAAAGCCCTGTGCGAACATTGGAGTTTAAAAATACCAACAAATAACGAGTTCTTGGTTAAAATTGACCGAGATGCGACTTTGAATACTCCTAAGGCTTTTACGATTTTGACGAAATCAGTTTTGTATGTACAATGTAAATTATGCACAGGTCCAAATGTACCTCCAGTGAGTAATGTGCTTCCTGGCTGTTTGTGTGTCATTGTAACCTGACGGAGAGGATCGCTGTTCACAGTACCAACCATGGCTACTCCGGGCTCGATTATAACGGAGGGCCTGATTATGACTGTGGGGTAAAATAATATTCACCCTCTTATTCCAAGAACAGGTAATTTCATACAAGTCACTCAAACTACAAAGGCGTGTATGTCCATTGTAGAGGCTTATATTCATGCATATATCCTTCAAGGTTTCTCGCGCATTGTGAATATGGATGTTCTAGGATTCTAGTTTTGTCAAACGTATAATTTGAATGTTTGCTCAAATTCGTCCTCCGTCATGTTTACTCACTCATTCCTGTTCATCTTGGCCACTCTGTCGTTGAAGGCCTCCACCTCCGTACTGAAGTTCGCGATGACCTCCCGAAGATCATCTGGAGATATAACACAGGAGTGAGTGGGATGCCAAGCGTTAAGGTCAATCAATGAAGAGCCTTGTTTGCACTTTACCCAAGGTACCATGATGACAGTACATTACAAACTCACAGCACTTGATCTAGATTCAACTTGATGGTGTTTATTTCTGCATGCTTGTACACACGCACAAACATTAATTAATTATACAAGGCAAGACAAAACAAAGGATTTCAAAGATGACATGCAAAAATGATATACACAAAAAAAAGTACTTCGCACAGCAAGTACCCTTATAGAAGGCCTGTAGTTTGATGTTACAAAATTTACCTTGATGTACAAGTTGTGTAAAAAGAACTGATGCTTATTTGATTTTCAAGTTTTTGAATTAATAAATCATTTTAAAATGAAAAAAAAAGTTCCTTTAGAGCTTCATCGTTCATCAACATTTGTGAATCACTTTGGGGGCTCTCGGTTTTTTTACCTCGTTTTGGGCTTTGCAAGCCAATCATTCTGTAAACTATCATTATATGGCTTGCGGCCCCCAAAGTATTTTCATTTTCACTCATACCCGCAGGGTATCACCCTTTCTACATAGTTTCATTTGATCTTTTTAGATCTACCCGCAGGGTTCTAAATCATTTTCATATATATTTCAAATTTACTTATGCAACCCGCAGGGCTGCCTTTTTATACTACTTACCCGCAGCGTAAGTTACCTTTCCAACACCGAGTCAGCCCCCGAATCATATGCCAAGTATTGTATATAATAAACATTTGATCGTACTCAATTGTTTTTGTTGTCACTGCACAAATTTAAGTACATTGCGCCACTGAATGATGGAGAAGTGATCATTGTATTTTGATGGAATTAACTTGATTGAGTACGAGAACACACGTGTACAATAGTACAGTTTCATGCTACCTACCATAATTAGGAAGTTTCGTTTTCAGCGTGTCGCCGTAGTTCTTATCGAGGGCTTTCCTGTAGGTGTCGAGGGCCCAGCTGTAGTCGCTGACGTTGAAGGGGATTATGAGGGAGTCGGCCAGAGAACGTACAAGCTCTGCAGCCATCCGGGAGATAGCGCGATGATACTGGGGGTAGTGGGTGAGGGCTGACATGAGTTTGAACGCAGCATTTATTAGTTTTCTGCTATAATACGACGTTTAAGTTTTATGTGGAATGCAACGTCGGTTATAGATGCTTGGTTAAAACCACGTGCATGGTTGCTTTGTTGACAAACAATGGATGATAATCAGGATGAATCTTGGATTTGACCCCGTAACCAGCAGATCGGGGAAGAGAAATAGTACAACTCTGCTAAGCATCTTTCTCACTGAAATATTTCGTGACACTGTTCACTTGCCCTGCCTTTGCAAGTGTTTGTGACGGGTGTTATTCGCGGGGAAGGATACGCTTAACTGTTTGGGAACACCTGGTATCATCACAATTTGATAGTAATTCATAAACACATGCTAGTGATATAGTTGGAACCTCTACCTTTATGTAAGTTTACTCTTTCAGTTATTAATTGTTAAATGTCCTTGTTGGGAGATGTGTTCAAATAGGCTTTGTGTGTTCACAAATCCCATTCCTTTTTGAAAATATATATTGTTCAAAGCACATGCTTAGGGTATAGTTCACCTGTTCAGTGGACTGCTTTTAGTGGATATTTTGTATGATTATGGAACAGAATTTGTCGCTTCTATTTCAAGCAAGTACAGAGGAATCAATTAAACCTGTCTCATCTCGGAGCCAGACAATACCAGTAGGGAGAGTAGGGATCGATTAAGTGATATTGCTAGGATTTTGCCAGTGGTTTGTTGAAACATGTCATTTCCATCAGCGAAATTTCAATTCCATAAAGTGATAAATGTATCATTAATAATATAAAGATTTCGTCAGGTAAATGTTGGCAGGGCATAAGGATATTGTCATTTCAAATGGCTTACTTCAAATTCCTTGTCAATAATGTTTTTGACTGCATAGAACGTCTCGTACACAGAATGGTAGAGCGGATATGACGCCACCTTGTATTTGTTCTGGCAAAAGGAATCAAAACGATTAATATGCATGTTGTAAACACAGGCTAAATAACATGTAGTCAGTATATGTTTTCACATTAATTAGCATATATGTAAGATGCTACAGTTAAACGTTTCGAATACATTGTTTCAAGAGAGTGACCAGGTAGTACAATAAATCACTATAATTAAATGTATGTATTTTGAGAAAGTATTATAAAAAAATGTTAGGCTCGGAATGTGAGAATAAAAGAACATAAATATCTACCACCAAGTCAGGCCGAAAACCAGCCATCTCAGACCACATCATCAACTGCCTAATCACAGTATCATGTGGGCAATGTACAAATCCAATCAAACACGATCTATGACTTCACGACACGGAAACTAGCATTTCAAATCCGCCAATACGAGCATTTAATCAAGGACACCTCAAGGATATTTCATACCATCATGCCTACAATGGAACCGTGAAGATTCGGGGGTAGAATAGTTCTTCAGCAACCCATGCTTGCCTTCAAAGCTGACTATGCTTGTCGTAAGAGGCGACTAACGGGATCGGGTGGTCAAGCTCGCTGACTTGGTTGATGCATGTCATCGATCCCAATTGCGTGGATCGATGCTCATGATATTAATCACTGAATTTTCTGGTCCAGACTCGATTATTTACAGACCGCCGTCATATAGCTGGAATATTGCTGAATGCGGCGTAAAACAACAAACCAATCAACCAACCAAGCCTACAGTGAATTGATAAAATGATAGAACAGCCCAGCTATCATCTCTAATTAATCCTGTCATCACTGTACAATTGTAGCCCGTCATGCACGGTTGGCTTCGTTCTGTTTTTACTATATCAATCAACCATTATCCCTTTCATGCATACGGGGGCACGGGTGGCCCAATCCTCTAAGGCGCCGCAATTCGCTGGGCAGAGTTGCGTTCCTTGGGCACGCCAGAAACCTATGATTGTGGGTTCGAATCCCGGTTCACCCCGACTATGTTTCTAGGTTTGTCAGCACCATACCCGTGCTCGTGGGTTTCACCGAAGTGGTAAACGTCTGAGACCTGCATCACTTCGGACTTTCCTCCCACATGAAGCTGACACGCCGTGATATAACTGGAACACTGTTAAAAGCGGCGTTAAACCCAACGCACTCACTCACCCTTTCATGCATACCCTTGTTGTTTTTGTTCATCCTTATTAGATGTACATACGTCTCACTGACTCTCTTGCTTTACAACAGTAAAGGGATCCATGCCGAAACGTCGAATCATAGTAAAATAAAGAAGATGTCAGTCATAAAATATCTTGTCTTATCTTGATAAAATATTACTGCTGTTTCTTGATTTAACAAAGAATATTTCACATACAGCGTTGTAGGTGTATCTGAAGTCTACAGCCGTCACGCCCGCCTTGTGTAGCAGTGGGGCGTAGTCGCTGCCGGAGCCGGGAGAGGCTATCCTGTAGATGTGATCAGAACAACAGTTAACCTTATGCATGAATGTTTGTTTGTTTTTTAACGCCGCACTCAGCAATACTTCAGCTATATGACGGCGGTCCGTTAATTATCGAGACAGGACCAGACAATTGAAATCATACGCATCGATCTATGCAATTGGGATACGATGATATGCACCAACCAAGTCAGCGAGCCTGACTACCCGATCCCGTTAGTCGCCTGTTACGGCAAGCTGAACATCTATTCTGGCCAGGATCTTTACGGGTCTTATGCATGAACTGCAGGCAGTGTTTACATGGAGGATTGAGATGCTGGGACACTTGATAACATATACATGTAAACCCTATATCATAACATATATATATTTAATCATGTATTCTTTGTGCACTCAAGGCACATTATGTGTAACGAGAAAAGACAAATTAAAGGACAGGCGATCCTGAACCTTTATTATATACATTATGTTTTAGATAAAAGCCAAGAAACATCATACATGTATGTATGTTTCGATTTTATTCTTGAGAAGAATGGTAACATTTTGGTTACCCCGAACAAGATTGTGCTTAGAATGACAGATAGCGAACCTTTCTGAATTCTCATCGCTTCAGTTGTCGGAAAAGTGGACAACATAACACAGAAACCTTGCAAAACAATCTTAAGTGTCTCAAGATCATCCCAACGTTACGAACACGCTGTGGATCGACCCTGCGCCGTTATACACAACCGATCGTGTACTACAATTCTATCTTCCATTCAGCAATTTCAGTTGACCTACATATACCATATCTGTCAAGGACCTTCTCAGGGTAAGTTTCAATGACCATTGTATGCGGTAGCATGTCTTACAGAGGTATGTTCCTGGAGTTGCCGTCTTCATCCTTCCAGGGGTAGGTGTGCAGCCAGGTGTCGTAGGCCGTCGTCCTCCCAGCTGCCCTCTCAGCAGGGTTAGGGTTTGGGACCTGTATGTACAGTCTGGATTAGACTCAGTACTCTCAGTGAGGCGACTTTAAAGCCTCTTTGGACAGTATGTTTGTATTTTGTCGCCAGCGTATTGACATTGGTGAAAATATCTACGGTTCTGACAAAGTCACTGGAATTTGGACACGTAATTAGCGGATCCTGATATATAAACATGTGATAAGCCCCTCCGGACTCTGGTAGACATGGCCCTTTGACCAACACCTGTTGCAGTTGCGACTTTGGCCTAAACCACTTAAATCTCACTCACAGCTGCCCGGCAGAAACCATTGTGCAGACAGGTTTCATAAAAAATGGTTTACTTTGGCGAACAGCCTCGCTTTCCTTTCATCTTTCGAAATACAGCTAAAATACGTTTGGCGTTGCACCAATCTCACTCAATCAAGAGTTCCTTGGTAAAGGTAATAATGGTCATTTTTTTCTTTATCAGTCTCAGAGTAACTGAGTGAATGAGTTGGACTTAACGCCGCTTGGAAAAATATTTCATATATACCACAACGTGTCAGCTTGATTTAGGAGGAGAATCCCAAAGTGATGCTATTCATAGACATTTACCACATTGGGGAAACCCACGTGTTTGGTACTGACAAACCTAGAAATTTAATCAGTAGGATCTGGGATTCGAACCCATGACCATAGGTTCCGAGACCCTTAAGAGACGCAACTCTGAACAGCGCATAGCATCTTCCCTTGGCAAGAACGTCCACTGGCCTTTTTATCAAAATCTTGTTTTAACCCTTGCTACTTTAAGCCCACTTTCCTGGTGCTAAATATGATTGGACTATCGCACATATCGATAGTCAAATCATTGAACGTTTCACAAAATCAACATCCACGACTGGTACACCTTCGTACGAAAGTGATTACCGCTGGAATATGTATCTTCCATCTTTTAAACCCCCCACCGATTGCCTATATTTTTGTGTCAGGGATGACATCGCGTTTTCGTTGTCTGATCGACTTGGTCCTCTCCATGGTAGTCGCCATCATTGTGAAGCTATACGAGATAAGAACAGTGATCTGATTGGTTATCGCGTTTTCATTACAAGGGGCACAACCCGTGATTTACACGAGGTGGCGCCAGGGTCGAGCCCAGAAAGTTGGCCTTGGTGTGGCAAGGGTATTAACTAGGCTTTGGTATAGGCTGGTGGACACGATTGCCTCGGGAAGAAGAGCGCATTGAGGCGCCTTATACGACAGTGTCACACTTGTCCCCATCAGTGAAGGAGAGCATTGAACGTCATTAGGCGAGCACTAGGCATCCTGGATGACGGAACGTGTCACGGTCATCTGATGCTCATACTGCAACCACACTATTTCTGTATTCACCTTCTTTGCCGCCTCATACGTAGCACGATACAGGAGCGGCGTTCCCAGGGCACGGATCGTGTCGTTCCCTAGCCGGAACATGAAGTGAAGAGTCGATTATATTTTCACAGATATGCATCATACATCATAGGTATGTAATAAGCTATTTTTGTTTTTTATAATTATGAACAAAGTGATATTTGTGAAATATAAATGTATTCAGTTTTTACCTTGCATTGAAATGTCTACGTTGACATAGGCGACCGCTCTTTCCCTTAGGTTTTTCCGGTATTGCTGAAGACGAAATATACTTATGTTACAATGTCAATGGAAGAACTATAACTTACGCTACGTACGCTAGTGCTTTCAACATGTGCTCTCAGTGGACCCCTGAAGTCTTACCCTTGTGTTACTCACCTCCACCCAGTCACTGGACCCCAGCAAACCGTACCCCCCTACTTCCTCTGTCACTCACCCCCTCCTACTCTAACTGGACCCCAGCGGACTGTACTCCTCTACCCACGTGTTACTCACCTCCACCCATTCATTGGACCCCAGAAGTCCGTATTCCTCTGCTCCCCAGCTGCAGAACATGATGGACCGACGGGGGCGCCACTTGCCTGGAAGAGTCATGATGATAGACTGACAAACATTTAGTGTCCACAATATGCATATGGATTGTCTGTTTGCGTCCTGCGATAGAGGGACATAATACGATCGTAGAGGTCGTTCACAAGTTCGTTCACAAGTCCTATAAGATTGTTATCATTTACAAACGTGTGCTTTGTTGGAGTGGAGTGAGTGTTGTTTTACGCTACCTTTGAAGCGATTTCAAGGAAGACAAAATGGAATAATTATATCAAAGTATCTTTGATAACTCTAAAGCAAATGAGAAATCGTTTACGGTTTCTAAAACTCGATCAGTGGCCAAGAAAAACCAATCCCATAGAAGCCATGAGTATATTACAATACCAACAAATCAATCATAGCTTGCAATATATGAGTTTGTTTCAATGTGTCTTCTTAGATTCAAACAGTTTGACAGTTATAGTGTGTTTATCCTTCAGCTAACTGACCACTCTTGACCAACTGCCCGGTGACCCTGGCTGTCTCCATCATGACTGCTGTTCCACTGGACGGGTCAATAGCCCCGTACACCCAGGCGTCTCTGTGGTTCCCCATCAATACATAACGATCTGTGGACATAATAGTGTATGTAGAATGATAGCCATCGTCATTCCTTCATGGGGTTGTATACAGTGTGTTCCTCCATCAATGCATAACGATCTGTGGACATAATAGTGTATGAAGAAAGATAGCCATCGTCATTGCTTCATGGTGTTGTAAACAGTATGTTCCTCCATCAATACATAACGATCTGTGGACATAATAGTGTATGTAGAAAGACAGCCATCGTCATTACCTCATGGGGTTGTATACAGTGTGTTCCTCCATCAATACATAACGATCTGTGGACATAATAGTGTATGTAGAAAGATAGCCATCGTCATTGCTTCATGGGGTTGTATACAGTGTGTTCCTCCATCAATGCATAACGATCTGTGGACATAATAGTGTATGTAGAAAGATGGCCATCGTCATTACTTCATGGGGTTGTATACAATGTGTTCCTCCATCAATACATAACGATCTGTGGACATAATAGTGTATGTAGAAAGATGGCCATCGTCATTGCTTCATGGGGTTGTATACAGTGTGTTCCTCCATCAATACATAACGATCTGTGGACATAATAGTGTATGTAGAAAGATGGCCATCGTCATTACTTCATGGGGTTGTATACAGTGTGTTCCTCCATCAATACATAACGATCTGTGGACATAATAGTGTATGTAGAAAGACAGCCATCGTCATTACTTCATGGGGTTGTATACAGTGTGTTCCTCCATCACCCCTCCTGGCATAAAGTATTGTGGATAGCTCTGAATCTTATGCGTAGATCTGAATATGAAACTGATGAGGTCGTTCACTAATCTTTCATGTCTTGCTCAGATGGATAAATCAATGAAAGGGAATCGGCTATAAGGCCTGCTAGGAACACACATATCTGCCCTTGATTTGCTAATCGGCAGATTTTGAAGCGAATATTACTTCCGGCGTGTGTAAAAAGTCGCTTATTATCACTGTTTGAATAGCGCAGAAATTGGGCTCATTGAAGAAGTGTTATTGTTCTCCAAACTGTCTACATGCTATCATTTAATCATTTAATGTCAACAGGTAATTATTGACCTGCGCCCCTTAGGTGCCAAGAATTGTTTTACCATTAGCCATGGCGGGTAGCCAAAATATACAAATGCATGTCCCTGTTTGTGATAGTGTATCTCTTGACAACATTCTTACCACAATATTTAAAACAAACTTAACAGCGTAATATCACCCTTTCGATGTGGAAATTATTTACAATGAATGGGATAAATTAAGTATACAAAAGGTTGCACTAAAATTTCAGTGGTTTATGACTGTGTACCTCTCATGATCACGATGATAAGGAGGATTTTCTTTATATCATATTTGAAATGACACAGATATGACAATTTAATTTTAAGTTGGTATTGGTGTTGGCATTGGTGCCAGCCATTGGATGGCTGGGGTCTTTCTTTATATTTAAACAGTTTACGATACTGTAAAGATCTTTATGGTTTTTTTAATATACATCCATCCAGTAATTAAAACTGACTACGTTTTTTGTCATTATTTAGTGCTGTCTTTTATAGTTTTTTTCAAGTAGGTGACATTTGGTGCGGAACTTGGGTTGCTGTGCACAGCTTTCTATATTCTGAAAAGGAACTGGCTGAGCTAGCCCAAAGTGTGATTGTGCATACATGTACATGTAGAATACCTAGTTACTTAAAACATGTATATAACGTTACTATAGAAGTCAATGGGAAAATATTTGCTTTTGTGTAACCTTGCGACCGTCTGTCCTGCCCATTCGCTTAATCGTGGCAGGCAGCGGTAAAGTTAGCACAAGTTCATGCAAGGGGTAGGGCTCGCTTAAATAGTTGGCAAGTTCAAATCATGCACAATCATGTACTTTACTACTTCACTGGATGCGCATCTGCTAGCCACACAATGCTAGTACAATCTGGTGAGGTGAATGGGGTTTAACACGCATTCAAGTTTATTGCACTTGTATAGCGACGTGCGTGCACTAATGCCGGTTTCACAGTGCTAGCCCACCGAGATATAATATTGCAGTTTAGCATGTATGCCCGAGTCAGACAAGTATACTGACAACCAACCCGCCAGTATTTGTGAAGGTTATGTTTAGACATGTTGTCTTACCGGGTTCGATTTGCCCTCGTATAACGCCGATCACGTTGTATGCAGTCTTTATTTGATTTCTTGTTGAAATGTTCATTTGGATTTTCCTGTAAACATACCATATTCATGATTTTTCCTAAAACTATTGAAACACAAATACTATATGCCATACATGTAATAGTTTAGAGTGAGTGAGTGAGTGAGTGAGTTTGGTTTAACGCCACTTTTAACAGCATTCCAGTTATATCGCGGCGTGTCAGCTTAATGTGGGAGGAAAGCCCGAAGTGATGCAGGTCTCAGACGTTTACCACTTCGGTGAAACCCACGAGCACGGGTATGGTGCTGACAAACCTAGAAACATAATTGGGGCGAACCGGGATTCGGACCCACAATCATAGGTCTCCGGCGTGCAATAGTTTAGAAGAATATAATATCTAATTTATAAGGACCATGATGATACGCGGTCTATGTCATGCCATGTCCGTTTGGTGTGTTATATTCCCAGTCCACCATTTGGTGGTTGCAGGGCACAACATAGATCACAGTTCCACATGGGTGCAGCACGGAGACCTGGTGACCATAGTACTATAGTGACCATCTTACTACATTTCGTAACGAAATAACAAATTGAATGTAATGACTCTAAACTGACGTGTTGCATAATTCACTGGGTTCCGCTGCGAGCCCTGTTAGACACCAGGACTAGAGATCTAGGGAAGCAGCCATGATCCCTCAAAGACTGGAGTAGATTCCCTTCGCTAAAGGGCAATAACTCCAGCCGGCAATCCGACTGGTTGCCGCGAAAGGTGATCACTGACATGGTGATCATTTGAGGCAATCGTCTTTTTTGTGTATATGATAGTTTTGCCTAGATGATATTGACTGTCACTGTCCGTGTGACTAAGGCCTGATCTTTTGACGCAATATATTAATCACAAATTCCAGAAAATAAACCCGCAAAGTTTTGGAACCGTTTTTGACGATAGAATTTGAGACTCATATATATGATGACGAAATTATAACGCTTTTGAGTTTGGGATGATAAATATCATGTTTTATAAACAAGATAAAACAAAATTAATAACACTCGCGTGTTAACCTATATTCATTATGATAGTCGGGACCCATGTGGAACCCAGTTGGCATAAACCCATCTTCCCGAGGCAAGAGAGTTAACTGACTATAAAAGTCCAGTTTCCACCCTTGCCGAACTAGGCTGGTATTATGGAGCTATATTTTGACTGGAGTAACGAATCTATGCATTGTCCAATCAAAATCTCGCAACGCAATTGAAATCCGGGTCGTAAACTGTCGTGCAGATTTCGGTCGATTGCAGGATTTGCAAAGCATGTGCACCGCCAACTCGTTGTCAACACTTACAGCTATTTTCCAAATCTTTTCATGTTTTTATTAAAGGTGCTCGCGTTATTTGATGCACTTCGCGATGTAAGATCCGTTTTATCACAATATAGATCTTGATTATCGATCAGATCGTCTGGGCGCCGCCATTTTGTTTGAAACAAATGCAAGTGATGGAATCTGATTGGTCCATAGGAGAGGCTCAGAAGGGACATAACTCATAATAACCACTGGTGGCGCTACGATCGAGAGCAGGAATTCCCGCCTAGTTCCGCAAGGGTGGAAACTGAGCTTTAAAAGTCAGTTAACTCCCTTGCCTCGGGAAGATGTCAGAAACCTTGACCAGTTGCCACCGACAAAGAACAATAACACTTCTACTGATATGAAACCAATGTGAATGTAGGTTTACTTTTATACAACGACCAGTTTATTTCTCCTCTATTCCTGTTTATGACACAGATATTTGCTAGGCGCCGACTCAACACGGCTGTGTACATACGTCAGACTGTAAGGTCAGGCCGCGTGTTTACGTTCGGCATCCACCCGACTCCTTCAAACACACAACCATGAAGCTGTTCAATTCCGATTTATTACGCAACAACGTGTCTGACCTGCCCGTCTCAGACTTTGCTAGCGAGTATTTGCAAAAGGAAACACGATTTTGTGGTGCAGTAGTACATACGCCTTCATAGAAATTAGCTTCGTTCAGACCGACATCTCATACGTCCCGCATTACTGTAGTGAAACCCGTTAACTCGAACTCACTTATCTCGATATATCATTTTAACACGATGCAACGTGATGATCTGGTCGCATCGGCTCTGTGGTCTGATATCGACACATTGATCTAGTATCGACACTATGATCTAATTAATATCGACAGTATGGTCTAATAGCGACCCTCTGGCCTGATATCATCGTTCTGGTCTAATATAGACACTCTGCCGGCCTCGAACTACGTGTAACTCGATATGACATTTATACATTGTCCTGACTTTGTATTGCATTGACCTTGAACCCTCCCCGAAAACAAAATATGGACGCTCATGTGTCAGATGATCGGAGTGAGTGTGGCTACACAGCTGGATGACGTCCGCCAGTAAATTATCGAAACAATCAAACCAGTTGTTGATAGCAAGTTTCCATGCAAGAACGATGGCACATATCATAAATACCCGATGCTCATTAGCTGTCTGTTATGAAAAGCATGAGGCATTGTGAACCATTTGCGGATTGTGCGCCACAGACAAGAAGCATTTGAGAGCTATGGGCGGTCTGACATATTCCACTAAGTGAAAACAAGACATTCTGTGTGTAACCATGGGATACACCCCACCCAACTCTCACACCCGCCCAACAGCAAAAGAAAGCATACACCCATGTTTCATGGTGGTTACAAATGAAACAAACAAGAAATGGTTATTCGATGTTGATGTAACTGATTTACGGGTTTTAATGTTGTGTTTTGGCCCTTGGGTTTTCGGCCGTCTTTCGGCGACTGTTTTCAGCCTAGTAACGTTTTGATAAGATTTGTCATCTCTTCGTCAAATTCAGTTTTCAAGCGTATACTTTCTTTTGCCTGACATTGTTCCATGTATCTTAACAGATGCCAGAAAAGAATACAAACAATATTCCGTGTCCTGAAACATATATGGAAGTTGAGCGTTTATATTTCTCCCAACAATTTAGATGTAGGCATAGGTTGGAACATGGATGGCATTAATTTTAACTGTGGGCTTCACAGCCAAAACAGAAATTATAATTATTGGCATTGCGTACAGTGTGTGAGAATCATACCCACCACCCTGTCTTTTCCAGAGCTGGCCCCAGTCTATAGGTGATGTTCAGACCCCCTCTCCAGTCAGGCGGGGCCTCCTCTCCGCCAATCTCTCTGTGGGTCGAACAAATTGAAAAGAAATGAATATGTATGCACCTCAACTAACTTCACTTTGCTTCCTTGGATATTTAAGATGACCAAGAAGATTTTTGATTGAAAAACAACAAGACTTCACCTGAGTATTTTTTCGGCAATGTCATATCCGATAGGATGAGCTGGTATTTCAGGAAGTCCAACTTCAGAAGCATTCTCAGGATACCGATATGCAGTTTCTGAAATAATGACAGGTTTACGATAAATAGCTGAATACAAACCAATACGAAGCACACACGTAATAATGATGTCATGCGCCCTTCCACGGTTATGACGTGTTACAGAAACCAGTTATAACGTCAAATGAAATGACGTCAGAGCTGTCAGAGCCTAACATTGTTGACGTTGATTCGGTTTCCATTATAGAATATCGCCTTTCACTGTTATACTTAAGCATTGAAAAAATAGAAATGATTACATTGTAGGAATGTAAATCGTACAGATTTCAAGAAGTTCATTGTGAGTGTTTGGTGTCAACCTACTGATTGCTGGATATCCTGGTGTTAGCGGGTCGCCATTTCCAGTGAAGACTGACCCCCTTTGTGACCCTGACCCTGGCAGCCACCATGTTTCCGGGTAGACACGTGGGTCGCCCTTCCACGTGTAGTCAGCTGGGTCTGAGAAGATGATGACACCAGTCGCGCCGTGGTCCGCAGCTATCTGAACCTACAGTTCCACACGATGCCATGCATCAATATCTTGGCACTCTGACGTATCCATTATCTGTCAAACACGAAGCTCGACACAGGCTGAATTTATATACTTTGAAGTATTGTGTTTTAACTGTGCTAGCATCACATGTGTGAAACAGCTGGAAAAGCCACCATAGAGCTGGAATATTGTTCGGCGTTAAACAACAAACAAACACACAAAAAGACACAGTAGCATACAGTGTATTGGCTATGGCAGGAATAGTCTTCCCAACATACGTCACGATGTAACGTGTCTACATGTAACCTACAGTACTTAGACTAGATCTGCACAACTACATCTTACAACTGTAAAACACTCCTTCTGGGAACACAGTTATTTATCAGGAGGTGAGGTGAAATTGGGTTTAACGTCGCGTCCAAGATTATTGCACTTATATAGCCACGTGCATGTACGTGTGTCTGTGTGTGGCTGCTTGTACTAGTCCGGACTTATGCCGCAGTTTAACATGAATACCCCACTCAGACACAGTATACTGACTCCGAGCCGACCAGTCATTGTTTTAGCCCCTAAATGCCGAGCGCCAGACAGGGTAACAACAAGTACCATCTTTTAACGTCTTTTGGTATGACGCGGCAGGGGATCGAACCCCGGACCTTCCGCTCGGAAGCGGTCTTATTTATCAGGAAGTCAGGATAGTAAGAACAATGTTTACCGGGATCAAAAGACCGGTATGTCTGGCGTATGTATGTAAACTCTGTAAATAGTCTGATTTCTATGCACATTTGAAGTGTTTAGTACAAAAGTTGGATTTACGTTGTAAATTAGCCATGTCAAGAACAGAGATGCGAGAGTGGCTGTACTCAATGCCCTGCATTATATACATATAATTCAAGAAAAGTGACAATCCACACGAAACACTCACGTAATCACGATTTCACGCGCCTAAATCATTGACAAGGAATGCAGACTCCATTGTTGATATAATACATGTTATGTGCTCTGACGTATTATATAACAACAGCACAATAGTAATTAATTCAAACTCTATAATTGTTGACGTCTTCCATACATGTTTGTTGCCTGTGTTCAATTTTATACTATTTGAAACAATAAAAGATCGCATGTATTGAATGGAAATCCAATGGTGACAACGCGTCGCTAAGGGCACATCAAGGATGTGATATGAGGAGTGAATGTTAAGAGCGGCTGCTTCCTTCGCGGATCCGGGCAACTGCCTGACATCGTCTTGGCATCCTCTGGATGAGGGTACCCATGAGAACCCTTCAACGTTAGTAAGAATGCGGCGCACACGACCTACACAGATATTTTCAAATGGGTTAAGATCAGGATCTTTAGCTGGCCAGGGTAGCCCACGGATATAACTGTATTAAAACTCACTGAGAAACGAGCTGCGACAACCAATTCAACGCGCAAGGTGACTGCGACTGGACACAAAACCTCATGTCAAACCTCTGTGAGTCGACCATCAGCACGCCTTAAGCGATGCCAGCCCATACTATAACCGAGCCACCACAATATCAGTTGTGCTGTGCTATGGTACAATGCTGGTATAACGCTCATGACAACGTCTCCAAACACGATTCGGTCATCTCTAAACCTCGATTCTTCACTGCACATTATGGGACGCCAATGACGAAATTGTCTGACGCTGCCGGGTCAGTCTTGATGAAATCACTGGTCGACGACATTTTAACACTGGAGCGTACAGTTCATTGACTAAATCTTCCGTGGCTTATGGCTTTATGTCATATAATGGTCCGAATCGACCTCTTTAGGCTGTGGTCTTGTCTGGTTGTCTTCGCTGCTTGTCGTTTTATATGTCTACAACGATCATGACATATTTTGACATAACCGGCTTGCTAATGGGTATTCAGTAACCTTGAAATCACGCTTATATATTTGTTGAAAACACTGACAGACTGTCGGAGTGAAATCTCCGTCCTAAGCATTCCAAATCTTGCCATTTGTGCGCTCCTGTCATCAATAGTCTCGACATGATGGTCAGGTGAGGTGAAATGGGGTTTAACGTCGCGGTCAAGATTATTGCACTTCTTCAAAGCCAGTCCTTGTTTATCCCCTTAAAGTCGGACACCAGGCAGGGTAACAACAAGTACCATCTTGTGACGAATGTTTGGTATGACGCGGCCGGGGATCGACCTTCCGCTCCCCGGGCAGGCACTCTATCCACTAGGCCACGGAGACTTACTTTTCATTGTCATTCATTGATGCAAAAAGATGAGGAGACAGAACCAGTATAACTTTAAAGTCCGATAATGTGCAGGCAATCAAACAATATAATTGCGGTACCACAATGTCAAGATTGAAAATTGATCATGAAAACAGCACCACACAACTGTAGTATATTGTATGACCTCCCTGTGCAGCCATGCAGGCAACATCTCGTCATCTCAAAGGTGATGACAGCCGCCTGATGACATTATTTGGGATCCGGTTCCACTCGTCCGATGAGGCTTGTTCCCAAGCAAAGTGTTTGCTCGTGTTGTCTCTGTCTGAAATGTCTACCAAAGCGATTCCAAAGGTGTTCTATGGACGACAGGTCATGGCAAACGAGGATTGTTACTTCTAGCCAGAAAGTCTTGTGTCAGTCTGGCGGTCTGGCGTTGTCCTGTTGGATGTGAACTCCCTGGTGCAGCTGACGAAAAAAATGTAATCGCAACAGGGCGAAAAACTTCATCTGTGGCCCTAGGTGCTTTCAGTTTGCCCCGTATGACGACAAGACGTGTCCTCCTATAGCAGATCCCTCCCCATACCACGATACCTCCTCCACCAAAGGACTGACCTTCCTGGATGCAGTTTGTTGCCAATCTCCTCGCCTCTACAACGTGACACTCGCGCTCGGCCATCAGCATGGAACAAGTTGAATCGACCTTCATCTGTGAACAGTTCCCAACAGTACGGGCCCAACAGAATCTGTTCTGGCGATTGAGATAGATCAAGGTCTTTCCTTGGAAGGGTCGTTAAAGTCGCTGTCACTGTCCATGACATCACTGTCAGGAACCGGTTTCGCTGATGAAATCCTCGCAAATATCGGTCCTCACGAGGGGTTGTGACGCGTGATCTGCCACTCATAGGTCTGTCCCTTGTATCTCTGGAGAATTGGAGCCACTGTCGTCCGGTTGCAACCCAAGGTTCATCGCGCCTAAAGTAACCATACCATTTGCTGTCTCCCTTTCTTCTGCAGTTAATCTGGGCATGCTTGGAGCGTTCTTTTTTCACTTGTGACACGTTCCCATCGATGTGTTCACCGTCCATATCCATCACGTGCATTCTTTCTGATTTTGTGGTCAAAACACATCTTTTCTACAAAAAGTGAGAAAGTAAACATCTCCGAAATGCACGGACTTTGACTCATCACACATGTTCCATGCTTTCCGAAAATCGTTTCCAGATACTTCAGTGGAAGTATAAATGAGTTACTCAAAAGAATATTGATCTAATTCCGATGCTTACTATATTTTGCGAGTCAAGTTAAAAGGTGGGTATATATCACTGTATCAATACTGACCTTACTTCCCCTGAAGATCTTCCCGTATCTGACGATTACGATCTTCCCCGTGACGTTCATGCTGGCGTTCTTCTCCAGCCAATCATAGTCCTCCACTCGCCCGTAATTTACATACACCATGTCACCCTGGCAACAAAAACTCCGTATTCTGATCTATTGTACTTATCATCGTCCAAACTATTCATTATCAGTGTGAAGGACATTTCTTCAATATGTGTTGAATTGGGTTTACTGTAGCTTTGAACAAACTGTCAGTTTCTGGCGAGCCTAATGGGCTGAACTCTACATTGCGGGTGCGCAAGAGATTTTTACAGGAAGAGGAGATTATACATTGATTACAAAACAACAGGCCATCTTTGTGGTCAGGATGACTAAATGTCCCCACCTCCACTAAGCCTGCAGGGGAGTAAGCGTTGTACGGCGGCAGCGCATCAGGGTCATCCTCGCCAGTCAGGTTAGCTTCCTTCAAAGGAGACTCGTACACTATCCCCCCGGTTTCGTTCAGGACGCGCACCACGTTGGGGTTGTTGGCGTCGGGGAAGGACAGAAGGACGTCATACGGCGTCAGCTTGACGTCATCAAACCCCCACTCCATCCATTTATCCTTGATCCAGTTACCAAGGTCAAGGTTATTTTGAGACCCTGCGACGTGTGGCTTGAGAGTGAGAAGTCTGGAACATAGATGTCTGTGTGTGAGAAGTCTGGAACATATATGTCTGTGTGTGAGATGTCTGGAACATATATGTCTGTATGTGAGAAGTCTGGAACGTATATGTCTGTGTGTGAGAAGTCTGGAACATATATGTCTGTGTGTGAGATGTCTGGAACATATATGTCTGTATGTGAGAAGTCTGGAACGTATATGTCTGTATGTGAGAAGTCTGGAACATATATGTCTGTATGTGAGAAGTCTGGAACATATTTGTCTGTATGTGAGAAGTCTAGAACGTATATGTCTGTATGTGAGAAGTCTGGAACATATGTCTATATGTGAGAAGTCTGGAACGTATATGCCTGTATGTGAGAAGTCTGGAACATATTTGTCTGAATGTGTGATGTCTGGAACATATATGTCTGTATGTGTGATGTCTGGAACATGTATGTCTGTGTGTGAGATGTCTGGAACATATATGTCTGTATGTGAGAAGTCTGGAACATATTTGTCTGTATGTGTGATGTCTGGAACATGTATGTCTGTGTGTGAGATGTCTGGAACGTATATGCCTTTATGTGAGAAGTCTGGAACATATTTGTCTGTATGTGTGATGGCTGGAACATATATGTCTGTATGTGTGATGTCTGGAACATGTATGTCTGTATGTGAGAATATTACTCCATGTGCTCCTAAGGCGAATAGCCTATCGCAGACTTAGTAAGATGTCATCATGACATGACCTTCTTTGCAACCTCAATACTTTATTCATAAGTCACTCAATCACGTGCACTATTGTTTATAATGATACGAGTGACCGACTGTCGTCTTGACAGCCCTAATCAGTGTCCTGGTCGCAACTAGGCAACGTTAAAACATAGAAAAACAATCATGTGTATGTGATTTCAGTATTAAATTATACTATTGTATAATAATAAAAGACACGCCCTATTTTGATCTTACAAAAACATGTAAACACACTGAAACATGCGACAGAATGAATGTAGTTTTACGCTCTAGGTTTCATCATAGTCGGCTCTCATAGAAGGCCAGAAAGGGAACAGTGACACCTCACCGTACATGACACTGTGTGCACCAACCATTCTCCTTGTTTTTTACTTGTAGCCACCGGAATAACATCCAGAATCATAAAAGTTTTTTGAACAGAATTGACACTTTTATCACAAATCCTCTCCCATACGACGCCATGTACACGGTCAACATGTAAACAGACTCAAGGATTTCAAACAGCGTTTAAGAATTTCGACAACTTACTATTTAAAATCACCAACCCTGAGGCATCGCAATAGATCACTCAATCTGTTATTAAGATATTTATTTCTTTATATGTTGAAATGTTGACTTACGACACAGCGTCGTTCCTGGTTAACACGAATCGACCCACATCAGAAGAGACAGCTTTTATTGATTATCATAAAACAGAAATACATTTCCGACAGTGCCTTCATACTGCCAAAACAACTTAACAATACACACCAAAAACCACAACAAAAATATGTTTTGAAAACAGGGGCACACCAGTAACGAGAAAATATACATGAACACACATGCACACGCGCGCGCACACACACACACACACACACACACACACACACACACACACACACACACACACACACACACACACACACACACACACACACACACACACACACACACACACGCACACACACACGCACACACACACACACGCACACACACATTCCAGTCTCACTCGTTTTGTTGTATATTTGATTGTGATAAAATATCGTATTATAGCTGGAGTATTGTTGAGTGAAGCGAACAAACAAAGAAAACGCAAAATATCAGTTGGTGCATCTCCTTGGCGACCCCCCTGCAGATGTCAATGGAGTTGATTGCCAGCACCACGTTGACGTATATATCTAGTGACAAGCATGCTGTATGTTTGCGTCCATAAACGGCAACCAATTAGACCAACAGCTGTCGTATTCATCAGCCAAAACAAACACACATTGTCCCGTGAATCAGCCATTATCCGTTCAAAATGAGACCCCCACAGAATCTATACACAAGGCAATAACAACATTTACAAAATATTTTTCTGTGACATTTACCTGAGGTATTCCTCAATTTTCGTATTATCCACTGCATCTATAAGTTGTTTGCCAATTTCCGGGTCGCCATCTTTGATGATTGTTTCTGGGATACCGGGCAGGAAGACTCCATCTTTCTCAGGTGTAGACTCGGGTTCTGATTGGCCAGGACATATTCCGTAACGACCAATGAGAATACCAACACACAATCCGACCAAAACAGCACATAGTCCACCGAGGATTAAGTTGCGTTTTCTGTTAGAATGGTACTTGCCTGAACCAGAATCGTCCACCATATCAAATTTGGGCATGTTGGTGTGTATACTGAACCAATAGATGCAAGGACTCCTTACTTTGAAGAATGGCTGACCAATGGAATTTGTTGATCATGTGCTTGGAGGAGTAGGCATAGACGGTATTCTTGTACTACATAAATAGATAATAGTAATAGTAAATAAAACCTCCACAAAATATAACGAAACAATCACATTCTGTAAATTTAATTTTATCACCTTCACTATTTCTATTAATTATCCCGAGACTCAAGTCATTATAAATACTCAGTCTTTTGTACATATCTCAATTGTGATATCACATGACGCTAATACTGTAAACATATCTGGGGGGGGCTACGTAAGTTGTGAAAACTTGTTCTCAAACCTTTTCCTTGTGAATAAAATATGTTTACATAAAGCGAGTCAATAAAATTCTACACAATACTAAGCACACGTGTAACAATAATTTCGCGCGCTGTACACATTACCGTTGACCAAATGCATACGTCATATTGATTGTTAACGTAATGCTGACAGCGCTAATGACGTAATGCATGCATCGTTGTTGACGTAATGCAGCCATCGCTGTTGACGTAATTCATGCATCATTGTTGACGTAATGCTGACAACACTGTTGACGTAAGGCAGATATCATTGTTGACGTAATGAAGCCATCGCTGTTGACGTACTTCATGCATTATTGTTGACGTAATGCTGACAACACTGTTGACATAGTGCAGACATACTTTTTGACGTAATGCTGACAATACTGTTGACGTAATGCAGACAGCGCTGTTCACGAAATGGTTAAAGCGCTGTTGACGTAATGCATATATAACTTTTGGCGTAATGCAGAAAGCGCATGCATACATGTTTGCTGACGTAATGCATACATCAGTTTTGACGTTGTGCAGACACCACTGTTGACATAATGATAATGCCGTAACACTAGCACTAACGTTAGCTTCTCAACACGAGTTTCAATAATTAGGACACTACCTATTTCCCCACTACATGAGTGTTGATACCGAAAAGGTTTCTCCTACAGAGTTTACAAGTATTCTGTCTGACTTCACGTTTTCATGTAATTCATTTTGTAAAATAAGTACGACACAGTTGTATCTATTTCTTCGGTACCTAGAATGCGTGAACATAAACATCTCTTGTAAATTATATTTTAGGCATAAAAATCGAATATATTTTATAAGCTTGTGGGAAATCTGTGAAACGATCATTTTGAGTGGGATAAAACTCTGTTATACACGGGGGCACGGGTGGCCCAGTCGTCTAAGGCGCCGCGATTCGCTGTGTAGAGTTGCATCCCTTGGGCACGCCAGAAACCTATCATTGTGGGTTCGAATCCCGGTTCGCCCCGATGATGTTTCTAGGTTTGTCAGCACCATACCCCTGCTCGTGGGTTTCACCGAAGTGGTAAACGTCTGGGACCTGCATCACTTCGGGCTTTCCTCCCACATTAAGCTAACACGCCGTGATATAACTGGAATACTGTTAAAAATGGCGTTAAACCCAACTCACTCACTCACTGATATACACGCAACACCAAAGGTTAAGTTCATACAATTTTTCAACAGTTTAAATTTACAATTAGAAAGGACTATTTTATTGTGCGCATAGTCATTACATTTTCACTTAATATGATACACTAAAATATCTATCTTGGCCAGGATAGTCTCTTCATAACTATCACGTGTTAGTGCTGTGACGTTTCACCAAGACGTCAATGAAACCACAATACCAATCAAACGAACGTGTTTATTTGATCTGTAATATAAACTAATAACTAAAAGCGACAAAACCCTTTCCAAACAAACCAAGTTAACACGACATTGCCGTACAGTCATGATGACAAGTCATCTTTTCCTCGCAAACTATTTTTTTCCTCGTCGGGACAAATACTGCATGTCTATGTGCTAACACGTCCCTGTCTCTGTGGATAATCTGATCCACGTCTGTGTCGTACAGTAGCCCTACAGCGGCCATCAGTCGGAAACCACTAACAGCAAATGTCCTGTTTTGATTTGGTCACGGTTGCATTCTAAACATTTTGTAAAACGTATTTTTAGAATGCACTTCTGGTGACTTTGATGAACTGTTTTAAACTCAGTTTCCCTCCACCACATGAACTCGTTGATCATGATTGTCAAATCCTTCATTTGATATTACACACCTGCACATTTGTCAGATCTGTTCTTATACGGCATATCCAGCCTTTTGAAACGGTATATTATCAACAAGATACAGAGTAAATTATTGCAAATTGATCAAATGTGTCTATCATACCAAGAATTCTGTTAAGTCTCATTTAAATGCCAATATTACGATTGTTGCTAACCAAGTTGGATCGGGACAATTTGCTATACATGAAGAAATCCATTTCAAATGTAAGGTTTAATTTTGAAATAGCCCCTGGGGTGTTCCAGTTGCAGAATTACATTCCCAATAAAGAAACTATACTATCTCTACCCACAAGGAATGTTTCTTGTTGTGGTCACGTGTTTGTACTAAAATTTAGTTTCTTGCATACTGTGAAGTTTACGTGTATCAAGTTTAAAGTTTGCATAGGGTCTTGTAAATGTTCTTGAAAATTTGTTGTTTAAACTTTCATAGTATGAAACGAAATCCTTTACACCCGCCTTCCATGATGACCATGATGAAAGCTGTACACGAGGTTTCTGAATACGAATGATTATGTCCTGTGTTACAGGTAGAACCCGTTATAAAGGTTTAGGTCAATAGTCAGAATTTATTGATCGTCACTACAATGGTGGCCAATAATCGGTTCTGCCCAGGTGCGTCACGACTGATGACAGTACCATTGCTCACTGTAATTGTTTGTGCCCGTATGCATGATCTTGAATGCATTAATTTAGATACCCAGGAGCACAACTGTGTGCTTGTGTTAAGAACTTTCAGTTTGTGTTCATGTGTAAAATACTTTAAACGTAATTAGCGTATCGCCTTCACTATTCAATTGTCTACATGTCCCAATTATATTTTACGCATATGACACTTAAGCACTATTTTGAGACGTTCCCGTTACAAAGTCAATCAATCAATACACCAATAACGATCACGGTGCTAACATTCATAGAAGAACATATTTTAAAAACAAAAATATTGAAATGCTAAGAAATCAATAAAAATGTACGCTGCAACGTTACTAATGGCATGTCAAGATATAAACAGACAAGGAGCATCTACGTGCACACCTACCTTGCACCTGTCACGTCGGGGGCGCACTGAGACTTGATCAGCCTAACCTCATCTCCCCATGACATTGCCTGTCTGTCTTAACGCTTCATCCGCCTCATGACCTACTCGTCTGTAGGGGGACCATTTCAAAACACACAGTGTCGGATATGGACTGGTTGACTATTTTGATCTCGGAGTATTGGTTGTCTCAACATCCCAAATGTACAGGACACACATAATTATTGTTTTCTGTCTCGAATCTTTTGATCCTTTCTACCTTCGACATGACGACTGCTGTGGTGTTCACGTGTTTTGTAGTGAGCGAAGGTATGAATCTTCAATATTCCAGCTAAATCTGTGACTAATTTATTCGAAAACGGTCCCCGAAACTCTTGAAAAATATTACTATAACTCAGACTGCTGAAAAAACGATATTGCCTCCCAAAACAATTCATCGTAAGAAGGTGTTTTTCTCCCAAAAAAACTTCAGGCTCACAGCATTAAATACAGAAAATAATCTGTTTTTTGGTAGCTGCAGCTAGATAAATATATCATCTCGATTCATATAACTGGTGCGTGTTTGCTCAATGTGTTTGTGATACGGTTTAGCTCTACGTCCTCTATACAGAGTGACCCGTTCGTGTCTCGCTGCACACGTTTCTGTCGTTGCTTTGACAAAGTACGGTTGGGAACACGACATGCAAATTTACGAGTCTGAATAACGTTAAATTCCATACTTAAAGGAAATCTAATAAATGTCCGTGGTAGTAATCCCCCCTGTGTTCTTCCATGATTTCAACGTTTAAAGGCTAATAACGTTGGGCGGAGCTCATGCAGTTACAACCTGACATATGGTCTACGTTAACGAAATAATGTAGGAATAAATGCAATGACATAAATACATAAAGAACGAGATTTACGTCTTGAGTAAAGGACTCTGACTTAATTACTTATTGAATTCAACTGTTTTGTTATTCGATTCAACTTTTCATAATACATGATTGTATCTAATCATGGAAGAGACAAACAACTGGGTAGAAGATCATGTGATAAAGGTACTTGTACCTTTACGATCGTCACATTGACATAATATGCAAGTCAAGCCTGCCGTCATTGATACTCGAGCTTCTAAATGTCAATAAAGATATTACAATATATGTCTGAAACAATAGTTTATAATTAAATACCTATTGCGTTTGTTTGTGACAATATATTCATGACAATATGCACATTTCTTTTCATGTAGTTTCATGAATTGTAAAATCGGTCCTTCAATTTACTTATGTCTGTTTGCTAAGTTGTTATGATTTAGTCGTAGATGATGATGACATGATCGAACCATCACAATACTAACTTTGATAAAAGCGTCAAAACCTTATCCATAACAATATGAACTATATTTCATCTGTATGCAAAAGATGTGCCTTCGTTAAATCTTTTAATGTCATCATCGAAGCAGTCAGGGTTGCGGCCTAGCCAACGCCCAAAACATCCGATATCAAACTTCCGCATTTCCTCTATTTGACGCTATGTCGTCTGTTACTTTCTCGAGAGCCCTTGCCTCGGCGTGTATTAGAGACCTGGCTGGTATTAGAGACCCAGCGTGCATTAGAGGAAATATAGATATGTTTTACAGTTCACATTGGCTGATCGATCGGCAGCCATTTTCTATGAATTGATATGTAGGCTAGCTATGTATTCATACGCACGTTATTTGAAAGGGGTTTCCGTAGTAAAACGAAAACCTCTTTTTAACCAATCAGAATCAGGCATTCATCAATGTCATGGTAGAATATCAGATAGAGATGATGCAATAACGATTAACCAACTATATTCAAAGATTCCCACGTGATTCCATGTATAATTCTCTCCAGGAAGTTTTGTGAACATTTGAACATTCTTAAAAATGGTCTCTTAAACCAGAGACCATAAAAACATTATTTATGGTCTCTGCTTAAACCTATGATCATTGGTTTTCAACATAATGTCCTACGAGGTCCACATACCTTTGTCAACGATGTTTGAGTGCCTTCATCTCACAAGTGTAAAAAGACATCCACAGCAGAGATGACGTCACCATCGTTTGCATAATGCTTGCCAGACAGATTATACTTCCAGTTTGGTATGAGGGTGAAATCTGACTGTGCCAATCTGGCGAATACGTAGGATGTTCAATGAGTTCAAAGTCACAGTCATGCTCTTATTATATGGTAGTGTAATTTATTGTTAAACAATGTTGTGGTTGTATTATATTGTTTCTGTTAAGACGCCCGCATGGATTGCTGTTGGAGTTCAGTTTCAGTTGGAGATTTTTTATGCCAGTAGCCATTTTTGGCCATGCTCATCAACACTTTGACCAGCAGAAATACGCAACCTTCTTGTGTATTTGGTTCAAATGCAGCCTGTAAGAATGGAAGTATTGAAATTACCCCATAAAACTATTAAAGGTGTACATTTCAGCCACCACTCGTACATGGAGCGGACATTTGTCAGACACCTTAAAATCACAAATCTCACGGTTGACCTCGTCCGACGCCCAATGCATGTTACCCAAGTGGTAAAATAGAAAGGTTGAACGGGAATCACGCACGTTGAGCCGCCGAACGCTAACACCGTATTCGTGCGTGCGTGATTCCCGTGCAACCTTTCGAGTTGAGTTGATTGGTTCAACTGTGTCATATTGCCCTGTGACGCGCGCAGGGGTAGCATTATGCAGATGGCTGTTACAATGAATGCTCGTTCCACCCGTGACGATCAGGTCTGGTTGTTGATGAAATATAGTGATAGCTAAATAGTCAGATTTTTTTTATTCAAGCACCGATTGCCTTTAAATGTAATATCCAGTTATGTATGACTGTTTAATAACCTCATACCAACTTTGACTGGAGTAGGTCCAATAGTTTTTCAGTACTATTGTAGTAAACGTCGGTACCTTAAATTAATTTCCAGACTATAGATTACAAGTCTAAACATAAGGAATTCATTATTTTTTCAGACTCGCTGTGCTATCTCCAGGCAATAAAAATTCTTCGTGTCAGCCATGTTGGGATCGTTGGTAACACTTTGGCTACTGCTGCTGCTGCTGCTGCTGAGGCACCACTCAACAAATCTGACACCCCTTCTTATACCCTACAGTGACTATAAATCTGTAATTAGATGTTACATCAGAAATCGCATGCAGAGGAAGTTGGACACCCAATTGGGTATAAATATATTACATGAAATAAAACCAAAAATCGGTTACACCCACTTGGGTTGTCAGTCCAGATTTGAAGTGGTCATATTAAGACGATGTCGTATTGGTCATTCTCGTTATACTCATGGATATTTATTAAAAGGTGGCGATCCTCCATTCTGCACCCCTTGTGATGAAAGAATCATGGTCAAGCATGTCCTGCTTGACTGTATTGATTTTTCCATCACAATGGATAAGTATCTCAAAGTTACAGCCATCAATGATCTTTTTAAACAGGTAAGTTCTCATTTAATTCTTGTTTTTTAAGGAAATTGATTTGATTGATAAATTTGGATTGCTTTATTTTGTCAATAAATAAAATTAACTTTTACAATTGGTAGTATAAATAAATCGCTGAGATTGCTAGTGGCTATATCCTCGAAGGGGGTTAAGGTAATTAAAATTATTGTCCCCCTGTTAGGTTATGTGGGACCTCGTCTCTCAAAGTATATTAACTTCTGCCACGTTTTTAATCGTAGTATATGTGTTGTTTTAATGTTTGGCCAAATTTGTCAGCCATCGCCAACAACTGATGGGATGATGTAAATCCTGCTGGGGTCCATGCAGGTAGCAAAAGTACTGTCCCCATGGTCCGCAGTGTGTTGATCTGCTTACAGTTGCTGGCGATCTACAGCCCATTTTTATATTGTGTTGTTGAATGCTAATTACTTTTACAAGCTCTCAAACTAGTTTTATGTAAATATGTGATATTCTACTTATTATACTGTCCGTTGACGACAGAATTTGATACAGTTTAAATATATATTATTAATGTCAAAATTTGTCTCATCACGATATGGCTGAAATATCGCCGATGTGACGTTAACCATTAACTCACTCACTCTATTGTTGGCCCTTTAGAAAACCTCATATACATTGCCTAAGTGAAACTACATATACATAAATATGTATAGAAACTTGTTCGAGGTCAAGTGTCTTTGTAACAATCTAATATATAATATTAAGGTAACGAACACGAACATATATATATATATATATACACGAACATATATATACTCGTGTTCGTTTCTCAACTGATCGCGTAATTTTGTTTCAGATGTGCAAGATAATCAATCAGCATATTTTCGGTTAATCCTTTGATTGATGTTGCTTTTTTGTAACTCAACTGTTTATTCCTCTCTTACTGCGCTGTTGCGTGCATATTACATATCATACATTTCATCAAGTGAATGACGACGAATACACAGGTTATACCATGACACATGGATGGCAACAAGGAAGTAGTTATCGTATTATCCACGCAATCCACAATCCGTAAATGCTTTCAGTGCAGAGATACTCTTTTTTATTAAACTATAACCACCAGGGCTATTTCCATCCGATGAGCTTCTATCGTTCTTTTTGTCTGTTTGTTTAGGTTGAAGAAATTAATTAACATGCGCCCTTTGCAATATCGAATTCTTCATAGATCTCGGGTGACCAATCAGTGTTGAGAAATGCGTATGGATATTGCTTCAGAGTATATTTATGCTGTCTTTACAGACGGTATCTCAGTCTTTTGTCACGCTTAGTCGCGTGAGCGAGCAGATCGACTCAAGGCTGCTGGTGACCCACAGCGGGCAGTGTCAGACACCCGGGAATAAGCCAAAAATTAGTGCCCTTATAACATGCAAAAGAGGGGTATTTTATGTGTGATTCGCGTAAGTGAAAATGCAAATATGGGTATAGATCAATAGGCACGTCACAGCAAGTGGCACCTTATGCACAATCAAGGCACTAGTACACACATATCACAGTCACTAACACCCTACACACATATCACAGGTAGCGGCACCTCACACGCATATCACAGATAGTGGCACCTCACACACATATCACAGACAGTGGCGCCTTACACATATGTCACAGTTAGTGACACCTTACACACATATCACATG